CCTGGGCAACTGCCATAAAGTCACATCAAGAAATGCTGCTGATCATTCCAATGATCCCAAATAGACTCACATTAGGCCACATGAAAGCAACTGAACCCAAAAATATATTAACCAGTATATAACTGCACTCTCACACAACACGCCTGCAGCAACAGTTAGGACTCCTCCCTCCCTTTTAAAAGCATTTTTGCTTCTGAGGACATTGTGGTTGTAAAACCACATGCTAGTAGTCTGGCCCCGGTGTGATCAACCAGTTTCTGCGGGAATGTGACGGCGGAACCAGGGCCAGATTAACACTTTGTCGTACCCTGGGCAAAAATATTCAAGGGCTCCATCATCACGACCCAAGGATCACCATAATGTGGTCACATACAGAATATTTTACTGTAATATGCAGTAAATATACTCAATACTTGAATGCCTGACAACACGTAACCCGCCCAGAGTAACCTGTGACCCACCTCGTGTGGACTGACCAATGAGGAGAGGGTCTTAACTTGAGGCCCTCTCTTCATTGGTTAGTCTGCATGAGACTGACTCTCAACTGACATTCATTCGTAGGCAGCGAAGCGTCTCTGTGCAGCGCAAAAGCCCGGGTGGACTGTTTGTTTAATATAGGGTGACCATATTTCCATTTCCAAACAAGAGGACAGGGGATCTGTGCCTATGACGTCACACTATGGCAACGTCACACAAACCATGTTGGGACCCATTTTTTGTAAGAACTAAATTAATATCAGATTCTGCCAATTAAAGGGCTCTAAAACAATTAATATGTAAATATTTTGCATATTTAATGCAAAATCTAATTTTTCTGCTTTAGTACTGCAACAAGGTTTTATTAATAATAAATTATTATACCTTTTGTTTTACTACAGCATCGGTAAGCTTCCTGTGCACAGATGATTAAGGATGCTTGTTTCAGCTGTGAGATTAGACGATAGGATCAATGAAAAAATAAGTTGTCACACACTCCATGGAAACTTTCAGAGAATCCACAAAAAGTGGCTTTCAAATGGTTTTGTTACTTTTTGTAAGTTTATAAAAGAAGCAGATGAGACAGCATGTCTGATAATTTAGTTTTTCATCTGATAATATTAGAACATGTCAGTAATGTCTGAGGGGCTTTTATAAACACCATATAACTAACACTACTGGAGAGGGCATGAATTACACAGAGGCTTCTGGGGAGCCCAGTTATGGGGGGGGGCATTTTGCCTTGGCCCCCAAAATGTCTTGAAACGGCCCTGGGTGTATGACTGAGTTTTGAAGGTGATCTGAATTGTATCAGATGTATAAATATGACATGTGTATAACTTATTGTTTTTTACTGGTAAAAACGTGTCATTTGACTTTTCAACACTTTGTTTTGTTTTCTTGTTTTTATTGAACTATTTTCCTGTCCTGTCTGTCTCTCATCTTCCTGCATCTCCTCATAATTCTCCAGAAAATCTGTTGCCTGGATTCTTACCTTTTCACCTCATCAGTTACTTTTGAGCAGATCAAAGGGATCTCCTGACCGAAAAGCTCAGAGCGCGTTTTCGATGCTGCGTGAGGTGACATCACCACAGCACAGGTGATGAGCTCCGCAGTAGCGAGCTTCAGGCACAAATAAGACAGAAAATAGAGAACATGTGCGGACATGAACGATCGTGTGCTAATTATAGTTTTTTGGTTGCGCCACTTTGAGAATGGACCGTGCGCTGGAAGCAGCTGCCTGGATCGCTGCGCGACAATGCAGAACCGGTTCGCAGCAGCGCAAATCTGCCGGCTCTCCCTCGTGCTGATCTGCCGGTACCGGCTCTCCCTCACGCTGATCTGCGGCTCTCCCTCGCGCTGATCTGCGGCTCTCCCTCGCGCTGATCTGACTTGCTCTGGTCTGCGCGCAACGGCGGGCGGGAAGGGGGGGGGCGCTTTTGGAAGAGTTGTGCGACACAATGAATCGATGACGCAATTCGTTGCCAACGCTTTTAGTAATCGATTTTCATCGAATTTATCGATTAGTTGTTGCAGCCCTAATTTCAATCCATTTTAAAAAATGCAGCGTTATGTTAAATGCACTGGGTTTTACCCTATTACATTTAAATTCCATGGTTAAACAGTACATGTTAAAATCTAAGCTCAGCAGAGACCTAAAATACATAAATATAATTTTACTTACAAAAAGAAATGAAGTGGAGACTCCTTGGATGCTCTATTAGTGCAATAAATGCCACAGCAAGTCATTTTGTCCAACAATTACACAAATAATATCCAAAAAATAACGCACAAACGCTACAACTACTGGTCTAAGTTGAGAGACTGAAAATGACGGAACAGTTTTCAGGCGAGGCCGATGTTCAGGCTGAGGCCTTTCCCCGGAGCTAGCTCTGCGGTCACGTGGGTCTGATGCTCATTAATTATACAGAAGTTTAGGCTTTTAATACACTTAAACAGAAGATTGACAAAAAAAATTCATCCCCCTCAGAGTTGTCATGAGTGTAAACTATCAAACCTAAAACATGTTTTGGTACCAGGCCGTAAACATGTTTATTTCTGCTGTGAAATTGGTAGTTTTAACATGGGAGTCAATGAGGATTTGCTCGCTTCTGACACCAGCCCCCAGCGGATGAGGGTGGAGCTGCAATTTTTCTCACTTCCGTGTTGGCTTCATTTGCAGACCCGAATTATGGGACTTGAGTAACACCAGTGTGGACAGAAAGCCCCATCCCATGTTGCCTCTCCGTTTATATGACTTGGAAAAATAATGTGCATTTTTTTAGGGAAGCCTGCTCACTTCCCATGATTTAGTATTTTTAAACACCTGCTAGTTACCTGAAAACCTGGAAGGATCACCAAGGTAACTTTTGGACCTTAGATGATGTTTTTCTACCATTTTAAAGAACATTAAAGATGCTCTATAAGTCAGGCTAAAATCAAAAGAGTGCTTATTTAGCCCTGATCTGCTCTAAACATCATAATCTGTGTACACTATCACAAACAGGAAGATGTTTGGTCCAGTTATGCTCAAACATCAACTAATTTTTTTCTTTCAGGTTGTGATGATCTCTTTCAGAGAAACCGTGTCTTTCTGCCAAATTCGGCCATCTGAATTTGCTGTTGTGAGATCAATCTGTCACTTTTATCTAAATAAGAAAAAGACCAAAACAGAGTGGTGCAGCGTTTACAGCACTATGAAAGGCCATGTCAACAACAGCTGGGTCAAAAACTTTTCATGTGGGACCACCGCAAACAGAATGACATTTTCTCTCACGAGTCAACATGAACACAAGCTAAGCTCCCACTTGCATTCGGGGCATGAGGGCAAAGCCCTGACTTCATGTTTGAGTCTAAACTTGTTTCTGTTTCCTCACATTTTAAAGACATTGTGAAACACACATGCGTTGTGATTCAGCTTGCATGATGAACAGAGAAAACTGGTAAACTGAAAAAAAGATGCCCCAAAGGTGCAAAACACTAAAAAAGTAATAAAAAGCTGGAAAAATCAAAGCAGTATGCACACACACATTAAATGGGTTTGGAAGTGAACTATCTGATTATTTATTAAATGCATTTTCATTTTAATATATATATTTTTTTTAATTTTATTTATTTATTGCAATGCTTATCAGCCTATTTAAGATTACCCCCCCCCGAAACAGGCGTTTAACACATTCTTACTGAAAACTCGACAATGCCCACCTCAGGGTCTGTGTCATCACAGATGTGTTTTTAAATAGTCACCTCGGGCAGGTGATGAACACAGTGGTGTGTGTGTGTGTGTGTGTGTGTGTGTGTGTGTGTGTGTGTGTGTGTGTGTGTGTGTGTGTGTGTGTGTATTATCCATGCGTGTCTGTGTTGGTGTGCTGCTGAATGAGGTGGGACATGCTGCAGCTTGACTGTGCTGATGCCTCATTCACAGGCTTCCCCTTGGAGCTCCAACACCCACAAACAAGCCCATTCAACAACCTCAGAACACACTTTGCAGACATGATCACCAGCAAATAACAGGTTGGCTGTCGCTGGGTCATTTCCTACACTTTGTCATAAGATCAACTTGTGATCTCTCACAGAGGGAAAACAAACGTTTTGTCCCTTAAATAAAAGGCATTCCGAGTTGCTTTGATAAACAGAAACTCTTGGAAATGCAGCCACAAGATGTGAATATTACTAGACAACATGACCTATTATTAAAACAATTTTAAAAATACATTAATCAAGTGAAATGGCGTGTTGCATTTGTAAATTCATTTTTCTATGATTTCCTAAGGCATAACATTTACTGAAAACCTTGAAAAGATGAAAAAAGGTGCTCCTTCTTGCATTAAAATACCTCAAATACTTCTTTAATCAGGTGTGACAAGACAGAATGAAAGACAGAGGGAAAAGGTGGGAATGTGAGGAAATCTGGCTTTTTGAATTTTTTTTACATAAATCTGCTGAGAAGAAAACAACATTTAACCAGACATTCTGGTTCATCTATTAAAAGTCCTACACATTAAATAATAAAATGATAAAAAGATAAATAGCACCACTGGCAGAAATGACTTTCCCCTGAGGCAGTATGTGAAGGATTAGCAGAAATGCCTTCTGTGGTATGCTAGCAGCTGCTGGGTAGCAACATGGCCCCTTGGGGAATGATGGGTTTAAGTTCAAATGCTAAAAAAAAAATTTCTTATTGAATATTTTCCTCCAGTCACACTTTCAGACAACACCATTTATTTTAGGAAGCAGGAGCCACAACTAAAAGCTCCACTGACCATAAACACAAGTCCACTAGCTGTAGCTCAGCTATATACAGTCAGATGTACAGGCTTTAACACGCCACAGAGCAGCAATACACCCTCCACATCGAGTCAGAACACACACAGTGAGTGATCAGTCTATGTGGGAAAAACTGTACCCAAAAGCGTTTTAAGTTTGTTCGAGAAATCACTGCATAAAACAGCAGACTCAGAAGTTTGGAAAGCAGGTGACAGACCTGCTTTTCCACTCTTTCTGCCAGGACTTCCTTTCCTTACCTTTCTACCCAGGGCTGTTCTTGCTCACATAAATTCCACTCTGCTGTGATCTTCCATGAGTAGCCAAACAGACTCAACTCTATCAGCATAGCTTTAAAACAGTCCACCTTAATGCCACGCCCAGATCCGTGACATCAGAACTCTGCCTCCACTGCCTGAACCAACTCAGCCAAACGGCCTTTTTGCTGGGAGCTGCAGCAGGTTGGCACGACTCCCTCTGAAGACATGAGCCTGAGGGTGGGGCCAGCGGAGTAGCTCACACACACACACACACACACACACACACACACACACACTGTAGGCTCAGACAAAGACTGGAGTGAATCTGCTGATTGATCAGGTTTGTGTCTTCTGTATTCTGCTCACGCTAGCAATGATGTAATTGTCAGGTTAAACAAACAAAAGGGACCTCTAATCACGATCCTTCTTTCAGGGTATCTTTGATTTAATCAGGTAGTTTTCCTGCATTTGGGTTTCACTTTAAGAAAATATTCCAACTGTAAACAACCACACCTTACTTCTACAGAACTGACTCACTCCAAAAGCACTTTCGAGGACTTGTCAGGTGAGCAAAACCATAATTAAAGTGGTTCTATACAAAAGGGATGAAATAACATGAATTACCAAACTGTGTGGGTGCTATCTATGTCCAAACATGCAAGTGGATTAATGATTATCCTCTTAAAGGTGCCATATTGCTTGTAACGCTCTTCACATATCGATGGTAAAAATGTAAAATCCTGGAAAAACCTCATCCAATCCAGTGCTGGTCCCCTTTCTAAATGATTGGCTAATAATCCATCCATCAAACTGCTTCTTCAAACATATGTCACCCCGCTGCACATCGCACCCTCTGTTCACAAAATGCACGTTCTTTGCAAAACAACAGGAAGCTAGCTGAGCTGCCACAAACAGAATGCCCCGTTATATTTACAAATCTCATTTAAAAAGTTGTTTTACACGGGAGACGTTTAGGTGACAGAGTTATTGTCTGGAAACGCAGATAAGTCTGAACTCTTGTTCGTGCGAGAAGTGAGCAGGCAGAAAGGAGAGTTCAGTTTATGTTCTGGAAGTTATAGTGGTGGTGGAGATTCCCCAGATTGTCGTGGCAATGTCTTAAAATTTGTTTGCTCTCCAAAGTGTTTTTCTTGATCCTATTGGCACAAATCTAATCCCATAGAATTTGCTCGCTTCTGACACCAGCCCCCCAGCGGATGAGGGTGGAACTGCAATTTTTTGGTACTTCCGGGGTTGCTTCAATTTTTGAGCCGTATTGTGGGGGCTTGGTTTAAAAATAAGTCAACTAATTTAAAATGTTTTTTTTTTTACATCTTAAGAAGTTATCTATGGTTGGTTAGATGCTTAGTAGTTGCAGCTTCGGTGGCTAGCAGATAGTAACTCACTTATATATTTTATTGCATAAACATATACACAATATAAAAAGTAAAAGGCTCGTTATATATTTATACTGAAACTTATACGTATAAAATATAACGTTATCTCCCGTTTCACGTGACGTTACGTGACCGCCGTGGAAGCCGCAGTCACGTGTTGCAAGTCTGTTCTATTTAACCATTTTCTTTGACCATGGAAGGACAGTGTCCTCGTAAGCAAGGCGCCTGGCCTAGCAAGACATCGCCTCGAAAGGCCAGGCCAATGGTCTGGCCACGACCCATAGAGAGAGCTCAGGTGTGGAGTGGAATCTACGGTTGTCTGTCAAACACTCTCCGCATGCTATTGGACAACGAAAAATGTGATACTCAGCACTACGGATGTCAGCCAACAGGGCAGTCTGCGATACACTGTCAAAGAAGACCAAATACAACATTTTTCTACATTAAGGACGTAAAGTGACAATGCCGTTAATCTCTGGAAAGATTCATTGAAATGTTGAAAATGAACTAAATGATGTCCAGTCGTTTAAAAATATTGGCGGCTTTGTAACATATAACCATAAAAATTGGGTCTAAATTACGTAGACGATACCATATTGGATGCCATGTTTTCTTCTATGTCCCGTGAGGACAAAATGCATTTACTGATTTATAACAAACAGTTACAAAACGTTCACCATTCATAAACATTGTTTTACACATTTACATCTACACTCGTTGTCAGTGATGAAAGGGAGTCTGATGTGCTTTTCATTTTGCTGGAGGTTACGCTCCAAAGAATTTTTGACCCTAGTGGCCATCTGTTGGTAAGGTCTTACTCGAACACAAAAATACCACTTGCTTGCAATGATTTAGACATATACTGCCCTTGTCGTCAGGGAAAATACACATCATCACTTTAAGTACCTCTATCTGCTCTCGACTTAAATGAAGAGTACAAGTCTAAATATATACTGTATATATATTTATTTTTTCAAAATGTAGCTTGCTTGAACGGCTTCTTCCAAGAATAAACACTGTACTTTTAATTTTTTTAAATAAAACACTTTGACTGACACATTTTAAAATCTATCATTTTTTTCCCTTTTAAGTTTGGAACAAAAACAGGAAGTTATGACCTGAAGTTACAAAAAGCTTTGTCTGTAGTTTATATCTTCTTACTGCAAATCTGCTCCATTCTTCATGTGATGCAAAAGCTACTTCTCAGTTCTGCACACTGTCTGGTGCAGAAGCAATAAATCTTGAATAAACTTTCCATTGTGAAATGCGGGTCATGTGCCAGCTTTTTATCTGTAGTTTTATGCTTTTACCTAAGAATGTGCAGCCCACTCTGCAAACACCATCACCAAACACCGTGAAATGATAAGAGGTGGTGAATGGAGATGAGAGCAGGCCAGACGTTACGCAGAATTAAATCTTAATCTTTTTTTATCAGATGTGAAAATCTTGGTTTCTGCTGCTGCTGCGTGGATCTCCCCTTCAAAAGTCGCAGCTTTCCATCTGATCTTTAAAACACTGCATGCGTGTAGCAAACACTGGGCTTCCCTCACTGTCAAACTGTTATCCACCTCACTTTGATTTTAAATTTATGAAGCTCTACTTTGCTTTTTCCATTTTAACAGCTATGTCAGAGCATGCCTGTGTTATTGACAGATATACAAAATAATTAAAACCAATTTAATTAAATCAAATTGGCAGTTAGACCCCCCAAAAATAAAAAAAACATCTGCTTTTATTAATATAATATAATCACTGATTTAATACCAGGAAGTTTACTGAAAACATTATTTTACTTATGGAGTCTTATGTAGAAGCATCAATGAAGGAAAACACATTAAAAAATGACTATTTGGAAGTGAAATCTCTGTTCTGTTAGCTGACACTGATTAGAGTATCCTATTAGAAGAGTTTTTAATAACAGAAACTACAAAAAACCCGTCGTGTCCTTCCTCTACAGAACGGGGTGTTTCCAAAAATATACCGAAGCTCTGCACATCGTGTTTCAATGGAATTAAACAGCTAATAGAAGCATATCAGTCCATCCATTGTGGTCAGATAAAGTTATTTATCAAGTTTACATGCAGCTTCATGTTACACTGAGCTGTACTGGTTGGCTGTTTTATGATCTGTTAAAAATATTGTACTTTTTGAACCAACAATAAAACAATCTGCCATTATTTTATTCTTTATTAGCTTTATTTTAATTCATTAGAGGCATTAAGGGTTTTGATTAAAAAAATAAATTATCAATAATAAAAACAATCTAAAAGTGAATTTTAATGGGATGCAAGATGATGTTTACCTTTGAATTCAAACATGAGATTTTTTTTCTGAATTTCTGCACTAATACATTTTCTTGCTTGTTTGTTATTTTGTTTTGTTACGTTTTCTTGGGGCTGGGAGTGGGGTAGGGGTTCATTTAAGTTAATTAACTGGCAGATCGACCCCTTGGTAGAGCTAATTTTATCCCTGTATTCTTTTTAAACATGCACTTAACTTAAATTGGCAAAAATAAATAAATAAATAAATTATATATATATATATACATAAAATTTTAAATTTTCTGAAAAATATGAGGATGTTTGAAGAAAATAATGGATGGATGGATGGATGGATGGATGGATGGATATCACCATCTTTGCCCTAAATGATTCTAAAAAGACAAACACAATTATTTCCATCCCTTTTAGGTTGGAAGTTAAAGGGTTATGCTAAAGGGCCTAAAATGTACTTTGAAAAGAGGTCGCCCTGTCAGCTAAAGGCTTAAATGTGAAGCTTTCAGCTGACATCTCAGTATAGTCTTTGAGTAGGTGTGAATCAAATGTATGGTTAAGGTTTTGATGTTTTGAACTGCATTCATTTATGGTTCTTTTTTTAACACAGTAAAAGTGTTATTTTTACCTTGTTTTTACTGATGTTTCAACTACCACTGTAGCCTTCTTCAGAGTTTTGCCAATGTTGGTGGCGTCACTTCCTTCTCCGTTTATCAGCGAGCATCCGAGGACGGTGTCCTCCTCTGCTGCCCGCGCTCTCTGTCCCGATGACAGTCTCATGCGCGATCCAATGTGTAGACCCCATCATCTCTGTTCATGGCTGTGTGTCCACATCTCCTTATTTCTAAGGATTCCTTGATCCATCTTTTGTATTTTAGTTGTTCAGCGTTTATGATCCATATTTCTTTCCAGTCCGTTATATGATTCTCCCTTTGCAGTGGTCTGCTACAGCTGATTTCGTTATTTTAGGAACGGAGAATCATATAATGGTGAAGGAACACAGATCATAAACACTGAACAACAAAAATACAAAGGATAAAAATTTTTTTTAAAATATATTAAAGATGGATTAAGGAAGCCATAGAAATAAGGAAACGTGGACACACAACCATGAGCAAAGGATGGGGTCTACACGTTGGATCACACATGGGACTGTGTTATAAACAAGGAGAGCGGCAGAGGACGGCATCGTCATGCCTGCTGATACAGTGGTAGTTGAAACATCAGTAAAAACAAGGTAAAAATAACACTTTTACTGTGTTGAAAAAAGAACCGTAAAGTCCCATTAGTTGTCACACACAATGATGTGTGTGCAAAATTTGTTCTTCGCATTTGACCCATCCCCTGGGGGAGCGGTGAGCAGCAGACACAGCCGCGCTCGGGAACCATTTGGTGGTTTAACCCCCCAAGCTAACCCCCTTAATGCTGAGTGGCAAGCAGGGAGGCATTGGGTCCCATTTTTCAAAGTCTTTGGTATGACCCAACCAGGAATCGAACCCTGATCTCCCAGTCTCAGGGCAGACACTCTACCACTAGGCCACTGAGCTGCAGTTGGATGAAACACACGGCATGAACGTACAAAAGATGTATTCATTTATGTCAAAACAAATGGCTGCTTAGACATGATTAGCACTTAAGCTAACACCAGAAAAAAATAAAACTAATAAAACTTGTGCAATATAAAAAATCTCCTGGTTTAAGCAAAGATAAAGTCCATTTTTCTTTATGAAATGCTTATTTTCTACACCTACAGATAATCTCTTGCCAAAGTCAGTTTCCTCCCTGCTATGAGGTAAGAATCCCTCCTTTACTCTCAAAGCCATAAACGACCTGCTGCAAATATGATGAAAGAGCTGAGAATGTATCCCCTCCCTCTGGAAGCTTGGTGCACCACAATCTGTTACCAACTACTCGTGTGCTGTTGGTGTTTGGCAACCGGCCTTTACAGCAACCCCTACCTTTAAGTTTTCTCCACATTAAACTCAAAACTCTCTCCTCTATTAGCATCTCGTCATCTCTTCCTAACACAACTTCACTTCATCATCCACACCTCCACAACGTGTCTTCTTCAGTCATCCTTGAGCTTATGCTAAGTTTAGTCTAAATGGCTTTTTTGTGTGTTTAATTTAAAAGGGGAAAAAAATGTCCGAGGCACGATAGTGGAGACTAGGGGTCCCAGAGAGAAGACAAAACATGAGGCCCCAGAGCCACAGCTGGTAATCTGGTAGGAGGTCCCTCACAGTAAACACAAACTTTTAAAGAGGATCTGGATAGGCCATTACGTTACAAACAGTGTGGGATGGGAGGGGACTCGTATTTAAAAAAAAAAAGCACAGGGACCCTTGTGAGAACTTCCCACCTCCTGTGTGTCATTTAGGCTAAACAAAAACGCTTTTTCCCACAGAAGTTCCTAACACAAGTCCAGTCAAAGTCACACGGTGTCATTTTACATTATTATATCAAGTAATGACATTAGCTTTCATCGTGTCCACTTGTCATGATTCACACCCCCCCCCCCCCCCCCCCCTTTTAACTTTAAATACTAAAGCAGAGACCTCATATGTTGTTGGATCCCTGTGTTCTTCCACACGTTAGATCCTTCACTGTGATTTGTCTAAAACACTTTGGTCCCTGATCTGGGGGTCTGCTGCGGTACATTACCCTCACCTTATCTCTGTGCAACTCAAATATTTCCCCTCTAGATGTTGCACCATAGAAAACTCATGGAACTGCAAAAAAAATCAAACTCTGCTAAAAAAAAAAATAAATAACAGAATGCATGTTTCAGTTTGTGCACATTTTATGCACTGATCGAAGGAGGGTGAACTCAAAAGAGGCTGTTTGGGCCTTCAGGAAGTCTCACCCATGTTACAGCACACAGAAAAGCCCCCACTCAAAGTGCACAGAGAAGATAAGGTGCAGTAATTCACTCTGGCCTCTGGAGATTTGACCAAATATGAGGATTTGTTTTCTTGAAAGCCAGACAAATATTTAGATAAAACAACTTGGTGAGTGAGGAAGTTTTTCCTCACAATCATAATTCTTTTGAAACAATGCAGCATTGTCTAAAGTGGGGCATGTGTCTATGGCGCAAGAGCATATGCTCCATCTTTTGATGATCACATGAACTGAGGTTAACAAAGTGACTGTGGAAGGTGGTTTACTGCTAAAACAAAGAAAGTGGTAAGTCTTGCAGAGGTAAATGCTTGAGTATGCAATAACACTATCTAAATGCATCTTATAGCAAATACTGCAAAATAATAAGAATGAACAAGTTCATTTAAGTCATTTTCAAAGCTGTTTACATTGAGATACAAAGCTCAAAATGACCAATTACACGTATCTAGAATATAAAGTAGCTCCCTTTTACTTACAAAGTCTGTCCTCACTGAAACTGGTCCAGCTGGCTGATTGTGTCATGCTGTGTTTCGTTTGCTTACTGCTCTCTTTGTAGGGAGATGATAAGGTTCACTATGTCTGCACTTTAGCTATGTGATATTATGCAAAATGCAACACGGGAACCAGTGCCAGAATGTACATGCACTGTGACAGTGCCATCTAGGGAAACACATCACATCTTACAGTTTCTTATTTTATTTCTCTGAATGTGCTACTTGATTCCTAAAACACCAAATTAAAGCCGGTAAATTGCAGAAATACTGCAAAAAGTCCTTGTCGGTTTCATTTAAAAACAGATTGGTGGCAAAGTTAGTATTTCAAGACTGGCCTTTCTCTGTCAAGATCACATCTAAACAAGACAAGCACTGAAAAAAAAAGGTCAAGCAAATTGAACCAATTTGTCCTTTTTTTCCCGTAAACTTTTGAATTTGTTGGAGATATGCAAAATTTTCCATTGAGAGCAAACAAAGGACTGATTCAAGTGAGGGTCATTGTGAATGTTACGTGGGCCAAGAGTGGGAAGCACCAAACTGTTATGGCCTGGAAAAGAGCACAACAGAAAACAAGTGGGGGCCAAAGTCTTCCAGTCTATTTAACTGGTGCATAATCGAGACCTGTGCAGCAGATGTACGCATACATCGAGGTTGTTGCGATATAATGTCCAGAAATAAAGAGAAAATGTAGGTTTTAATGGAAAAAGAATGCCTAATAAAATTAATCTACATCCATAAATGCTGTTTATGGCCAACGCGTTGGCTACGGAGATGCAACAAAGACGAGCCATTATTCCCTGAGTGTGAGCCAGTCTGCTTTATGCTTGTGAGGGAGAAATCATCCATGAGATAAAACTTTCCAGTGTCCAAACACACACTCTTTCAGTGCAGCTTGAACTTTTACGCTGTTTTTCCTCTTACTTTAGTTCATCTCGTGGGTGGGTATTTCTCAATGAAACTCTTATGAGCCCACTGGATGCAAGTGGACTCCCTGAAGGCAGCGACCAAATTATGGATTATTCCAAACGAAGGCAGCCTTGTTGCCTCGGGGGATGGGGTGGGGGGTGGGGGGGTGGGGGGACATGAGGACACAACACTGATGAGCTTTATTCTATTCCGGGGCCTTGTGATTTCTACATCTTAAGTACGGTCACGGTCTTTCAACTTTATGCGCTGACAACTCTCCTCTCGCTCGAGTCGACGGTCCTGCCACGGCTCTCATCTGTTCACTCGTGTGAACAGCTGTGCTCTGGGATTGCCTGTGTGTCGGGAAACAGCTGTGGGGATTCAAAATACCTTAACTGATTCCACATTCTGCCCAAAGGAAAGCCAGCCGCGTGAGATCATGGTTTAGGTGTGTCGAATTAGCACGGCCAACTCGAAGGACTGCGCTTAGTGAATGCACTCTTTTTGTTTTTAACAACAGATCAAAAATGTGACAAACAAACATTAGCTTTGAAATCTTGTTCAAACTTCCTGAAGTGAATTAAAGCTACAATGGCAGATATAATAAAGAAGCTAGCTTAAAACGTTGTTTTCATGCCTCTTAACATCCATCTAACATAATATAGTTATAAATATATTGTGGAGATTTAAAAAAAAAAATAATAATAATAATGAAGTGGTTCTCTCATATTTGTCTAAACATCAGCCATTAATAGTGGGTCACACCAAACGCAATCATTGGACCATCCGGTTGTTGGTCTCACCAAACCACGCACTTCCCGTGCCTACTCTCATTACGCACTCAAACATTTAGCAACAGAACACCACTGGTGTGAGAAGTTCACAGCTCAATGATATATCAGAGAAGGAGAAACAGCCGGCTGCTACCACTTCAAATTTTAACTAACTACCAGACTCCCCCCTGCTGAAAAAACCAGCATAGCTTGGTTACCAGCATAAATTGTGTTTTGGTGCTGGTATGCTGGTCCAGCATGGGATGCATGGTTTATCCTGCTGGATCATCATACCAGCACCAAAACACAAAATCCTGCTAAACAGCTATGCTGTTTTGTTTTTGTTTTTGGGTTTTTTGCAGGGCCAAAAATAAATAAATAAATAACCACCAGTTGAAGTCAAGGACAACAAAAAACATTCAAACCTAGAAAATGGAGATTGGTGTTTAGCACGCTCTTGTTTCCTCTGGCAATGCAGGTTCCAGTTTCAGGTGGATGTGGCCTAAGGATAAGGCTGTGAAGGACCGTTGCATTAAATCTTTTAATATGACTGCATTTGGGGAAAGGAGGCGTTAAGAAAGTTTAGTCACCCCCAGATAAAAGAAGCCAGAATTAAGACAGAAAACACATGTTTCCTTACACACCCCAGCAGAGTATGGAATTGTGGTTTACTTTGAAATTGACACAAACCACAAGAAAATTTAGTTGTCTAAAACACCCTATTCTGCCAAGAAGTGTGTCCGTAATTTTGGATTATGCAATACTTTTGAAAATGTGAAATGCCAATGATTTAAGTATAATTTTCCAAAGCCTTGCACAAACTGGACATGACAAAGTACGGTGCAGGATTGGAAACTTTTCACAGCTGTTGTGAACTGCTGGCTTTGAAATCATCATGGGCTCAAAGTCTCCGTCTCACCTCAAATAAAAAAAAACCTCCAAATCTCTTCAGATTGCCACTAAATGCCAAAACAGACTGTAAAAAAATGCCCTGGAAACTCACTCTTCGCTTTTAATGGTTCCAACCGCTGGAATACAAGCAGTTGACTTCATTTTAGACTCCACGGACCAAAATCTGATGGGAATTTCCATCAAGTCACATATACTCCGAGCCCTTCTCCGGGGTAATTTTCTTTAACTGGTGGACGGCTTGTGTATATGATAGAATTTCAGCTTCAAACCCAAGTTGACTGCATGGCTTCTGCAACAATCAATGGACTCATCACGGTGACAGAGAAGGCTGGATGTTTACCCTCCAAAATAGTTCCCATGACCCCTGCACATGGTCGAGGGAATTTCTCAGTAAAACCTCTGTAAGCAGGAAATGAGGAGGGTTCAGAGGTTGAAGCATCTGCAACAACCGTGACTCCGCTGAGATGTAATGAGTGGAAGGAATGTTTGTCAAGAGCTGGTTATGTGGATGCACCGATGTGACAAAGGTGGCATTATGCTCTCACGTGTCAAACAGCTGAGAAAACAGCTGGCTGTGGGCTGCCAGGTGTTGAGAACAGCAGCATGCACTTTTTAATGAGAAGTTGGATTATGTTTGTGCACAAAAAAATGTCAAACATATTTTTTCTGATCTCCAGTATACCAAGTCATTTACAATACCGAAATTAACTACAATATGTGAGGTCCCTCCCTCAAAAAAAGAAAAACCAAATCATTTTAGGTTGCTATCATCTGTGCAAAATATGATAAATACTTCAGTTTAAGTTATGCAATGGAAAAGGTGCCATATTGATTTTGTCTCCAACTGCAGCTAAATCACATTGTCCCTGAGATATGATGCATTCCATTTGTGCTCAGAACTTGGAAATGCCAACTTCCCAGTTGGAAAATCCAACTGGAACCCCACCCCCATCCCATAATCGGATTTCTCAATCAAAAAGTCAGATTTTATTTTTTTTACTCCAAATCCAGTTATGCAAGGGTGCAACTAAAATCAGTGTTACATGTAGCTGTCATTTTTTACAAATACATGTGTTTCTGATTAACAATGCTAATAAAAAAGCATATGTTAGTCACAAAAGCTCTGAATAACAACTTGAGTGTTGAGTAGAGGGGGAAATGGAATAAGTAAGATAAAGATAGGCTGCAAATAACAAAACATCATAATAGGGAAGCAAGCATCCGTATTGGAACCCTGACTTTTCCGACTGCATTTTCCCTGTTCCAGTCATTGACTTACAAGGTAAATGGAATGCAGGCATCCTTAGATAAAACACATTTCCTCTCTAAAAGAGCACAAATATATAATTTAGATGACAATTATTTCCAACAGTGAAAAAGTTATTCTGAGTATTTATGATTTTGTTTGCATTCCTGATAGAACCCGTGACCATTTTTACATCTTGCTGTTTTGAAAAAAATATGCTGATGAATCATCAAAACATGCTACTTTAATCATGAATAATGTGCTAGGGTTTTGATGAAAAGAACTATTGTTTCCTGTCTACCTCATCTTGTTTGCTATCAGGGACTATGATGCAGGTGTGTGGTTACCACGGTGACCTCATGGGGCACTGGCTGCAGCTCTAACATGTCTTTTGATCAATTAGAAGTTGATGTTGTAATTTCAGATAGACGCTGCTTTGGCGCCTTTCAAGATGACTTCTTAAGACGTCACAATGATGTCATTCTTCAAGTGAATATTGTTATTATAGCAGCTTTTTGCTGTCCTACTTACCTTAGACCAGAGCTTCGCAGATGGGACTGGGATCCACGATCATCCATGATGACTGAACTCATTGGCTTAACAAAATCCTTTGGACTGGTCAAGCACAAACAGAAAGCACAATTCATTTTTTAGAGTGCACTTTCACACTAGTTGCAAAAGCTACTTCAAGCAGGAACTCCTCAAGCGACACAAAAATCGGCAAAAATCCAGATGTGGGCGAGGCCACCCTTCTCTTATAGTGTTATTAACCGTTTCTGTCATGAAGAGTATCCGTTGTTTTATTATTGCTCTTACCAGGAATCCAGCAGATGTCAACTTCCATCAGTCTTCAGGGGGAAAACGGAAAGTAAACCGCTACAAAAAGATTTTACTCGAACACATCGTGTCGGTTGGATGCGTCTTCTTCACGAAAAACATTCCGGTGTGTATTCTTCTTTTTGGGTGACTTCTTGTGATCAGAAATCCATTTCCTGGGACTGTCAACAGAACTGTGCCAGCTTTGATCTGTATCATCACAGACACACTGCTCTGCACCGCGGCGTAGAGCTGGGAAAGTTGGGCGGTTCTCAAACGTTCAGTCAGTCAGAATTCCCAACGTTGTTGTCGTTGTTTTACTTCTTTCTTTCTACTTTCTTTCTTTTCATCTTGGAACCCGTTTCGTTACCAATCCCAGAACAAACTCAAGTAAAGTCCACCCATGAAACAGTAAATATGTTGGAACTCGCCAAAACACCTTTATTTACAACACTTTCTGGTGTTTGTCCGCAGCGACATCTTGTGGTCAAAGAGGAAACTGCAACGTTTTCTCCATTTGTGGAGAAAAACGAGGTGTTGAGTTTTTAATGGGTTGTAAATTTTTACAGAACTCCACTATTGTAAGAAACGATTTTCCTAAATATGTTCTGCTTTTTAAATCCTGCAAAATACAAGTAATCTTCCACAAATTAATAATTTAAACAGCTAGAAAAGCTCAACATCTCTTTTCACACGCATCTTGCATACGTTTTAATTGTCCTTTATGATATGTGGACATGTGGTCTTAATTATATGCATTAATTCTTTGTTGCAGTCTAAACAACCAAATATTTTGAAGCAGTTTTTTCTTAATTTCCACACAGATGTATTTGTAAGTTGAGTTTTTGTGCTTTCACTCAATAAAAACTTCACATTTATTTTAGGGTGTTTTATTGATTTTCCTCTTAAACTTCATCAGTATGAAACTTATGCATAAAAAAATATAAAAGGAACAAAGACTTTGAATAAAAAATGGTGAATGCTGTAAATTGTAGCCCATTTTAAAAGTTTTTTTTCATCTGCATCCAGTTACACACACATGCTGCTTTTACACATGTTCATATTGATGCAATAAAGTTCTCTTTCCTGTGTGCACTTCTTTGTTTACTCGTTTAACTCAAACCCTGTGCTGTAAGTACAAATCTGAGGGGAAAACAAGCCAATCCCCTTCTGCAATTAATCTCATACATGACTCAAAGTATGTCAACAGCTAAATCTTGCACCAGTATACCTGATTGCTCAAGATTTTTTTCTCTCTTAAACTGTGGATAATAATATGCTGCTTCTCCGGCTCCCCTTTCCAAAAAATACTGCATAAGATGTTCTGGTAGGAAACCTTTGGTTCCAATTAGCCTCAAGAGCATTAGGAAGACCAAAGGTACGTGGGCTACCAAGTTCATGGTTGCCTTCAGCATTTCACCCTGTGATATTTTGCTGTTTTATGGTTATTAACATCAAATAATATACAGATTTATTTAAATATAAAGGAAGAATCTCCCTCAAACTGTTACATCATACAAAACAACACAAAAAGACCCGTATTCCGACAATGTAGCATGATAAATGTCCACAAAAGCAGATGAGAACACTGGTTTGCCAGTAATATAAAAAATCTAATCAAATGAATTCTTTTATCCAGGTGTCATTGTGCTGGTAATGTTAGCATCTGCACAGTAGAACATCTCCACACCGTGTGAGCAGTCGTCAGGGTTGATTAAAGTTGAGGTCAGACCAGTGATCATGACAAACAGGCCGGCTATTATCAACAAGGTGGGAATCAGGTTTTCACCTTGGTAAAAATGACCGGGGGAGAGCTTGAGGAAGCAGGCAGATGGGAGGATGAAGATCAGAGGGGTGGCGCTCAGAGCCCCCTGGATGAGGACAGAAATTCAAACACTGAGGTAGCATACATTTAAATGATCTAAAACAAATAGATACAACCATGCTGAGTTGAAATCACTTACATTTAGCTCCAAAACTCTTCCCAGGCAGTCATAGGCCAGAGATATTGCTGTGCACATTGTAACTATGAGCACGGTTATGGCTGCATGTTCAGCTTTTGAAAGATCACGTCTGCACAAGACATTGGACACCACCTGGAGAAGCAGACAGAGAAATTATACCTTCTTAGCACCAACCTGCACCTCTGTCACCAACTTTCACCAGATCATATAAACTCTCAGCTGTTGAATTTGTAGGTTGGCCCAAGCAACAGTACAATTTACCTCTCTGGTAACAAAACACTCAAGTGGAAACGTGGTGATTATGCTGAAGCCAAAGCAGAAGCGGCCAAATGTTGCCAGGTTATCGTCTCTGCAGTAGTTCTCAAATATATCTCCTGAAAAGTAAAAAAAAAATAAAAATAAGGCGTATTTATTTATAACCCAGAAATCTGTTTGAGGAATAGCACTCAGCACATTTTGCTTTGTACCTTGTGTGTAGCCAGTGAACGTTGTGTAGCCTGCAACGGCAAACGCAGCACTGATGACCAGAGACGAGCCCACGGAGATGTGGGTGACCCGAGACCAGTTTGATAACGTGGGATGCTCCAGTGAGTTATAGATCAGAAAGCTGTTGTGGTGGCAGATAAAAGCTAAAAAGACAGACGAGCAAAGTATTAAAGTATAAAATACTACGAATAGTTTTTTGTTGTTTGGATTAGCAAAAAATAAACATTTCTATTAGATTTTGCACCGCTGAATGCAAAAAACTCACCAAAAGACATGACTCCAACTGCCTGAATGGCATTCCATTTTGCAAATGACCATGCATTCTCTGTAGGCTCACTAAACAAAAAGTCAGTTCAGTTTCTGTTTTGCATCAAATCGCAAAGTATTCATTCTTACATTTGGGGTCCGAGTGTGGCTGATCTGATGACAGCAATGACGAGGATGCTGAGAGTCAGGACCATGGACAGGAAGGACACCTGGTGATGCATGAATGTATTTACACAGGTAGGATCACTGTAACACACTGACAGATCAGAGATCAGATGTCTTACCTTGCCAAGTTTCTCTATGTTTCGATAAAGTGACAGTGGCAGAGTGAACAGTAAGGTCGACAAGAGGATCACAAAGTGACGTTCTGCTAGGATGTGATCTGGTCCAACTGCAAAGACAGCCCGACACATCATTCATTAATAATCTCTTTAAATTGAGGATATAGATTTTTACAACTATTTTAAAGGTGCATTATGTAAGAATGAAGTAAGGGTGACATACTGTGGTCAAATTTGGTTACTGCAGCTCATTTTCAAACTAAAACTGACTTCCTCACTACGGTTCCATGCGTTTCATGGCTATTTCCAGCTACAGATCAACATCAGAAGATCGTAGATGACGAGTGAAGACGAGTCATACACAGTTGGTTGACAAGTAGATAAATACATTTCACTGTAATATTAAGTTGTGGGCAAATGGAAAAAGTAGCTTTAGATATTTTTTGAGCCAACTACTTTTTCTAATTCACTGTTAGAATTGTTAGCTTAACGTTAGCCGTTAGCCTGCTTCACCTAATATTAGAGTAAAACAAAAAGCTGTTATGTGTCACATTGAGGGGAAGATTAGGACCCAAAAATGCAGATTACCCAGGATGACTCGAGGTAGGAGTTGGTAAAAGTAAAAATCCTTTATTTGGCAGGATGAAAACAAAATAAATCCATAAGGCAGCGAGCCAAAATCCAAAAGTCCTGGAGCTCAGGACACCAAAAGCTCACTTAGAGCACCAATGTCTGGGAACAAAAGTCCTGGAGCACAGGACACCAAAAGCTCACTTAGAGCACCAAAGTCTGGGAAAAAAGGTCCTGGGACACAGGACACCGAAAGCTCACTAACAGCACCAAAAACCTGATGACACAAGCTCACATAGAGCACGAATAACGCTGACAAGAACACAATGGACCGACAACCACACAGAGACACGACAGGGCTTATATAGACTGGGAAGATGAGAGGGAGATGAATTGCAGGTGTGTGGGGAGAGGGGCCAGGTGAACACAATTACTAACTCAGGGAGGAGGAAGAAAACACTGGTGGGAAAAAACACATTAAATAATGAAAGGCTGTAACAAAGGAAAATGACCTAAGAGAAAAACAAAAGACCAGAAGGCATGAACCATAACTAATATTCTAAGGGGAAGCTGCCACTAAAGGAAAACACTACAGAAATAAACTACAGGGGTGTGGCTAGGAAGGGGCCAAGAGAGCACAGGGCCTAGGAGAGGGAAGTCTGAGGAGGGAAACCTAGAGGGCAAATGGGGAACACCAGGAGACACATGAGGAAGATGTAGACACGACACATGCGGGCGCTAGAAGACACAAAAGGAGCACCTAGAGACGAATGAGGACAAAAGGAGACACATGAGGTGAGACGCAGACACAGACCATGGTTGTTAGGGTTTCTTAGGGGTACAAGAAATAACTTCTGGGTCGCTCCGGTTTACTGGCTTAGGATCTTTACTAACATGCAGCTTTTGCTGGCCGGCGCCAGTTTAGCAGCATTATGGGCTCGACACACGGGAGGCGACATTGCCTCTCCTCCATTCATTTTCAATGAGACATGCGCGACAAAGCGATAATCGCGGGTCTCCCTCCTACCAAGCGAAACACGAAAAACGTGCGTGTGAAATTTCGCGCTCATGCACGTGTAGTGCACAGGCGACCCAGCGACGCGATCCCAGAAAGTTAAAATATTTTCAACTTTTCATCGCTGTCGCTCGGACGAGGACCAATCAACGGAGGTTTCATTCACTCGCCAATGAGCGGACAGGATGCTCCGTACATCTCCGAGCAAACATGGAGGAGAAGTTGATTATTATTATGTTTTATAGTAAAATCAGCAGTAAGATTTCACATAACTCTAGCAGCACCTTGTGAAACATCATATCTACCGCTTTTTAAACTCTGAACCGCTTAAATAACCTTAATTCCCTCCAACCTGACACAGCCAAACAAAACAATGGAAGTTTCAATTTCGCCATGGAACAGAACGCGTAGACGGCTTTGCCGCTGCCGCAGATCGCCTCACGTGTGTCAGGTAATAAAAGCGACTGCGACAAATTTTGCTGATCGCAGTTGTTTGTCGCCTCCCGTGTGTCGAGCCCATTAGCTGTCGCAGGCTCAGCAAGCCCACTGGCTCACAGATTGTAAACAAAGACTACGTCCCTCTTTAGCTTTTTTTGATAGGAGAAAAAAAAACTGACAACCTCCCAGTCGACTGAGAAAGAATTCTGTTTCATTGTAACCTTCCTTCCAACATGATTTAGACATTAGACTGTTTTGTGATTATTTCACTGAGAATTCTTACATATTGTACCTTTAAGGTTTAAAATGAATTACCTCCTGGTATCCTTAAAAACACTTTTGTCAGCGTGTCGCCAGCTGTGATGTTATAGCTGACCATGGCTGAAGGGCAAGAATGAGGATATCAATGCTTTTATTTTTTTTAATAATTTCATTTTCTTTTGTACAAATTTGAAACATGAGAAATTTTTACTTAAATCACAGAAAATTAGACAGGGACCTTAACAACTCACCAATGAAAGGATAAAGAAACTGCAGAGCAGATAAGATCATAAATCCAGGGAACCCAAATGTGTTTTGCACCAGAGACTGATAACTACTTGTCCCTGAAAGGTTCCCTCCTCTGATTAGCAGAACAATTGAGTAGTCTAGGAAACAAAAATATTAGAAATATTAAAATAATAAAATCTATTTCATAAAAGATTTTTTTATTCCAAGAACTAAAACATATTTTCAATACCTGTGACGAATCCAACAGCAATCAAAAGAATAATTCCCAATGGGAGACCTGCCTGGTTCATTGCATATGGTAAACCTGTTTAGAATAGAATAGAATAGAATAGAATAGAATAGAATAGAATGTTATTGTCCTTCAGTGGGGACACTTTGGTGACACTGCAGCAACTACATTCACAACAGGAGCAGAATAGGAGAGTGAAAATTAAAGAGTAAAATAAAGAAAACGTGACACAAAAATACCTAAAATTTGATTATACTTAAATTTTCAAATTTGTATGATTTAGAAATTAGAAATACTGTGTGGATTTAAAAAAAAACAGGAAAATACAGAAATATCATTAGTTTTGCATTACACAAAAAAGGGATGTAAACTAAAACAGAGTCTTGAATGAAAACAAAATGCTTTTGTCAGACAAATATTTAGTGTATTCATTACATACTTGTTTTATATCCACAACAAACGGGTTAATAAATGTGGGCAGCTGGTGCTGGTCATAAGACACAGCTGCAGGACTTGAATAAATGCATCTCCTTGTTGCAGTAAACTTATTTCACCTCAGAAGTTAGTGAATCTCAGCGTCTCAACGCCAATGTTTACCAATAATTCCAGATCCTATTATGGAGTTGATGAAATTAAAGCATGCAGATATGGTTGAACCTTTCGAGACTCTTTCAGCTTTTAGTGGATTTATTAACATGCCTCCTTCTTCCCAGATCTGCTACAAGAAAGATGAATAAAACAATAAATCCATAGTCCTTCAGTTTGTTATTGATTAGAAAAAAGGGAGACGAGCAGCATCACACCTACCTGTTGAGCCATTTCGGGTCTGATCCTTGGTCTCTATATGCTCTCAGGCTAAGCTCTTAACTTTAGGCGTTGGGACAAGAGTTGGAGAAAGTGTGAGAGAAAATATTTTCAATTCAGGCAAAAAAAACTTCAAAATGCAACTCAACAGCGCCTCTTTTGGTCCAAACGAAACAAACAGGCGGGGAAGATCTGCAGCACAAGTGCTGATCTGTGACTGAAGCCCACATAGTTTCATACTACTTTTATATATGATCCTCCAACGTCAGAGAAATAGGTTTGACACCTGATCCCGAAAGTACGTCTGGGCTTTCTGATGGAACATTTGGGGGGAGGATTCCAAGGGTTTATCAGCAGATTAGGAGCTGATTACTAAAAGCCTCTTTTGTTCACAGATGGAAAAAGTCGCGAATAGGAGATGGAAAATTAACACATGATGTTTTTCCACTTTGAACCCTTACAAGGATCTTTTGTGAGTCTCGGTAAAAGGTTATCAGTTGGTTCTAAATGTGACCAACCTTAATGGTTCAACTCACGGTTTTAAAAAACAAAACAATAACACACTGTGCGTAAATAATTTGATGACATGATACACATCAGTTTTCTGTTCTGTCTCAATGCATTGTTGTTTTATGTGTCTATTAATTTACATGTTTCGACATTTATATGCGTTTTAACAATGTTTAAAAAGATGTTTATTTGTTCCTTTAAAACTAATTTTTCCTTTATTTTTACACTATTAATAGCTAACAAACTGTTTAGATTTGGTAGTGTTTTACAATAATCTGTCTTCTGAAAATTTGTTTTACATCTAGCATCTTTTTAAGGCATTTCTTTCAACGTTTTTACTTTCACACTGATTTCTTTCTTTTTTGCAGAGTTGCTTAGTATGTAAAATGTTTTTGAACTATTGAATAAAAATGTAACAATGTTTGGAAAAGAACAGAAATATGGAAGTTGTATCTGCCATTTTCTATTGTGCTACAAATTTTATTTAGTTACTTTTTTAACTTTATTGTTAATATATTCAAGAATAGCTCCATTCACATTATATGTGATATAATTCATGTTTTTCTTTGCTTCTTATATTTTATTTGTTATTGTTTGTAATATTATTATTATTATTATTATTATTATTATATTTGTTGTTTACAATACTGTGAAATAGATTTGCCAATTTATAAAAATAAATAAATAAAATATTACCACTGCAACTGGCCTATTTACTATTGCTAGTTTTCTGATTATTTTAATATTCCGCTGTTGTTTTTTTTTATCATTTTGGTGTTCATGCTAGTTTTAGCTAGATATTTTATTCCTTTCAATTTGTATTTTTTTTCACAGTTTAGTCAAAATAAAAATGATTTCCTCTCTAGTCTGCCTAGTTTTATCTGTGTCCACCAGGGGGCAGCATGCCTAACTACTCTCACGTTCTTTACCGAAACTTTGAAACTAAAATATATTTTAAAGGCTACAAAAACACAGAAGTCGCTATGAATGAAGACAACTTACTCCTCTATTGCACTTTAAGTTGGTGTGATGTCTATTACGCATGCGACTTTGAAGGCAATTAATGATGTCAAACATACAAAAAAACATTGCCCTACTGCCTACAGCCACCCTCACACACAGTCAGAGATGTGGTTATTTTTTAGTTGCCAACAGAGCAACATCCTGTTTCCGACAACAGCATCTGAAGGCTCTCTGACTGGAACCAAACCATCAGGTGCCCAGGAACATCCGGAAGCGCAGCAGCAGAGTACTCCAAGTGCTCAGGAAGGGTGGACGTTGCCTCTCGCTTTCTCTCTCTCTCTCTCTCTTTCGGTGTATTCCTCTTAGAAACTGTAGAAATGGGCAGCTTTTCACCGGAAGGAGATCCCAACACCTTGAAAGGATTTGAAACACCTTAAACTTTTTGTTATCTATTAGTTTTTATTTTATTTTATTTCTAGTATTAATTTTTCAAACATTTTACTCAGGCTTAGGCTGTTCCTAACAAGTGTCGAGGATGGAAAACTGCTGGTGAGTGGAAACAGCGTTTGGATCGCCTTTGTGGCAAATTGACTGATGTTCAACTGAGCGAAAAGTATTTCTTTTTTTATTTATAAGCCTACCAGTGGTGTTCTAGTCTTTTCATTCAGGTGTGACCATTGGATTTCAGACTATTACATGCTAGAATAAAAGGTGGAGTTTGTGTGTGTGTGTGTGTGTGTGTGTGTGTGTGTGTGTGTGTGTGTGTGTGTGTGTGTGTGTGTGTGTGTGTAAAGATGTGATTGATTTTATGTGCATTTTGACAAATACTAAACTACAAGCTGTAGTCACCTGTAAAAGATAATGGGACAAGGCAGCAATTATTATCCCACACTCCATCTGAGATGACTTCCTGCCTGCATGGCTGTCCACATCTTTATTAGATTGCTGGCAATTAGAAATTACTGTCCTGTTTCCATTATGAGTGAGCAAACAGTGCAGCCTAGCAGCTTGTTCATAAAAGCATAAACTGGTTCCGGAGAACTATATGAGAACGGCCTCTCACCATGGCACGCCAACGCCCTGAGTGGGCCAGACAGGGTTCTGATTCTGTTGATGGAACGAGGCAGATCCATGTATGAGTTGGGAGCACTTAAGTGTTTTGAGTGTGCTGGTCCCACAGGAAGCCACAGGCATTGAACTGTTTTCACTTTGGATGCAAAAAATTGAGAAAAAATATAAAAATTTGACCTCACATATTGTTTAAAGCAATAATTCAGCTTTATTAATCTTTGTTCAGGCTTTCTTTCTCTTCTTGGAGAGCAGCTTTGCAAATGAACAGTGGTCAAAAGTGTTATGTGTTTGTGTTGAGCACCACCCCTGCTCTTTCTGCAACTAAGAAAGGACAACTCAGACATATTGCTATTTGAGTAGACATTTGAGGGTTTAGGACAACGTTTTTTTTTATCCATGAAGTTTTTCCCTATATTTGCATCCTGATCTCCAAATGTGATGCACCAATGGAAAAAATGTGAATTCTTTCTATTGAAATAAGAACATTTTCAGATCTAAAGCATATTGAAACCTCTCTTCGTTTATTCTAAAGGTGTGGAACACAAAAAAAATCATTTTAAAATTCTTATTTCTGACTATAATCAGTCACTCTGAGTTTTTCATGCAGGCTGAACATGAAAATAGTCTCCTACACCGATATCCTGCATTAGCTTCTGATAGAAATAGACGGTGAAACTCAAGGATTTCAAAAGCCCGACAGATCTACATCACACTGTCACTTAACATTCATGGACTCACCCGTCTTGAGTCGCAACAAGGAAAGCTGTTGTTGAGCATCTCGACTTGTAGAAGCTAACCGTTAGCATTAGCAACTCCACCACACGGCAGAACTTCTCCAGTCTTGTGTTATTTATGAAGATAAAACATCAGCGTTGCAAGTCAGTGTTAGAGTCTCATTGCTGTTAACCAATCAGGGGCGAGATGTCCAAATATCAGGAAATAAGACTCTAAATCCTGTTGTCTGAAGCTCAGCTGTGATATGGCTCACTTCTAGCTCCTGGAAAGGGTGCACCAGTTGAACTATGCTGGCTGGTTCTTTTAAAATGCCATGGAACACCTAATGTTATTCTTCTGACTTTGTCAGTAAGTTCTCAAGCCTCTAAGCTCACAACAGAATTTAAGAGTGAATTTACAGCTTTTAAAAATCTGTTGAAACACAGTTTTTATTATTTTAGCCGATGATTCCATTAGTTTCTTCTAAAACACAGACACATTAGGCAACAATCTGCCAAAAGCTATTTCTTGCCACACTGAAGCACCAGTGAGCATTCAGAGGTCAAAGAAACAAAAGTTTAAAGTGATTGATGTGACATTAAATATTAAAGCAAAGCTTCTGTCTCCATTTGACCCTTTGGCTCATAAGGCCAGTGTCGGTTATGGCTTAAAGGCCATCATCAGGCGGTTTAAAGTGTGATGCATAACAAAAGTAGTTTTGATGGTGTTCTGTTCCAACACAACTTGATGTGTTTATGTCAGGTCGTTCAGCACGAGGTCATGATGCAGACAGGTTGTAGATAATTTGAAGTGGGCCTATTTGAGGCTTCAAAGTGGGAGTTCATATCTAAAGCAGGGTGTATTGAGACAGATTGACTGAATGATGATTACCTCTTCAGATGTTGCAAATGACATTTTACATTCATGGAGGATTGTCAAATTAAAATAATTGTTGTTGTTTTTTTTTTTGTTTAATAATTAAATTTACGTTTTCTTATACTTAATTCCAAATTGTAGACAAAAGCATTATGTTTTGTAACATTTTAAAGATAACAAATACGTCTTAAGTCTGAAAGGGTTAATCAAAGAGTGCTGTCATTTGCTTTTGCTGTGTAATTACAGTATAATTTATCAGCTCTAATTTGACAAATTTTCAAACCCATTAGGACAAGAAGCTAGACTTTTATCTGTTGAACTGATGCAGATAAGGAGAATGTCAGTATTTTGCAATAAAAGCTGCACGTAAATGGTTTTTATTTAGTTAAATGATAAATGACCCACACTTGTATAGCGCCTCTCAGAGTAAGGACTCCAAAGAGCTTTACACTACAGTGTATCATTCATCCATTCACACACACATAACAGTGGATCTTTTATTGACTTTATGTAATACAATTACATGGAAAATTTACAAGTAATTAAATTACATAGTCTACCTTTTTGGCCGACCCTTGGTTTCAGTGTACCATCTCTTTTTTTTTCCTCAGAGGCTCAGAAATGAACTTTTACTTGATTGTTTTTGGCTCATAAAGCTTTTCTTGTAGTCAAAGTCTTTAAATCGAAGATGAAGATCACTACTTAGCAAAAGAAAAACTTCAATGCATCACATAAGAAATTAAGTACACTCAAAAATGATTCTTGGCACAAGAAAACACAAGGTAAGACTTTTATTAAAGATTTAACAAAAATTGTTAAATCGCATCTGTGATTCATCAAAATGGTTCAACTAAAATCAAATGTACTAAATGGAACGCTAAACTAAGCGTCTTTAGTAGAGATGTTCGATATTATCGGACTACCACTAATATTGGCCGATATTGGCATTAAAATTTAATATCGTAAAATGTCAGTATCGGTTTTCAGTTTTTTAATGACCAACTTTTGCATACAATACACATATTATATATAAAACTCTTCAGCTATCTCCTCTCTCTCAAAATGTCAAAATATGAAAGATCTGAGGTAAAGCATTTGAGATATTTTAGTTTATTCGACACAACTTGTGAAGTAGAAATTTCCCATCTGTAGTGAACGTATGCTGTCCTCACAGCTCTAGCTATGTGTAGCTAACAGCTAACAAACGACTAAAACAAAAACAAGAACCTTCAAAAGGCTCGTTTTTCTGAAGCAGTGTTGCCAACTCAGCGACTTCGTCGCTGTTCCTAACGACTTTTTGACCCCCCTCAACGACTTTTTTTCCAAAAAGCACCTAGCAACAAACCTAGCGACATTTGTCAGGACCCGTTGCTACTTTCTGTAGAACTTTCATGTAGATATTCCCCACAGATTAGCAACAAAGAAACCATTTGCACTCTGAACCGTTCTTCCGGGAGTAAGGAAAGAGAACGATAATCTGCACATGTGCATGAGGACTGACCAATCATAAACCATTTTCGGCCGGGCTGATTCGCCGAAGACAAAGGTACAGTTGCAGAGCTGGAGACCGCCGACGTCTGCTGCTGCTGCTGCAGACTCACGCTTCTACTAGAGACGGCACAGGCGTCAAACTGCGATCTCTGGTTCTGCAGCCGTCAGACACTTTGGCTTTTCCTGCATTTGGCAAATAAAGTCAACAGGAGTTTCAACTACCGTCCCGTTTACACACGCAGCTCTGTGGCTCATCTGAATTTCCTTCAGTGACACAGGGATGGTTATACTATGAGACTCCCGCTCCCTTTTGCTCGGTGCGCCGTTATTATCACGATGGAGAGAATACACAACGGAGAAGTTGAGAAACTATGAGGTGTAAAAAAAGTGCTTTTTAGGAAAATGGCTGTGAGAATGAGGAGAGCAGAAGGTCTGAGTTATGCTATGGGGAAAATGAACGCCTATGTGGCGTAATGACTTCATCAATATGCAAATTAGCACGTGACCTCACCTGGCGACATCTAGCAACTTTTGGGGGAACTTCAGCTACTTTCAGTCAAAAACAGTTGGCAACACTGTTCTGAAGATCTTTATAATTGTTTTATCATCGTAACTGCAATATACAGAATAAGACAAAAAATGCATTATTAGATACATCTTAATGTCACGCTTAGAGAAAATGAGATTCAGCTGCTGCTGGAGATCGATTAAACATGCCACTTTCTCTATCACTAATTTAAATTCAGGTAGTTTACATTTTGATCAGAATTTTTTTAAAATTTAAGCATGCATGATAGATATGTGATGTTAGTAACCTAAAATGTTTAAGCTTTTCTTTTTTTATGAGAGTGGAACACAGCAAATATCGGTTTATATCAGTATCGGAAATTAAGAGTTAACTATACCGTTGTATCGGATATCGGTTAAAAAATGCAATATCGAGCATTCCTAATCTTTCTTTATCGAATCCCATTTTGCAACTTTTAAAGTTTGTCATTTGCTCTTCCTTTTGGCTGAAGAGGAGAAAAGAAGGAAACTGTACATGCATCCTTAAAAAAATTCTTGTCCCTAGTAGTCACCAACTAAAATGTCCATGTAATAATATTTTTAAAATTGCAACTCTTGTATATTAAAATAGTCGAGGACAAGTCAAACAAACATAAGAACATAATACCTTAAAAGTGGATCTTTTATTGACTTTATGTAATACAATTACATTGAAAATTTACAAGTAATTAAATTACATAGTCTACCTTTTTGGCTGACCCTTGGTTTCAGTGTACCATACAAAATAATCTTTCAGGAAAACAGAGGATTGTAATGAAGAATAGGACTGTACAACATGACCAAATTTGTATTTTCTAATATAGGTTGTTTCTATCCAGATGTGATGAATAACATGATAGAAGACATTTTCTGCTAATTCTGATTAATATATTTTTAATGTGGGTGAATTAGCTGAAAGTGGGTCTTGGTTCTGTTTATTTTTTCACTGTAAAAATGTACTGAAAAATACATTTCCTGTAGATGCTTTTAGGGTGTTTTCTGCATTAATTGTTCTTTGGCTTTGTTGATTTTGCATCCAGGAGAGAGCAGAGCACATCTTGGCAAGTAGAAGCTAACCGTTAGCCATAGCAACCCCACAACATGACTGACCTCCGTCAGGCTTGTGTTATATGGGAAGATAAAACATTAATGTTGCATTTTCACCCAAGAAAGGAATAAAGTGAGGCAATGTGATTCACATTGCTGTTAGCCAATCAGAGGCAAGATGTTTGCACATATATAAACGAGTTAGACCCAAAATCCTGCTGTTTTCCACCCCACTCCTCCAACTATCTTCTACTTCCTGAAACTGAACCTGAGAGCCACAGCTTTTCTTCCACAGAAAACGACTCAAGGCATTAATTCATACTAAAGACCACAGCAGATTTATTGAAAATAATGTGTCTTAAATGTGTTGGATGCTGTGAGCCAGCAATGGAGATCCTCTCCTCAGCTCCTACAATAAGTCGTATTCATTGTAAACGTCATCGTGTCAGTTACAAACATTGCAGGCTGTCAAGAAGAAATCAGATTTGTTAGATTTCATTAACAAGTTCTGCAACTCCTTAATTTGTTTTGCTGAATCTGTAATTGCTTGGTTATAAAAATAAATGACATGATGGCATATGATCCCTTCTAAGAATACGTAGAACAAATTATGACATAAACAAATGTGACACTAGTTTCTATTTCGCTCAAAGTGTAAAATAGAGCAGAAAACATTAGAAACACGAGCTTGTAAGAAATGATCACATAAACATAGTGTGAAGTTTACATTCTTGCTTATTCATCACAAAAACAATCAACTGGGATTTTTGTATGCCAGTTAAAACTGTCAGTAGCAAAATTAGCACTTATTTATTCATTTTTAATTAAGCTTAAGTGTGTTTGTGGTTTATGTTTTGACGTGGTGGTTCCGTAGCGTTTTGTGAGGATCAGATCAGACAGAAACTCTTTGAGGTGGAGATCTGCAGTACAATATGCAGTGCATTCATATTTAATACTGCATAGGTCTTCGTAACACATCTGACCAGTCAGGCCTATTAGCAGGATGGATCTTTTCCTAGGTCTGCTCTGTGTCAGGCACCGATGGGTGAAAAAAAACTGCTTCCATTTTGAATGATGGTGGAATGGGGCAAGAATCTCACCTGGAATTGATCAATGTCATGTCAAACTTTCATTTTATTTCCAGATGAGAGGATAATTAGATCTAATTTTACCACCGAAGGAATTTATGTTCATGACGGCCATTTCCATGGCTCGTTTTAGCTTTTCTCAGGGTGGTGATCTCTCACCATTTTCATCTCCCGTCTAAACTGTTTGGAGTTATTTATCTGTATTGGCCAGAGGTGAATCGATACATGCCATTTAATGTCACATTGAAACAATGAATGTTATTAACTTGTTGGAATGTTCCTTTCAGACTTTTCTCAAGTTGGAGGCCAATTACTATCGCTGAAGCTGCAGGATGAAAAGATGGAGGATTTCCTTACACCACCAGGTCCAGACAGCTTCCGTCCCTTTACCCGTGAGTCCCTTAAAGCCATCGAGGAGCGGATTGCCGAGGAGAAAGCCAAGAAACCTAAAGAAAAGAAGAAACGCAAGGAGTTCAAGCCCAAACCAAGCCATGACCTTGAAGCGGGCAAGCCTCTCTCTTTTATGTACGACATTCCTGAAGGCCTGGTGTTTAAGTTGTTGGAAGACCTAGATCCCTACTACAAAAACCAGAAAGTAGGTTCATGTAAACCCCAGCATTAAAGCCAAAGTCAAGTATACCAAATAATTCTGGATGAATTAAATTGTTTTTTCTCTCAGACTTTTATAGTAGTAAATAAGGGTAAGTACATTTTTCGCTTCAACGCCACTCCTGCCTTGTGGATCCTGAGTCCTTTCAATCTCATAAGAAAAATATCAATCAAGATCCTGGTACACTCATATCCTTTCAATAAGCAACGGAGTTCATAAGCATTGATTAGGTCTGTTTTTAGTTAAGGGACATAATAAGCAAAACTCACCTTTTGCATCCTTTTGTGCTGCCATGTTGGTCTCTACTGCTTCTATAAACACTCTAAACAGAAAAACAAAATCAGTTCGTCCATTTTCTGTCAGTGCTTGGTTTTAGGAATTATGCGCTTAAAACAAGCTGTTTCAAAAGGTCCCTGTGATGTCACAAACAGGAAAAGTAGAATAGAACTAACTCACACAAAACAGAGCTGGACCGTTTCTCAAAATGAATACTTATCAGAACTTGTGTACTCACATCTTTGTGAAACACCGTCGATGGCCCAAGTACTGTTCTAAGTATGCATCATGGCAAGTTTGATCAAAGTTCCCGGATGTATTCTTGCTCCACCCATTGTATCGTGTTAAGTTTAGGGTTATTGATGCATCCTTCTGCGGACTTGGGACAGCAAAGTAGCCTGTAATGCATTGCGCCGCTAATTGATATACCCCAAACCGCAGAGGAGAAAGCTCATGACTGTAGTGTTTTGTATCTTTTTGGTCATTCTTTAGTTTTTTTCGGAACCCCTTGATCGAACGTGGTATCATCGAGCGTGGTGTCATTAGCATTAGCGAATCTGCTCGTAATTCACTCTTGATCCCAAACTTTGGACCGTTTCTGCCTTTTACAAAGGTTTGTGTCTTTGCTGGTTTCTCTATTTCCTCTACAGCCCCTAGATTACCACATTGTGCACCAGTAAATTATGTTCAGACAGTGGTGCGCACACATCGAATCAGTAAAAAATGATTTGAGGAATTTACTGAATCAAATTTGAACCATTTGATGACTCATTGTAGCCCTACATAAAATGTTAACATATCTTGCAAATCTGACTTAGCATCTTTTTGTGCTGCCATGAGGGCCTCTACTGTCTCTATAAACACTCCGAATATATGCCTAAAATTAGCCATTTCCTTAAAGTCCCTTATTGTGATGTCACAATAAGGAACATTAACATAGATCTACTCCACCTGCTGAAGCCGGAAAAGCTTCTCTACTCCAAGCCCCTCCTGGATGTCCAAACTCCTCACCTCAAAGCGGCCTATCAGGATGGGTATGCGTGGCTACCAATGTTTTCTTAAAGTGACAGAGCCCTAAATTGGCTCTGGAAGACTCTGAAGATGTCAAGAAAAAAGCTACTGCGCTCGCTTTATGTGAGAGGGATTTTAAGCAAAGAAATTAATGTACAAGTTTTGTAATGACAATAGAACAATTTGAACAAAAATGCCATAATGCGTCCCCTTTAAAAAGTACCCAAAGCTTGTGAATGTTAAACATGAAATTAAATAAAAAGCTAATTCCATTAGTGAATTATCTGCCTCCTTGACAACTGCCTGTAAATGGTTCAACATGTTGATCATGTGCACCATCCTCATCAACTGTGGATTCATGACTCTAAATGACCCTCCTGCATGGACGAAAAATGTAGAGTAAGTTCACCAGCATATCAATATATACTTTTTCATATCTGTATGGTTAATTTTGTTAAAAAGAAAATTTTTGTTTTCAAACAGGTACACATTTACTGCAATCTACACTGGTGAGTTCCTAGTTAAGGTTCTAGCCAGAGGATTCTGTGTAGGGAAGTTCACGTTTCTGAGAGATCCCTGGAACTGGTTGGACTTCTTTGTCATTGTCCTGGCGTAAGTGCAACACAGAAGGAACAATGGATAAATGTTGGAAATATCTTTTTATTTATTATTTAATTAATCTGGAGTTTGTGGTTGTTGTGTATTAGTTTCATTGTTGGTAACTGATAAAATGTGTTCCTATACCTTGAAGCCTACATTTACTGCTCAAATAATTTGGCTAGTTTATATTTAGCAGAAGCTAATCATTAGCATTAGCTACTCCACCACATGGCAGAGCTTTTTCAGGCTTGTGTTATTTTTGGGGATAAAACATCAACGTTGCAAAGGAAGCAGAGTCAGCGGTAGAGTTGCTGGTGTTAGCCAATCAGAGGTGAGATGTCCAAATCCTGCTGTATTCAGCTCAACTCTGATCTGGCTCACTTTCAGTTCCTAAAACAGGTGCACCAGAGCTTTTTTTCCCCCAGAGTATGACTTACAAGGCAATACTTTTTACCAGAGACCACTGCAAATGTATTATGAATAAAGATGACGTTTAAAGTCAACACATTCCACCAGGGGTGGACTGGCCTATCTGGCATTCTGGCAGTGTTCCGGTGGGCCGCTTAGCCAAGTGGGCTGCTTGCCCAGCATGGGCCGACACTACTCCACAGCTGGTGATCTGCAGAACATTAGCTACATGGTAACCCGAAGCTAACAGAGTTTTTCCAGGTGTTTTTAGCAAGAAAAGCGCAGTAGAGCGATGACGTAGGAGTTAGCATGTAGTTAATGTCCTGCTGATCTCCGCCTGTGGAGAATGAGCTGATCTTGAAGGTCAGGGCTCCCGGTCGCAGCGGTCGGACCCTGCTTGTAATTTAACAGTCCCAGCCCATATTAGATCTCACATTCGGCCTAGAGACGAGTCCGCAGGCGGCAACACCCCCCACCCCCACCGCTCTCCCAATGGAGAGGGCCGACGATTCGTAAAAATGCCAGGGCCGAATTTTGGTCCCAGTCCACCCCTGCATTCCACCCAAATTTGGACAAATAACATCTCTCATTGCCTATTTTTATCGATTGTTTTTGTAACTTACATACATCCAACAAACAGTGATGGTTTCTGATGTTTTGTAGCCACCCTTAAGAAGCATGTAACCCACAACAATTTGTGTTTTTCTGCAGGTATTTAACAGAGTTTTCTAAAGAAGTTGGCAATTTGTCGGCTCTTCGGACGTTCAGAGTGCTCAGAGCATTTAAGGCAATCTCAGTCATCCCAGGTAAGCTGTACACACATGCTGCTTTATTCCCCTGCAGTTCCTGCCTTTCTGCAACAGCCAAAATAAGAACAAAAGATGATTAGTAGAGATAGAATATGAATCCAACTGAAGAGATGGAATAATGTTAAGCGGAATCGATGGGTACGAAGAAACAGCAGCATGAGTTGTTTTGTGTTTGTTTTACAGGCTTGAAGACTATCGTTGGTGCCTTGTTCCAGTCAGTAAAGAAACTCGCTGATGTAATGATCCTGACTGTTTTCTGCTTGAGCGTCTTTGCACTTGTAGGATTACAGCTGTTCATGGGCAATTTAAGGAATAAGTGTGTAAAGGACGCCGATAACGAGACATTATTGACTGAGAGTTATCTCAAGGACGCGGGTGAGTATTAGATGTGATTGTAGCTTCTTCTGTGGCTTTACCGAGGAGAGAAAAGTATCGAAGTATCTTTGGATGAGTGAATAATATGTGTTACTTGTGTTTGTTTAAGAAAAGATTGTTTAAGACTTGCACGGAGATGACAAGCAGATGTTATTTGCTTTATTCAATTCATTACAAAGTTGTACCCATCAAAATAATCAATTTAATTTAGATTGACTGTTGGGCTGCTATGCTACAATTACTGAGCTCCACAATCCTCTACATGAATTTTAACACTGTTTTTCCCTCTTGTATTCTCAGATAATTATTATAATGTTTCTGGAAAGCCATTGCTTTGTGGACACAGCAGTTCAGCTGGGTAACTAAATTGCTCCTCATCTCCTAGAGTTCTAGTTTTAAAGTAGGAAACAGTCCTTGTTATGGGCAGCTGTACAGTATTAACAAAACCAAGCAGAGGAAATAAAAGCTACGATCTGCTATGAGCCTAACAGAGTTTTCTACAGGAATTGCCCAGAGGGGTATAAATGCCTTAAGGCCGGAGGTAACCCAGACTATGGCTACACCAGCTTTGACACCTTTGGTTGGGCCTTCCTTGCTTTGTTTCGGCTGATGACACAGGATTACTGGGAATACCTTTACCAGCAGGTAAGCAGTGGATAAAGGTAAACCTAAAGAACAACGATAAAATCTGTCATGTTCTGGACTTGGTGTGTAGGTTCTTTAAATAATTAGTGCGACAGTGGCATAACGGGAGGGTTGCAGGTTCAACCGTCTGTCACACATGTTGCCCGCTGGTGGTGGTCAGAGAGACCAAAGAGACTAGTGTACGGCAGCCTCGCTTTCGTCAGTGCGCCCCAGGGCAGCTGTGGCTACATTAGCTCAAAATCGTGTGTGTGTGTGTGTGTGTGTGTGTGTGTGTGTGTGTGTGTGTGTGTGTGTGTGTGTGTGTGTGTGTGTGTGTGTGTGTGTGTGTGTGTGTGTGTGTGTGTGTGTGTGTGTGTGTGTGTGTGTGTGTGTGTGTGTGTGTGTGTGTGTGTGTGAATGACTGATTTAGTTGTGAATTTTCTTGGGGGTGTTGTAGGACCCACTTGAGAAGGTGCTTTACAAATACAGGCCATTTACAGATGGCTCATTTATTGGGATGATTTTCCACATCACTCATGCTTTACCTTGAAATTTTGGTTTGCAAATGATTGTTAGTATACATGACTTTAATGAACATTAATAAAATAAAATCTTATTTGAATCAGGTAACATTTTGAATAGTTACTTGCCACACGAACCAGGCCTTCTTTGAAATTCTGTCGAGTGTAATAACAGAATGAAATTTACAAAGCATCTTGTTTAAACAAGCATCGGTGCAGGTGCATTTTGCTCAAAGGTTATATGAGGAGTCCCTATGTGGCTCAGACAAACAACTTGAATGACGCATGAAAAATGACTCTGTTCTGACTATTGAAAGGCTTGGCAACAAAGGCCAAGTTCAATGAGAAAATGTTTTTCACTTGTTTTATAAATATGTCGGTTATTCTGAGTTCAAAGGTGTGGTTGACTGAAAAAAATAGTTTTTATTATTATTTCTGATTGTAATCAGTTGAGTTTTTAAGGCAGGCTAACCTATTTCCTGCATTAACGTCTGATGGAAAAAAGACAGTGAAATGCAAGGATTTGAAAATTCTCACATATCTATGTCACACTGTGAATTTGCATTAATGGCTCCGCCCATCTTGGCAACACTACAAATATATTACCGTAATTTCCGGACTATAGAGCGTACCTCAATATAAGCCGCACCAACAAAAAAAAAGGTTTTCTACACACACACACACACACACACACGCTGCACTCGATACAAGCTGCAGCGCAGCAGCCACATGCAGGTCTCCGGCACACAGCGCATGTATGGCTATAACATAAGATAATTAGAAAGACGCTACACGGAGGTTTTTCGTTGTTGTTTTAATGCAACAAAACAAACACAGGTGAACGTGCCTGCAAGTTTAGAAAAGAAAACAGCACTGATAGCATTCATATTTCTGGATGGTTATAAAATAAAAACAGCACTGACGCGTTATTACCGGTAATTTGCATGCATGTTTAGAAGAAAAGAACAGCGCTGGCACAGCATTAATAAGCCCTGGATGATTAGAAAATAACAACTGCACACAACACATGCCTGGTTAGTAAATAAAACACACTTGCCTACCAGAAAAAGTCATTCGCTCTCATCTTCCTCTTGTGCACTAAAGCCATTAAAGTCCTCTTCTTCAGTGTCAGAGTTGAACAGCCTCAGTAGAGCTTCATCACACACCTTTTCTGTGGCGATGTCAGTGTCGCTGTCCGTGTTGCTATCATCATCCCCGGCTGAAGCTGGCTTGAATGAGTTCTTTCCGCTGCCGTCTCCAGCGCCGAACCATGGATTCATTCATGCCAAGCTTACGTGCGGCAGCACTGTTTCCCTCCTTTACTGCCAGATCGATGGCCTTCAACTTAAATGCGGCAACATATGAACTCATACGTGTAGTTACCATGATGAGGGGGTATGGATTTGAAAAAAAATCTTCGTCGTGCCGGCTGCTTGCATGTGCTAAATTAAATTGAGCACTTTCTTCGATTTCCATTTTTGACTTCCACCTGTTTCACTTTCTGCTAAAGCGCCCCCTGGCAGGTGAAGGAAAACCTTCAGTAAAGCCGCACCTCATTATAAGCCGCACGGTTCAAAGCGTGGGAAAAAAGTTGCGTCTTATAGTCCGTAAAATACGGTAAATAAATGAGTAAACCACACCTTTAACATGCAAGCTGAACATGAAAATAGTCTTCTACCCCTATTTCCTTTTTACTAGTTTTAGAGTTTATTATGAGGAAACTTTGGATTTGATAAGCCACATTGTCACGTTGGCATTCATGGGCTCACCCATCTTGGCTTCTAAATGGGAAGGCTGTTGTTGGTTTAGCATCCAGGAGAGAGTAGAGCACATCCCAGCTAGTAGAAGCTAACCATTAGCATTAGCAATGCCATGACATGGCAGAACTTCTTCCTGGTTTGTGTTATTTGTGGAGATAAAACATCAACATTGTAAAGCAAATGGAGTGAGTGGTAGAGTCACATTGCTGTTAGCCAATCAGAGGCGAGATGTCCGGATATCAGGAAATAAGACTCCTAATTCTGATGTGATCTACTCATCCCCACTTTGGCTCACTTCCAGTTTTTGAAACACAAGCATCAGAGCTTTTTTCTCACAAAGCTCGAATCACAAGGCCTTCATTTATACTAAAGACCACTCTTAAGTGTAAAAATGAGTGAACTTGGTCTTTAAAACAACACAACACAGTTCCCTTCAGAGTCATATTCTGTTCATTATACAAAACACCGTGATAATTCAAACCCTGATTCTCAAAAGCAACTTTCATGTCAGTTACTTGTGTGAATGAAAGCCTAACAAGCATGAGTCTGCTTACAAATGACCTTGTTTTTTCTCTATTTCCAGACTTTGCGAGTTGCTGGAAAACCCTACATGATCTTTTTTGTCCTGGTCATATTCCTTGGCTCTTTCTACTTGGTCAACTTGATTTTGGCTGTGGTAGCTATGGCCTACGAGGAGCAGTGCCAGGCCAGCATAAAGAAAGCTCAAGAGAAAGAGGAGGAGTTTGAGGCCATGCTTGAGCAGCTGAAACGGCAGCAAGAGGATGCTCAGGTATGAGGACGGGACACAGACAGAAAGGTTTTTTCCATCTATTTATCCTCACAGGCTTGCCTTCCCTTTTTTAGGCATTAGCAAAAGCAGCATTGGCAGAAGGTGGAGATGGATTCGGCAAAGGTGGGGCCACTGAGAGTTCCTCTGATGCTTCCAAGCTGAGCTCCAAAAGTGCCAAAGAGAGGCGCAACAGAAGGAAGAAAAAAAAGGATTCAGAGGAAAAAGAAGTGGAAAAAATCCCTAAATCAGATTCTCTGGACAGCATAAAGAAGGCTCGTTTCAGATTCTCTGTGGATGCAAACATGCTCAACTATGACATGAAATGCTCATCCATGCACCAGGTGCAGTATTATATACTTTGACTATGACATGCTACACTTCTCTCCCTTCATCCTGAACTCTGCTCTCAGCTATGATGAGATGTTTGGAAGCAGAGTTCTTTTCTGTCAAATATTCTGAACAATTAATATCCTGCTTGTTCTTGGTAGCACTCTGATAAGCCTCTTTGTGGGCAAATAATTTAATCCTGACCAGAGTGGGGATCTAACCACAAGTCTGTGTGGCCAAAATCAAACTGGATTGTTGCTGAATTACAACTCCAGTTTCAAAAACATCAGGTTGATTTATGCAAACTCTCTTCACTTTCTTATTTGCTGCACAAATAGCTAAAGCTAGATGAGGCACTTCCCGTGCATCTAGAGACATCTACAACGGGAATTGCCTAACATTTCAACTTCAGGCTCCACTTGAACGAGCTAGTTTTTAAAATTTGATTGTAACTTATTTTTATTTATCCAAACTGAGACTGTTTAAGGAACCAGCAGCAGCAGATGGGCTATATTTTGTTCTTAACCTTCCTGCAGAAATGCACTTCAGATATATTAAAAGTTAAAGTCCAATAGTTGTCACACAAACTGGTGTGTGGTGAAAATTGTCCTCCACGTTTGACCCATCCCCGTGGGGAGCGGTGAGCTGCAGACACGGCCACGCTCGGGAACTATTTGGTGGTTTAACCCCCTAATCCAACCCCTTAAAATGAGTGTCAAGCAGGAAGGGTCTTTGGTATGACCAGACCGTGATTCGAACCCCGATCTCTCAGTCCACTCTACCACTAGGCCACTGAACTGGTTAAATACGTCAACTGATACTAGGAAATGTTTGTTTCTAGTTTTTTTTTGTCTGTTTTATATTCATTTACTTGCCTATCAATGATGGAACTTTACAGTTTTTAATGAGTACTTCATGACAAGTCAAGAAAAAGGCGTATAAAGTCATCTTCATTGCTTTAAGGTCGATTACAATTTCATATATTATCTTTGATGAGCTTTTATTTGTCAACAGTATAATAAATGAGACAGTAAAGCATAAGGAAATTCTAAAAATATATTAGTGATTGAGTTTTTCAAACGCTGGCAGACCTGAAATTTATCAGAGGAAATGAAGCTGTTATTGGCTGAAAACAGCTGATTAGAGTGAGTCTAGAAAAGGATACACATTGAGATGTCAGAAAGTTCACGTTGGTCCACAGGTGCAATTGTGTTTTTTCATCATTTTCACATCATCTTGATTATCACCATCACCATCATCATCATCATCATCATCATCATTATCATCATTTATTTCTTGCTTGTTCTTGTCACTGTCATGCAGTATGAATGACCATCATAATCATCATTATCGTCATTTTTTGTCTTCATCTCAGTGATCGTCATCATGATCATCTTCTTTACCATCTCATTCTTCTTCACAATGTAACTTTTAAGTTGTCAATTTCCTTGCGGTGTTCATCTTCGTCAACACCCTTTTATTGACATGTCGTCATTTTTCCCTTAATTCATATATAAATCCTATTGTCATTGTTTTTCTTTCCTTTTGAAGATCAGCGATATCAATATCTTTTTCTCCTAGTCCTTCCTGAGCTTTCGTGGACCGCTGCTTTCATCGAGACGAAACAGCAAGACCAGCTTTTTCAGTTTCCAAAGCCAACCGCAAGATGTGGGCTCAGAAAATGAGTTTGCAGATGATGAGAACAGCATTTTTGAAGGCACCCTGAGTCGGAGGGGATCCCTGTTTCATTCCCAGAGGTGTGATCGACGCACCAGCAGTATGAGTCAGTGCAGCTTCTTACCTCATCTCCGATTTCAACCAAATAGTATCAGGCACAGCTCTGTAGACTGCAATGGGGTAGTCGCTCTAGTGGATGGGGATTCACTCCCATCATCATCACCTTTGGGATTCCATCTGCCTAAATTGTCAGTAGATATGGTCTACACTGGAGAAAATGTAAGAAACATTTAATTAGCTGAGAACACACTGGTTCTTTTGCAATTTACTTTATTGTACGACCTTCTTCCAAATCAAGAAGAAAAACACTTTGTTTTAAGTTCTATGTAGCTATTAAGTTAAATGTTGGCAAACTTTGCAGCCTGTTTTCTGTGACACTGATCCATTCATAACAACCATTTCTTTATCAAGGCTGACACAACTGATACAGAGTACAGAGAGGCTAGTGGACAAAACTATGGGGAGTTTTTGGATGTACTTGATGGCCCAGAAGCCAGACAGAGAATTCACAGTATCGCTAGTGTCATAACAAGCACCATGGAAGGTATGTATTTCTTATGCTATGCCTAATTATTTTATTACCTATCGTTATGGATCTATGGAAGTATTAACAGTTATTTTTTTTATAAAACGTTTTGTTTGCTTTGACATTAGAACTTGAAGAATCAAGACAAAAGTGTCCTCCTTGCTGGTATGACTTTGCTCACACCTTCCTCATCTGGGAGTTTTGTCCATGTTGGCTGAAAATCAAGAAAATCATTAGTCTTATTGTGATGGACCCTTTCATGGACTTGGCTATTACCATCTGCATTGTCCTCAACACATTATTTATGGCCATGGAACATGATCCAATGAATGCATCGTTCAGCTACATGTTGTATGTGGGCAATCTGGTAAGTCAGCCGTGCACCTCTATGATTTTAGTTTTGTTTCTGGTTTACGAAGTAAAATGTAATTTCTTTTTTCTCTTGAAGGTGTTCACTGGGATCTTCACAGCAGAAATGGTCCTCAAGCTCATAGCTTTGGATCCGTACTATTACTTTCAAGTGGGCTGGAATATTTTTGATGCAGTTATTGTTTGTTTAAGTTTGGTAGAACTTTGTTTGACTAATGTGAAGGGCATGTCCATTTTGAGATCATTCAGACTGGTGAGTATAATTTTACAAATTCAAAAAAGTTTTTCTTCTGAATACATTTTTAAGTTCTTAACGTAAGAAAACATTTCCTGTGTTTGAAAAAGGAACTTAAAAATGCACTTAACCTCCAGAGACCCAAATTTAGAAAACAACTGCAAAATCTTTTTTTAACCTTTCACATATTGTTCTAGGAGGCCAGATAAGCGGGCCTATTTACACATTTTAACAGCCAATAGTGTTGCAGAACTGAACAATAGGACCTATTAGCAATGTAAATGTGGTTTTAAAAAGAAAAAAAAATGGGGAAGGTTTATTTTTGTAGACTTAAATCTGATGTAATATTGCAACCGTGGGTCTCTGGGGGTTAAAAGTACCAATCCTTTTGGTATGTATCTTGAACCTTTGTTTAATTTAGATTTTAAAGGTACTCATTCATATTTAAACCATTGTGGAGAACATAAAAAATTGCCTTCTACCCCTATGTCCTGCATTAGCTTCTGACAGAAAATAGACAAACGATTGAGTCAAAAAAAAGGCCACACGTATATCTACGTCACATTGTAAATAAGCATTCATGGACTCAGCCATCATGGCTCGTAACAGGGAAGGTTGTGTTGATTTAGCGTCCAGGAGAGAGCAGAGCACGTATCAGCTAAGAAAAGCTAACTATTAGCATTAGCAACTCCACAACATGGCAGAGCCCCTTTAGGCTTGTGTTATTTGTGGAGATAAAACCTCAACATTGCAAAGCAAATGGAGTTGATGGTAGAGGTGTGTTGCTGTTAACCAATCAGAGGAGACAATTCCAAACATATGGAAAAAATGATGAGTAAGACTACAAACCATGCCTTTTTCTGCTTCCCTCTAACCTGACAAGCCATATATGAATAAATAGTCTAGTCACGACCCATAAAGAGAGCTCTGTTGTTGGGCAGAATCTGCAGCTGTCTTTCAAACTGTGATGTACTCACCGGTACGGATGTTGGTCAGCAAGGCAGTCCATTATACACTGTCAAAAAAGACGCAAATACATTTTTTATAAAGAACTTAAGTACCCCTATCAGCTCTTGAGTTAAAGGAAATAGTTCATGCCAAAGTTGTTTCAAATGAGCCGTCGCCATCTTTGTTGTTTCACTCTGTCGCAGTAACATCCTGCCCACCAAACCGATAGAGCGCTGTAATTGACAAGACACAAGCCTGTTTGGGCATGTTGAGGCTCCAATGGAGCATGACTGGACCAACTTACAGAGCTAAATCCTTTTGCTAGGGGCTGTCTAGGTTTCTAGGCAACCTCCCCTCTGATCCAACCAAATTCCATATCCTGAAACAGGAGCATGAGAGCTTTTTGCCTTCACACGGCATTTGTTTATACCAGAGACAACAGCAAAAAACTGTTGAATTTGGTCTCAGTGCATGTTTTTGGTGCCAGTGGGTCTGTATAGTTCATCAACATCACCGCTAACTCAAAAAAGAAGTTCCCTTTCAATCAAGCTGTCTTTTAGGCTAATGCTAAGTTGGCTGGCTGCCAAGTAAAACTTCCCCCCTAAACTTTGAAAAGATAGATATACTTGAGTTTGACTCACGATTTCTTTTTTTTTCTTCTATTTTTGCTAACAATGTTTAACTACTTAAATGTTTCAACTTTTTTCCAGAGCATGCATAATCTCACTTGTTCAAGAGAGATTGATGAAATATGCTTTAATTGTAAAGTTCATAAGCTTGGACTGATGATGGCATTACATGCATTTTCTTGTTACTTTATTTCTTTAATTTTTTTATTTTGTTTTTTTACAGCTGAGAGTTTTCAAGTTGGCAAAATCTTGGCCCACTCTTAACAAACTCATCAAAATAATTGGTAATTCAGTGGGAGCTTTGGGCAACCTTACCCTGGTTCTGGCCATTGTGGTTTTCATCTTTGCTGTTGTGGGCATGCAGCTGTTTGGAAAAAGCTACAAGGACAATTTGGAAAAAATCTCACAGGACAATAATCTTCGGTGGCACATGAAAGACTTCTGGCACTCATTCCTCATTGTGTTCCGAGTGCTTTGTGGAGAGTGGATAGAGACGATGTGGGACTGTATGGAGGTGGCTGGGACCACCAAGTGCCTCATCCTCTACATGATGGTCATGGTTATTGGGAATCTTGTGGTATATTGCATCTTTTATAGTGAATTCATTACAATAATAAATAACTACAAAATTCATTTTTGCTGTCTAAATATTATAGTTATCGTCCAAGAGCAGCAGACTAAAGATTAACCTCGTTTTCTGTAATGTCATCCTCTTGAAGGTGCTGAACCTGTTCCTGGCCCTGTTGCTGAGTTCATTCAGCGCAGACAATCTGGCGGCTGCAGAAGATGACGACACGAACAATTTGCAGGTTGCAATTGAACGGATTCGCAGAGGCATTGCTTTCATCAAATCATGGATTAGAAGTCGCTGCAGCAGTTCATGTCTCAGGGATAAAAAGGAGAAGAAGAGTGAGGATGGATCCATAGATAAACTTCACATGAACTTTGGGCAAAACGGTACACCAAACAGCGCCATCAAACACTTTACCGGGAATGGGAACGGAGATGTGACTGGTGTAGACAAAGCTGGTGACAAGTACATAGTCTACAGCAAGAGTGATGACTCTATCATGTCCTTCATAAACAACCCAAGTATGACTGTTAGTGTTCCTATTGCTGCAGAAGAGTCTGACTTTGAAATGCTCAACACTGAAGACTTCAGCAGCGCATCATCTAACCTGCCAGAATGTAATGTGGTAAGGACTTCTGTGTATTGATCAAATAATTTTTACTAGCTTACTCTGCTCAATAATCAAGATAATGTTTCATGGATTAACACAGAACTTGGAATTAAGAAATGGTGTTGTAAATGTTTCTGGTAAAAAAAAAGCATCCTGCAGCCAAAGTGAAATCATGACACGTCATAAGGCTTTTGCTGAAGATCCTGTATACCAAGGAGAAGCTATCATGACAAGGAAATGCCAGTGTATAGATTACATTATGAACCATTTAAGTGTGAGTGCTGGGGAGCTGAATCTTCCTAGGAAGAGTAAGCTTATGGTTAGAGAGTCAAAAATGAAAGACGTTGTCATGAATTAAACCCTGTATGGGCTGCTATATGGGTTTATATCTTTATTATGAAGGAGGATTGGGGCCACTGAAAAGGAAAAAAAAAAGAAATACATTTTTTGACTTTTTTTTCTCAGAAGTAAAACAAAAAGAAAACAGAAAAACCCGATTAGAAAAAAGAAAAGAAAGGTAATTCTGCATTTTTCTCAATTCAGTTTTAGAATTATCTTTATTTTTTTATTTTTAGTAGTCCCATTACTTTTCCATACGTAATGTCACGAACTCCTCCAGCTGACTGCATTCCATTCATTCCTGCCACTAACGTGGCGACTGACGTCATCACGCCGACACTACTTAAGGAAGTGCCGGCGTTTCATTCATTGCTCAGTCATCGTTCTCACCAGACTTTGCATCGAGTCTCCAGGCTTACCAGCCCTCTAAACCCTCAAGCTACACCTACAGGAGATAACCACGCCGGTTATCTCCGTCTCTCCGCGTCTGGGCAACAGAACTCTCAGTCACGCTTCAGATCTGCCAACGAACCTGACAGGATGACTGAGCCCAAAGTTGACCCAGCGGAGTTTGCGCGTCTGCGTGCCGAAGTGGCTCAACAGCGCGCAACCTTGGATCAGCATACGGCAGAAATGAACCAGCTCCGCGCCACAGCTGATCGCCAAGCAACTAAGATCGAGTCACTCACCGAGCTAGTACTCCAGCTGACCACCGCTCTGCAACGTCAGACCGCAGCTGTTCCTGACAGGATGGAACCACGCCTCAGCCTTCCAGAGAAGTGGGACGGAACCAGGGGATCCCCGGAGGGCATGTTGGCGACCCTGGCCATGACTTTCGAGTGCCAACCAGCACGTTACCCCACACCCTGCTCTCGTGTCGCCCTGCTGACCTCACTGCTGACAGGTCGAGCCGGTGAATGGGCGACGGCTCTTTACAATCAGAAATCTCCTGCCTGCAATGACTATGAGACTTTTGTAAAGGAGATGAAAAAGACTTTTGTGCACCCCAGCAGCGAGGTCTCGGACGAGACGCGGCTGCTTCAGCTTCGCCAGGGCTCCCAGACGGCGGCTCAGTACACCTCTCGCTTCCGGACGACAGCAGCTCGGTTGAGGTGGGATGACGCCGCCCTAAAGGCCGTTTACCTGGAGGGACTGTCACCGAGAATCCGGGAGGGCATGATTGGGCACGAGGTCCCAACCTCCCTGGACCTGGCAGTGGATCTGGCTCTCCAACTGGACCGCTGCATCCTGAACCGGCCGAGCACCATGTCAGCCCCCGTACACACCAGGACGTCACCCCGCCGGCCGGCTCACCAACTGACGGAGGAGCCGATGCAGCTGGGACATCTTCCCCCTGAGGAACGGGCACGGCGCTACCAGGAGGGAAGATGCGCTTACTGTGGGGATTTGGGTCACCACCGTGGCACGTGCCCAAAACGACCGGGAAAAGGTCCCTCCGGGTCGGAGTGGGAGCTGTCCCACCCGGAGTCTCCACCTTTCCGGCTCCACACCGAACCACTCTCCCGGTCTCCCTCCACCTGGACCAAGGCCCGACCAGACTGGAGGCACTTTTAGACACTGGGGCTGCGGAGTGTTTTATCGATCACGGACTGGTTACTCGGCTCAAGATACCCCTCACCGCCCTCGACCGACCCATTCCCGTGACCTCTGTGGACGGCCGGCCCATCATGCCGTACCCTCTCACCCACCGAACTCAGGGTCTCCACATGACTATTGACCAACACCGGGAGACCCTCCACTTCCTGGTCATCCAGGCTCCGGCCACGCCACTCATCCTGGGTCATTCCTGGTTCTGCCGCCATGAGCCTCACATCTCCTGGTCCACCAGTAAAGTCCTGGCCTGGGGCACGGGTTGCCATAACCACCGGGACTCCCCTGCACCTCGGACCAGAGCAGCCACTCCCACAGACGTAGACCTGACGCTCATCCCTCCTCAATACCACGACCTCGCTCAGGTCTTCGCTAAAGAACCCACTACCAGGTTACCTCCTCACCGACCCTACGACCTGGAGATCAGGCTCCAGCCCGGCACCACCCCCCCTCGGGGTCGCCTGTTCTCCCTCTCTCCGGCGGAAACCCGGGCTATGGACAATTATATAACTGATGCCCTGCAGAAGGGATTCATCCGACCCTCAACATACCCCAGGGCCGCGGGGTTTTTCTTTGTTAAGAAGAAGGAGGGGGATCTCCGGCCCTGCATAGACTATCGAGGGTTAAATAAAATAACGATCAGGGACCGTCACCCTCTCCCTCTCATGGGCACCGCTCTGGACGCCATCACACAAGCCGCAGTGTTCACTAAACTGGATCTGCGCAGCGCCTATAACCTCATCCGTATTAAGGAAGGTGAGGAGTGGAAGACCGCTTTTATCACGCCCACTGGCCACTATGAATATTTGGTGATGCCTTTTGGACTCTGCAACAGCCCCGCCGTCTTCCAGCGGTTCATTACAGATGTGCTGAGAGACATGTTGGGCCGCTGGGTCTTTGTCTATCTAGATGACATCCTCATCTACTCCCGCACGGCCGAAGAGCACATCCGTCATGTTCGAGCGGTTCTGTCCCGCCTCCTGGACCATGGACTTTACTGCAAACTGGAGAAGTGTGCGTTTCACCAGGAGTCCACCTCCTTCCTGGGTTTTACCATCTCCTCCCAGGGCCTGAAGATGGACCCCCAGAAGGTTCAGGCCGTAGCTCAGTGGCCTCTACCCACGACCCTGAAGCAGCTGCAAAGCTTCCTGGGTTTCTCGAACTTTTACCGGAGGTTTATACGCAACTTCAGCTCCCTCGCAGCACCACTGACCTCACTCACCAAAACCACCAATCAGCCTCGCCCTTTTCGCCTTACTCCAGAGGCTGTCCGTGCTTTCCATGAGCTGGTCGGACGTTTCACTAAGGAACCCATCCTCCTCCACCCGGACCAGACCCGGCCCTTCGTCGTGGAGGTGGACACCTCAGATGTGGGAGCGGGGGCCGTTCTCTCGCAACGGGGTCCAGACTCTAAGCTCCACCCATGTGCCTACTTCTCCCGGAAGTTTTCCCCCACACAGCAGAACTACGGGGTCGGCAACAGAGAGCTGCTGGCAATAAAATGGGCGCTGGAGGAATGGAGGCAGTGGCTCCTGGGGACCACCGATCCCTTTCTGATCTGGACCGACCACCAGAATCTCATTCATCTACAGACTGCCCGCCAGCTCAACCCACGTCAGGCTCGGTGGGCCCTCTTTTTCGAGCCGTACCACTTCCATATCGCCTACCGGCCCGGCTCCAAGAAACTCAAGGCGGACGCTCTCTCTCGGCGTTTCGCACCAGATGCCGCCTCCCCGGAGCCTCGGACCATTCTGCCGACTCAACGCTTCCTGGCCTCCCTCCAATGGCCGTTGGAGCAGTCCATACAGGCGGCACTTCCTGGCGATCCAGCGCCGCCGGAGACCCCACCGAACCGTCTCTACGTTCCCGCCTCCTGCCGGCAAGAGGCGCTCACGTGGGGGCATTGTTCGTGGCTCGCGGGACATCAAGGACAAGCCCGTACCCTCCAGTTCCTCCGTCGGGCTCTCTGGTGGCCGTCCATGAGGAAGGACGTCCGCGAGTTTACAGCTGCATGTGATGTGTGTGCTCGCTCCAAGTCCTCCAACCGACCCGGCGCTGGAGAGTTGCAGCCTCTCCCTGTGCCCAAACGGCCGTGGTCACACATCGGGCTGGACTTTGTCACGGGACTGCCGGTGGTCGACCACCTGGACACTATAATGACTATCACGGACCGTTTCTCCAAGGCCGTGCACTTAGTGGCCCTAGCCGGCCTCCCCACTGCCAAGAGAACGGCCGAACTGCTCCTGGAACAGGTGGTGCGGCTCCATGGTTTCCCTCAGGACGTGGTTTCCGACCGAGGACCCCAGTTCGTCTCACGCTTCTGGAAGGCGTTCTGTCGCCTGGTCGGTGCTTCCACCAGTCTGTCCTCTGGATACCACCCGCAGACAAACGGTCAGACAGAGAGAGCTAACCAGCAGCTTGGACGCTACCTGCGCTGCTTCGCTTCGTCCCAGCCGACCTCCTGGCCCCGCTTCCTCCTGTGGGCGGAGCTGTCATACAACCTCCAGACCTCCTCTGCCACGAGTCTGTCTCCCTTCGAGACCTGTTACGGTTATCAGCCTCCTCTGTTTGATCATCAGGTGCCCGAGGTGGTGGTCCCTGCTGCCCAGACGCTGGTCCGCCGCTGTCGGCTCGCCTGGATCCGGGCCCGTGCGGCCATCACCCGGGCCAACACGGAGATGCCCGTCAGCATCGCCGCCGCCACCGGCCTGGCCCCGTCTTCCGGTCTGGCGACCAGGTGTGGCTCTCCTCCGCTAACCTGAGGATGCCGGCTGGCTCCCGGAAGCTCACTCCTCGCTTCCTGGGTCCGTTCCCTGTCCTCAAGGTCATCAATCCAGTCACCTGCCGTCTACGCCTCCCGGCTACTCTCCGGATCCACCCGGTCTTTCACGTCTCCCAGCTTAAGCCGGTGATCTCCTCTCCTCTCCACCCTCCACCGGTCCGGGTGCCTCCGCCCCGCGGTGTTGAGGTGGATCGCACCTACACGGTCCGCAGGATACTGGACGCCCGCCGCCGGGGACGAGGTTGGCAGTACCTCGTGGACTGGGAGGGGTACGGGCCTGAGGAACGCTCTTGGGAGCCCACGAGCTCGTTTGTCGATCCTGCCCTGCTAACAGACTTCTGGGCCCGCCGTCCTGGGACTTCGGGTGCCGTCCCTAGAGGGGGGGGTCCTGTCACGAACTCCTCCAGCTGACTGCATTCCATTCATTCCTGCCACTAACGTGGCGACTGACGTCATCACGCCGACACTACTTAAGGAAGTGCCGGCGTTTCATTCATTGCTCAGTCATCGTTCTCACCAGACTTTGCATCGAGTCTCCAGGCTTACCAGCCCTCTAAACCCTCAAGCTACACCTACAGGAGATAACCACGCCGGTTATCTCCGTCTCTCCGCGTCTGGGCAACAGAACTCTCAGTCACGCTTCAGATCTGCCAACGAACCTGTCACTTAATGCTTGTTAACATTTAAACAACAATGTTTTCCTCAAAATTCTGCCTTTTTTTTCTCAGAAGTCAAAAGAAAAAGAAAAAAACTGAAAATAAAAAAGGAAAAGAAAGAGAATTTTGCCTTTTTTCTCAGAATTCTGCCCTATTTTTCAGAATTTATATTTTAAAGAGCAAATTGCAGGTTAGAGACTCCCATAAACCAATGTTTAGAGAAACATAATGTAAACTCGTTTTAAACATTTTTTTTTTACACAAACATAAATTATTTAGGCTTTTAGAGTCATTTTTGTGAGAAAGTTTTTTTTTGGCCAAACCAACTGACGTCATCTGATGGAGTCCTGTTAGCTTAATCCAGTAAAAAATATAGATTATAATGCCAGCTCTGACACAGAGGAAACTTTAAATGTTTACAATTTTACTCGTGATGGACCAAAACCATAAAGGTATGAGTTTGCTGCACGCCTCAGAGAGCAGAGACAAACCAGAGGGATTAAGGAGGAGAAGCAGCGGGGGAGCAGCAGGTGTCTGGTGAGTTAACCATGTTAGCCTAAACTCGTGTGCTAGTATCACAATATTGTACAGATTACTATCGTGTACCAGACGATTAAAATAGCATCAGTCAGTTAATACAACATTAATACGAATGAGCGTCTGTCAGCTGTCTCATACTCGTTAATATCCGTTCACCTAACCTAGCTTAGCTCTTAGTGAGCGGAAGAGACGCCTGTCATCCGATTATGGAGCTCATCCAGGTGAGCTGGATCCCAACCACCAGGCGGCGGTTCTGATCCGGTTCCAACCCGGAAACCAGCTGGCCCGCTGAGCCGCGCATCTCTTCTGGTGGTCAGTTCTGACCTGATTCTGACAGTGATCTGAGCTCCAGAAATCTGCATTTCACTTTTTAAACCCCGCCTCGGGTCTCCGGAGCCCAGCGCGGACCTCCCTGTCCTAGCTTCTAACTCTCTGGTTACGTCAGAGGTTCAGATTTAGAAAAAAGCTTTGCTGAGAAAGGTCACGTTCTACTAGAAAAACTCTGCTGTTATGTATTTTAAAACGAAATATTCACAAGCATTTAAAATAGTATTTTTTGGACAGCATTTTATATGAATTAGAAAAAAAATACCTGCAATTTGCTCTTTAATGTTCAGAATTCTGGCTTTTTTTTCAGAATTTTGATTTTAATTCTCAGAATTCTTCCTTTTTCCTCAGAATTCTGACTTTAATCTCAGAAAAACAAGTGAGAAGAAACAAAAGACAAAACAATTATCTTTCTTTTCTTTTTTGTTTTTGTTTTAGTGGCCCCAATCCTCTTCTGTACTGTAGAGCTTGTTAACATTAAAACAAAACATTTTATCTAGGGCAAACAAGTATTCCACAACTTCAGAAATAAAAAGGGGAATGTTCTGCGAAAGTGTTCCTAGTGGAGTGTTTAAGTTTGTTTTAATAAGGATGACAGCATTCACTCACAGATTTCTGTACATGTATTCAAAAACATTCCACTGCATCCGATGCACGGTTTTATTTCTGTACTAGCATGATGTTTCTCATAGCGTCCGAATGACAGGATTAAGGAAGACACCATCATTACATCAACAGTGCATTTAGAATATTGCACAAGCATATTTACGCCACTGCCTGCACTGCATTAGCTGGTCCCAGGACAGCCAACGTCCTCTAAGAAGGCATTGAAGCTGTTCACACACAATCAATGATGAGACACACCCTGCCAAAAAATAGAAACATTAAGCCTAATTAGAGTCCAAAATGCCACCTCCATAGTAAGGATTTTTCTGTGAAATGAATAAAACAGTCTAATGTCTTAATCATGTTGGAAGGAAGGTTACATTGAAACAGATTTCCATATCAGCTAGCCGGGTGGTTTCCAGGTTTTCTACTTTGAAATGGCAGAAGAGGAACATAGTCCTTGTTTACAATATGTCCTGCAACATGGTTGCCAAGTCTGTGCTGGCAAAAACTGTGCCAGCATTTGTAATTTGACACTTCCCGGCGAAACACAGCAGCGTTGTAGACATAATTGAAGCCGGTAAAAGAAGTGGCCAAAACAAAAAGAAAGAAGTTAAGAACATAAGCCAATGAAACAATTTTTTTTTTACTCTTTACTTTTTGGGTAAAGAAGGCTAGAGGCTAACATTGAGCTAATAATGCTAACAGTGAATTAGAAAAAAAGTAGTCGTCTCTAAAAATTAATTACAGTGAAATTTAATGGGTGGCACCAGGCAGTAGCTTGGAATTGCTAAAGCAACGGCAAGATTTGGCCAAGTAATGACTGAACTCCTAGGGATGGGTACCTTTGACATTTGAATCAATCCGGTACTAATTCCCGGTACCTAGGAATCGATACCGGTACTTAACGGTACCAATTTTCGATACTTGAGTGTTTATTATTTTAATTCTCTTTTATAATTAAATATATATTTTTCTCAATATATAACAATATTTGATAAATATCACGATAAAAAACATTCAATTGTTTGTATTTTAACATCGTCCTTGTAGTTTTATAAGCTGATAATTAAACTGAAGCAAACATCTTTACTGTGAACTAAATTTACAGTGTATCTTCATTCCTTTTGCCGTCTTTTTCATTTGATTTTTCCTACTGGGAAGTTAGAATTTCCGAGGAGAAAGCAAACGCACCATTAGCTGATAACAATGGTGGCAATGGAAGCTAACATATCATATCAAGCTAACTTTATCTTAAACAGTTTATTTAACTGCTGGAGCAGATTAAAACGATGATGCCTCACACTTAGATCGTTGTCACTGGTTTCATCTTCACCCAATCACCCGTCGCATTTAGTAAAGTGAAGCCAAACTTTAGAGCGCGTTCATGTTCTTCTAGTCTGAAATTCGGAGTTCCGAGGAGAAAGCGAACGCACCATTAGCGAGACGGAAGCTAACATATCAAGCTAACGTTATCTTAAACATTTTATTTACCTACCGGAGCAGATTAAGATGAGGATGTCTCACTTAGATCGTTGTCGCTGGTTTCATCATCACCCAGTTACCCATCCCATTTAGTAAAGTGGACCCAAGCTTTAGCGTGCGTTCTTTCTACCATGCTGCTCTGTTTACAACTCGCTCGCAGCGAGCGACGACATAACGCTCTTGCGCATGCGCAGCTGTCTTGGCAAGTTCTCGTTATGAAGGACGGGTACCGAAACGAGGCACCGTTTCAAATGACGTGAATCGGTGCTCGGTCGGTACTATGGAATTCGGTCGGTCCCTTAAAAAGTACCGAATTCGGTACCCATCCCTATCCTGAACACCCTACCCCGCTCTTAATTCTGTGCTGACGGACACCGGATGGGTTACACCCGCACCCCCAGCTCTTCAATCCGCGCTGATGGAGACCAGCAACCCCTTACACTCAGAAAGCAACTGTAAAGCAGCTGTAGGGAAAAAAATTCTGGTGCTGCTTCTGTGTATTTTTCTACCTACCAACTTACTGTGTACGACCTGTTTTGTCTTCATTCTCATCTAGAATCTTCTGGCATTGATTAATAACTGGCAACTGCCATAAAACTTATGAAGCTCACAATGGGGAGAAGAGATCCTTAGAGTAGGCTTGTTTGTTTTGATACATGGACTACTCTACCCAAATTTGACCACAGGACCTCATTCTTACTTCATGCACCTCTAAGCCTTAACCATAAGTTTGGCTTCATTACAGAAACAAGTTGTGTCATTTCAGTGTCACATTTGCCATGGATGTTTTCCCCCACAGGCTGTGGAGGGTGATGGTGCGGACAATGATGACAATGACGATGGCCGGTCCAGCTCTTCAGAAGGTAGCACAGTGGATGGTATGCCACCTGGAGAGATACCAGCCATTGAACTTGTGTTTGAGGAAATCAAAGAACCGAAGGACTGCTTTCCTGCAGGTGAAAACCATAAACTAACTCTCAAGTACAACTCATTCTGCATTTTACATTAACAGGTCTGTATCTCTTCTCAGGCTGTGTGCAAAAGTATAAGTGTTGTCAAGTGAATGTGAAAAAGGGCTGGTGGAGAGTGTGGTGGACAATCCGAAAAACCTGCTATCGAATCGTGGAGCACAACTGGTTTGAGAGTTTCATCATCTTCATGATTTTGCTCAGCAGTGGAGCGCTAGTAAGTCTGGGAGAGTCGTTCTCTGCTAGTTAAAGTCAGGCTGCTCGAATGGCTGCTTCTGTCACCGTTGAATATTCCATTTGTGCAAATTATGACACACCACGTTTTCTTTCCAGGCTTTTGAAGATGTCAACATTGAGACAAGGAAGACCGTTAAAATAATGTTGGAGTATGCGGACAAAGTTTTCACTGTCATCTTTATTTTGGAGATGCTACTAAAATGGGTGGCGTATGGATTTGCCAAGTACTTCACAAACGCTTGGTGCTGGTTGGACTTCTTTATTGTTGATGTAGGTTGAAATACACGCAATTAATGTGATGACATAAACTAAACTTGTTCCTTCCATTTGTATGATGTGTCGTCTCTTCCTGTTTCTTTCAGGTTTCACTGGTCAGTTTGGTGGCCAATGCTTTGGAGTATTCTGATATTGGTGCAATCAAGTCTCTAAGGACCCTGCGAGCTTTGAGGCCCCTAAGAGCCCTGTCCCGGTTTGAGGGCATGAGGGTGAGAATACTATAGTATCCCATTCTTAGTCTCAGGAAACTTTCAACCACCAACTAAATTTACTGATAGATTGAGTACACCATGAAGTAATTAAACACCATGGGGTGGATTTACTCTGTGAATGTTGTTAAATTAGGTGTGGCAGAAATGTATGGCTTTGTGAATTAGCTCCTGAGAGGTGTAGACACAACGATCCTTCCATAATTCACCCACATAGAATCAATGAACATCTTTTCATGGTCTCTTTAGAATACAGATCATTTTGTAGATCAGCACGGTTTAGGATTATTGCATACTGGGCTTGATACTAAACTATTAACAACTATAAAAACTGACCTGGGAACTCATTTATAAAGCTTTCTTGTGCATGAAACAGTGTCTGAGTATTCCGTAAGTGATTCTTAATGTAAACTTTGTGAATTATAAAGGAAAATGTGCACAACTTTAAGCTAACTTCGGACCTTTCGTAAGCACAGTTTTGAGACTTGAAAACAGGCACTGCAGCCGGTTAGATGGCAAGTGGTCAATTTGAGCCACATTTTCAGACTTGTAGACCATCACAAAACAAACCGTCAGCCTCTACTCCCGTCTCTGCACGGAGATAAAAAATGAGAATTAGAATGAAAATATGTTGCTATTAAGATAGCACACCACATTCAAACATACATCTTGAAATCATTTATTGGTGCATTAATTGTGTTATGCATCCTATGCTAATCAAAATATAAAACAATAAGCTTTTATTACCAGAGGAAATGCACTGGAACGGCCCCTGCACACCTGCGGCTACTTCTCTCTTGGGTTTCCGGCAATCGGCTCATTCTAGCAGTAATTAGCTGACAGACAGGCTGATATTTCTCGGATATGATGGACAAACTATGGAATTTGTTGCCTAAAGCCTGTTTGGGTTAAATTAGCTGTCACCCTCAGATTTGGAATTTCTCGGTAGTCCCTCAGCACCACAATGCAACCGTTTTAGATGGCATCATTAACAAAACTATTGCCATCTTTCTCATTGCCTCCATCACTTCTTTTTTTTTTTTTTTAAGTCCACCCATGATCTCGCTGCTGCTCCACCACCACACACTCAGATCATTTACTGCTGCAAAAATATTTATTTCACTTAATTCTTACATAATGCACCTTTAAGCAAAATTTTATAAATGAGCTCCCTTAAGTGTGTCCCGCTTTGCAATTTCCAAAAATGTGTTGCATGTAATCAAAACTTAGGCAATGAAATGTGATATAAATTGCTGTAATGTTATATTCTCTGTTGTTTTGTTTCGCTTTTGCTGCAAGTCAGCTTCAAAAAGTTTGATTCTCTCTGGATAGGTTAGTTGCATTGAGAGGCAATGACTGAATTTGTGGCTCCTAAGCAACATTTACTGTCCAAAATACAAGTTAACCTTATGTTTCTGTGCCTTGCTGCCATTAAATTATGTGGTATTTATCATTGTATGTAGACTTAATATTAAAGCCTTAAATTTCCAGGTTTAATGAACACAATAGGGTTTTGTGCCACGGGCGGGACTCTGGAATGCTAAGGGGTTAATGATGATTAGCAGGCGTGAGAACCCTTAGTTTAATTGTGTTTTCAGTCAGTTTTCAGTCTAAACTGAGGATGACTTGCATAATAAACGCCACTGAGTTGTCAGCTGCTAGAATCTATAAAGCATGCATTGACTGGTTCTTGTCATTTTGTAGTCCAGTTTTATATAAGTACTATGATTTTTTTTTCCTCACGTGGTTTCCAGTGAATTTGCCTATTTGCATGCACGTATTCTAAGATATATCAGCTCTACACCAGTTTCATTTTGATTATTGTTTTATGCAATATCTAACATGATTTCTTTATGTTTTATTTTATGTTTCAGTTTACAGTAATCAAATTTTGTGACATCCTACGTCCTCTACAAGGTGTTCGCTTTTGGTGTTTGTCTAAAAGTACTCATAGAATTATGATTTAGCATATCTTTGTTAGTCTTGTGTCTCTTTTCCTTGTTCTTTTCCCAGTTTTACCATGCACTCACCAAAGCATTACTGGTTTAATGATTTAATTATGTTTTATTTGTCATTGATTTGTTCACTATTGTGTGCTCCTTTGTTACAATTACAAGGGTTATTTTTTTCTATGCATCATTTTTACATGGTCTTGCCTACCTTGGTTACTCATGTGTGGGGTTGTGTGTGTGTGTGTGTGTGTGTGTGTGTGTGTGTGTGTGTGTGTGTGTGTGTGTGTGTGTGTGTGTGTGTGTGTGTGTGTGTGTGTGTGTGTGTGTGTGTGTGTGTGTGTGTGTGTGTGTGTGTGTTTGTGTGCAGGTGGTTGTCAATGCCTTAATGGGAGCAATTCCTTCCATCTTCAATGTGCTGTTGGTGTGTCTCATCTTCTGGCTCATCTTCAGCATCATGGGGGTCAACTTGTTTGCAGGAAAGTTCTACGGTTGTGTCAACACAACCACAGGAATCAATTACAACACATCAAAAGTGCAAAACAAATCAGTCTGCATGGATTTGGCTATGGAAGATAATAACACCCGTTGGAAAAAAATCAAAGTCAACTATGATAATGTTGCCATGGGTTACCTTGCACTTCTGCAAGTTGTAAGTAACTAGATAAAATGCTAGTTGCAAGTAAGACCATTTTCCTACTCATAGATGCTTTTTTGTTGCAATCGTTTCTTTTCCAGGCTACATTCAAAGGATGGATGGATATCATGTATGCTGCTGTGGACTCTCCGAGCAAAGTACTTTAATATTTTATTTACTTTAACATTAACACATATGTGCAAATTGCAAAAGCATTGTACACTACAGTTATTTGATTTTTTGGGGGTTGCGGTTATATAACAGTTGATATTTTTACTAATATTAATTGGTTTTACTGTTTACATCTTGAATGGTTATTTGACTATTTGAGGTTGTCACTAACTGCACTAAAATCAACTTTTTTTAATTTAGTTTTAGAATTTTAATGACTTTTTTTCTACCTTTATACATTTTAGCTACAATTGAAAAAAAAACAAAGTTTCATTTTCAAGGAAATTCATTTAATATGACGAAAGCTGCTGTTCCTCGGAGGTGTTGCATTTCTTTTATTGCCAGTTGCTGAATCAACCAGAGCTGAAACATTTTATGATCTAAACTTTGCATTTAAAATCTCTCTGTTTTATGTCTCCATTATAGCTATCAGATCAACCAAAGTTTGAACAAAACTTTGTGATGTATGCATATTTTGTCATTTTTATTATATTTGGGGCATTTTTCACCCTCAATCTCTTCATTGGTGTCATTATAGACAATTTCAATCAGCAGAAGAAAAAGATAAGTATTGTGTTTTCCCTCTAAACACGTTTTCTGTTTCTATTTTTCTGTTATCTAACATCCCTTGCGTGTCTACTTTACTTTGGAGGTCAGGACATCTTTATGACTGAAGAACAAAAGAAATACTACAATGCAATGAAAAAGCTGGGATCCAAGAAACCACAAAAACCTATCCCTAGGCCATCAGTATGGGACATCTATAATACATTCAACTTGACAGTATAAAATCTTTATATTTGTCTAATTGCATTTTTATTGTATGTCTGATTTTAGAACAAATTCCAAGGATTCATCTTTGACATAACCACAAAGCAAGCCTTTGATATTGTGATTATGGTTCTAATATGGCTTAACATGGTAACCATGATGGTGGAAACAGAAGAAGACGATGATAGAAAGAAGCAAGTCCTGAAGAACATCAACCTAGTGTTTATTGTCATCTTCTCTGGAGAATGTTTGATGAAGATGATTGCACTTCGTCAGTACTTTTTCATCAATGGCTGGAATGTATTTGATTTTATAGTGGTCATCCTATCAGTCGCTGGTATGACTCTCCCCTGCTCAAAATGATTGTTTTCTTGCTTTATTTGTGGTATCTAATGTGTTTTTCTTTCTTTTGTCTTCAGGCATGTTTCTAGCTGATTTGATAGAGAAGTTTTTTGTGTCACCAACCCTCTTCAGGGTCATCCGATTGGCTCGAATTGGCCGTGTCCTCCGCCTTATTAAAAGTGCCAAAGGAATCCGCACACTCTTGTTTGCCCTGATGATGTCACTTCCTGCCTTGTTCAACATTGGTCTCCTGCTCTTCTTAGTGATGTTTATCTATGCCATTTTTGCCATGTCGAACTTTGCTTATGTCAAGAGAGAAAAAGGCATCGACGACCTTTTCAATTTTGAAACCTTTGGCAACAGCATGATCTGTTTGTTTCAGATTACCACCTCAGCGGGGTGGGATCTCCTTTTAGCTCCCATACTCAACAAAGACGAGGATTGTGACCCAGAAATGGAGCATCCTGGGAGTTTAGTTAAAGGAAATTGTGGAAATCCTTCCATTGGAATTGCTTTCTTTGTGAGTTACATCATTATCTGCTTCCTCATTGTGGTGAACATGTACATTGCAGTAATTCTGGAGAACTTTGGCGTGGCGACTGAGGAGAGCGCCGACCCATTAAGTGAAGATGACTTTGAGATGTTCTATGAGGTCTGGGAGAGGTTTGATCCCCGTGCGACTCAGTTTGTTACGTACAATTTGCTCTCTGACTTTGCTGACAGTCTAAACCCGCCACTTCGCATCCCCAAACCTAACAAAAGGGACCTCATGAATATGGATTTACCGATTGTGAGTGGGGATCGTATCCACTGCCTGGATATCCTGTTTGCCTTCACAAAACGTGTCCTGGGTGAGAGCGCAGAAATGGACAATCTGAGAGGACAAATGGAGGAGCGCTTCATGGCCTCAAATCCTTCCAAGCTGTCGTACGAACCCATCACCACCACCTTCCGCCGCAAACAGGAAGAAACATCAGCTGCCGTGATTCAGAGAGCATTCAGATATTATTGTAAGAGTAAGTTCACTGACAACTTCACTTTCAACCTGAAAGATGAAAAAGCGGCCACTGAGAAACAAGGCCGTTTGAAAGGAAAACAGAAAGAAAGTGCTGGTAAAACAGAACCCACGCCTGCCTCTGCTTCCCAGTCCACGCTCAACAGTGAGACACCAAAAGGGAAACACACACACAAAAAAGACAAAAGCCAAAAGGAGGTCACGGGAAAAGATGTTGGAGATGTATGAGCAAATGTTGGTGGCACAGAAAAGACTTTAAAGAAAGAGGAGAAAAAAGTTTACATTTTTTTAAACTGCCTCCTTTCCTTTATTTGGACTACTTGAACTAATTCCAGATGTGTGATTCCTCCTGACTGTTCGCAGACACTCAGAACAGCTAGTCTTGCTGTCCTGTTTCATAAATTATTGTTATATCTCAGAATTTTAAAAACGATTACAAACCAGATTTATTTTTTAAACAAAATAAAGTTTATTATTTAGGACTTTGTTTCTGGTCAGTTACCTTTTTATACAATTCTCTTTATTGCTGAGGAACACTCCCTTTCATTTAAAGACCAAGTTCACTGAGAAACTGTTTTTTACTTGTTATTTTTGAAATTTGATCACTCGCTCTGAGTTTAAAATGGAAGCTAAACATGAAAATAGTCTTCTACCCCTATTTTCTGCATTAGTCACCGATAGAAAATAGGCGGGGAAATGCTCGGATTAGAAAAGCCAGTCAATTGTGTGTCACATTGAAAACTGGACTCACCCATCTTGGCTGGCGACGGGTAAGGCTGTTGTTGATTTAGTGTCCAGGAGAGAGCAGAGCACGTTTTGGCTAGTAACAGCTAACTGTTAGCATTAGCAACATGGTAGAACTCCTTCAGGATTGTGTTATTTTTGGAGACAAAAACATCAACAATGCAGATCAAACAGTCAGTGGTAGAGTCGCGTTGCTGTTAGCCAATCAGAGGTGTGATGACTGAATATCAGAAAATGAGGCTCTAAAACCTGCTGTTGTCTGCTAGCCTCTCACTTCTAGTTCCTGAAACAGTAGAGCAAGAGCTTTTTTCCCACATAAATTTACTCAAAAGGCATTCATTTATTCTGGAGACCACTGCAAATGCTTAAAAAAACAAGTGAACTTGGTCTTTAATTTTTTTTATTGGATGCACAGCTTTAATGATTGTCGTGCTCACTGATTGTGCTTAAGACCCACATTTAGGTCTGCATGAATGTTTCTCCCTTGCTATGCATGCTAAATAATGCTTTTTTCATCAGTCATTTTAGTTGGATGATACACAGATCAGTCAGGTAATATTTGAACATTTAAAATGGATAATTTTACAAAGAAATTTTAAAAACAATGACTGTGTACTATTTACAGTCGTGTTTATTGTGTTTTGTTCTAAAACTTTTCTAAAACAATGGTCTTCTGTGGCTTTTACATCTGTAAATGTAAACTGTTGTCAGACTATCATTTGTATTACTGATAAAATGTCTGTTGACAAGTAGAAAATCATCTCTAATGTCAATTTTTTGTCTTTGTCTTTTGTTGACTAGTACTTATTCTGTATTAATCACTAAATCATTTCATACTGTCAGAGTATTAATTTCTTCTAATATAAAACTTAGAGAACTCTGTTCTGTTGTATAAGATTAAAGAAATGTATTAAGTGATGGTACAGCTCTGCATTAGATTACAGGTGGGGTTGGGAACGTGTGCACTTTGTAAGCTTAATTTTCCCGTTGACTTAAAAAAATGTATCTTGATAAATATCAAAGATGGATGTAAGATGGCTCAGGATTTTATGAAAGATCTCACGGAAATGGCTTCACCCATGTGCTATTTCCTGCCTCTGTTTACATGTGTTATTGTCTTTGACGGCAACAGCTACTTTAAACGGTGAGCTGTATGTTATGAAAGCATAACTCCATTCATGGGATGGTTTTTGCATGTCATCAAAAGGTCCCACACCTATGCTACACATTATGCACAGTTAAAGAATGCTTTTTAAATAAAGTAGCATTGTTTATATGCATAATATTTGTGGTGTATGAGAAACTACATGCATGATGTTATAACTCCTTTTATTAAAAAGGTAGACTGAATAAAGAATATACAAGTGTCGTGTTTGCCTACAAATGATTTTATTTTTGTCTGAGTTGAATGTGACACTTGGGACAGTCTACAATTGTGAATGTGTGTGTGATTTCTTTCTGTTTTGCTTTCTTTGTTCAAACAAGCTTTTTAAGTCTTTCAAACTCAACTTCGTTTTTCTTCAGCACCTACAGGGGCATGTCCAGGGAGTGAACTGGGGTGGCACATGCCACCCTTGGAATCTGATTGGCCACCCCACCGAGTTACCTTTAAATAGACATTAACTTGTCCACAAAAGCTTGGGGTAAAAAACATAAGAGTACCCTATCTGGGCCACCCCATTTTTAAAAATCTGGACACGCCACTGAGCACCTCCCCCTGACAATGCATTTTTGAAATACCAACTGTTATTTTTCAACATTATTGCTTCCCCTATTTATTTTGTATGCCCATGCTTTAAAGTTCCTTATATTCCCTTAACAAAATGCCAAATATGTGATTTAGCTTATCTAACAAGACTAACATTACATCACCGGCGTCATAATAAAGGTATACTTTCATTGGAGGTATTAATGTTGTTTCGTGTGATAGGACAAATACAGACTGACACCATGTCAGTATTATTATCAATGTATTTGTACTTTAGCTTAACACCAGGGACTGAATGTTCAAGAGTTCAAGTGTTATTCTTTCTCGTTGATTTATTTACATAACCAAAAATGCAATTTCTAGGAAATAATAGATAATGTTTTGATTGAATCGAAATTTTAGCAACTTTACAAATTTGGATCAAGTATAGCTCAATTAACTGTATATTTTTCTAAATGATAGGTTGATATGCTACACTTAAAAGTATATTTAAGTAACACAGAGCAGTTTCCTGCTTCTCCCTACTGGTTGAAGTTGGAATTACAACTACCGTAAACAACCCTACAGCAGCCTGCTGTGGCTAGCGCTACCAACAAGCTAACACTAACTCGAGCCAATTCTTACTAAATAAGCCACAAATCAAAAAGATCCTCACTGCTGAACAAACAATATTAAAAATTCTAAGTCCAGTAGCAACAAAGCCAGGTCAACATCCACCCGTGATTTCATAGCCTTTTTCAGCTTCCTCAAACTAGTGTAGGCTGCACTCTTCTTCATCTCCAAAGACATCACTCACTTACTACCAGGTTCTGCCATGGTGCCAACAGAAACGCTAACTTTTTTCTTCTACTTGTGCTTTTATTGACAATCAGAAAACTGAAATAGCTAGCTGCACAAAAAACAGCTAACAGCCGTGATGCAGGTATAAGAGCGCCTGCTAAAACACCTACCCACTGCGCAAAACTATTAGGTGCAGTTTGTGGCCAGCAGAGGGCTGTAGAGGGGTGTCAAATGTGAAACTGGTCAAGTTTCTAACCCAACTATCGCTGAGATCAATTTTAAAGCTCTAGCTTAAAGTTTTAAAAAGTAGCAGTAGCTCAGGAGGTAGAGCAGGGCTCTCCAGTAATCAGAAGGTTGCAGGTTTGATCCCGGCTCTGACTAGAAAAAGCTGCTGTGTCCTTGGGCAAAACACTTAACCCACCTTGCTTGCTGGTGGTGGTGGTCAGAGGCAGGGGCGTAGCACCAAATTCTGGGCCCTAGGTACAAGTCTTCTAGGTGGGCCCCCATGCTCAATTACTTAATATCTCTCTTAAACATTTTTTGTCATGCCATAAGACAAGATAATAAATATGATCTTAGTTTAACCTCTATATTGAGCAAATACAAATGCCAGCATAATAAAAGTGAAATGCCCAGACTTCACATATAATTATTTTTATTTGCCAACAATGTGTTCAAACAAAAATCCTGGAATTTATTTTCCAGTAAATGCCCACTGACGGGTCTTCATGTTAGCAAAATCACTTATGAGATCTTTAAAGTCCAGTCCTTTGGCTAATTGGCTTTCAATAGAAAGAAGAGCTAGGCTGTTCAGTCTATCCTGGGACATTGTTGATCTCAAATAATTTTTCACCAGTTTCAGTTTGCTAAAAGCCCGTTCACTCCCAGCAACAGTCACAGGTAGTGTGCAAAATATCCTCAGTCCAATACAAACTTCTCCAAAAATGCTCTGTAATTGCATCCTGTATGGCATTAAGCAGCTCAAGAGGAGACCAAATGTGTGGAAATGTGGCACCATATATTGTTCTCAGGTGTAGCATCTCATTCTCAAATTCAGCTGTGAGATCCTTGTAATATTTTCTCATCAGTGCCTGGCATGATATCTTCATCTGCTCTTCAGTCATGTCTGTCATGGTTCATGATGTTAAGCTTTGCTGATATGCATTGATATATTAAATACATATGACATGAAATAAACCAGGTTCTCTCTGTGAATGTAATGTACTCTAAATTTTATAATCCCTGCATTATCAGCCAAATTATAAGATTGTCCGTTTTCAAGATCAAATATAAAGAAATTTAAAATAGGCTTAAAATATCTAACCAAGTCAATAACAATCCTCTAACACCAGTGTCATCATGCTATACGAAAAACAGTGGCAGCTTCTCATTCCTGAGATTACCACGAATCCATCGATACCAAGTTTGTCCTGGTCCATGACTGGGAAGGAGCTGAAATATCCACACAGAGTGAACCTGTTTTTACTGCGAGGTCCGCGAATTAATTGGCGGCGGCCGCCCACGATAATAATTCTGATTAATATATATATATAAATTAGTGTTTTCACTGATAACACTAATTAATTTATATTTGATCTTGATGGTGAAACTAAAGGCGTTTAACACTGAACACCTAACATGAATGCAGCTTCTGAGAGCTAGCTAATATCAGCTAAAACTGTGTTCTGCTGCTGGCTGCTCACCTTCCTTCTTGAAAACCCTAGTCAATACTTGCTTCTGTTCAGTTAACTTTTTCTCCTTCTTTTCTTTTCTTTTCTTTTCTTTTCTTTTCCTTTCTTTTCTTTTCTTTTCTGGAAGCCAGATTTCCCTTTCTTGGGAAAAGACATGCCTGACTCTCCTGCCTCCAGCTCTGGCTGTCGGCATCTGCGATGTCTCATAGCTGTACATGCGGCCGTGCAGCCCCTGGCCGCTGGTGTGGACTAAACCACTTTGCACATTTTTAAGGGGTGATAGATGCCTCGGAGATTATTCAGTTATTATTTTTAAGGCGAAATTCTGTTTCTGAACCCCTTTATCCAGGTAACGGGAAGTTTATTAAGACATTAAGTAAGTTGGGGGAAAAAAACAATAACAATAAAACATTTTTATTTAAAGCTGTCTCAGGGCCCCTCCCTGCAGTGGGCCCTGGGTAAACAGTACCCTTCCCCCCCCCAGTCCGACGCCCCTGGTCAGAGGGACCGGTGCACCAGTGTTCGGCAGGCCTCGCATCTGTCAGTGTGTCCCAGGGCAGCTGAGCTACATCGAAGGTCATCCCCACCAGTGTGTGAATGTGTGTGTGAATGAGTGATTGTGTTGTGAAGCGCCTTGGGGGATTGTTGATCCCTAAGAAGGTGCTATACAAATACAGGCTATGTTGAGTGTTACCTTAACTTAGGACAAACATGCTTTTTTTTTTAAATAGTGCCTTTCCACACGAAAATCACGAGGTGCATCACAAGCACAATAAAGAATTTAAAAAGATTAAATAAAAATATTTGTGAAATTAAAATGTTTTTATTTTTGATTAAAAACACAAATAAATATTATAAAAAATAATAACAAATAAAAAGAATTTTAAATAGAAGATAGGCTTTCATTTTGAAACTGTATGTTGGGCTGTGGGAAGACATTTAGACAACATTTGTTTCATTATGCATCATATACATTGCAAAAATCTCAACCGAAGATAAGTTTGAAGGAGTTGGGTTTTCACTTTGAAGGTAAATGTAGAATCAGATATCTGTGGAAAGGAACAAGTAAGAATGTGCTGCTATTGATTTGAATTTACATTAAATTGGTCCTTATACTCAGAATCTCTAAAACATTAAAAATGCAAAGCTTTTGATGCTTTTTTTGTGATCTGTTCCAACGTTTTGATGACCTAACGCACGTCAAGATCGTCTTCAGGGGTAGAATCAAGCAGTCCAAGATAAGCGTTTGTTTCAGATCAGAAACTTTCAACGATCTTTAAATCAAAAATCACGATTGATGAAGGACTCAAAGGCAATAATCACAAACTTTTACTGTAATGTTGTGAAACTCTTGCAATGCTTTCAACAACCAAACAATTAGCATTAGTGACATTTCAGAACCTGTAAAAGTTGTCAGTGTCCATTTCTTGTGCAACAGTTAATGAGCACTCAAACTGTAAATGGTTCAACTTACAGCGCATTATGTTCTTGAATTCCCAGCAATGTAGAAAGCACTTAGAATTCTCTGACTTTTATCTAATTGCTTTTTCATGAAAACCCGTGTATCCTCTAAAGATTTCACCCTGTTCTTGTTGAGATTGGATGATCAGAAATGAAAACCTGTTCTAAGAAATGTTTTCATTTTGCATTGCAGCGTGTTCTGGCAAACGCATGAGGTTAGGATCTGCTTTATGGGCGTGCATTGCCGGAAACTATTAGCATCTCAAGTGGATGGAACATTTTTATTAATTATTTAAAACAATCCAAATATTTGATATAGCCCATCACCGTGCTTGTCAGTTGTGGTTGCTGAACCGTGTGGGAGGTAAACAACATGCTGAAAGCAGAGTGCTCGTTATTACTGCAGTTTTGTCAAACTGTGATAATCTCTTTGTGCCACACCCACAGCACATTAGAGCTGGATGATTGTGAGCGTGCTCTCAGTGACGTTTATTGTTATGCCACAAGCAAAAACCCAACATGGCATGTTGTGAGATGCAGCTGAAACCGGTTCACTACTTACAACTGGCAACAGTTTTAATGATCATTGAATCAGGAATGATTCTGCAGATTCTTCCTGCTGGTTGCCCAGCAACATGACAGGGAACTCCATTGTTTCAATGACATCAGGGTAGAAGGTCAGGTGTTGGTCTGCTGTCCCCATCATGAGTCTTGCATGCAGGATAGTAAAATTGTGATCATGTTTATGTGAAAAGATGTAGATTTGGCCACTGGTGTGCAAGGTGGGCATAGTAAAGGGGGGGAAGCATTTCAAGAGGAAATCTGAGAATGCTACTGATAACAGCTCTGTAATTTTATTTTCTGCAGATGGATGGACAGAAAATCCTATTAGATTAGACAGAGGGGAGTTCTACTCTACTTTTTCACGTGCTAATACACACACACACACACACGCACACACACACGGTGCTTAAAGAGCAAGTCACCCATAAATCAACGTTTTTTTGTTGACAAACTATATAAATGAGTGTCTAATTGCTCTGTAGACAAATGTAGTCAATAATTTGGCACTTTAGTTAATCTTAGTTAAAATTCTAATAATCTGCCTAAAACCATCACCGACGCACCGTGGTCAGGCAAAAACTCAGCACTGCATTTGAATTTAAATCTGCCATCACTATTGGCTAAGAGGTACACTATGCTGTTAGATGGTACATTATGATGTCACAATGTCGTGAGTGTGTGTATTTGTTAGTGGCTCCGCCCTCTCGGTCTGCTAGGCAACAGCATTTGTTGCATTTTTCAAACAGGAAGTGGGAGTTGAGTACGAATCTGGCAGGGGGTGACTTGCTCTTTGATCTCAGTTTCCTGATGAAACGTGATCAAAACATCAAAATGTAGACAAGAAAAAGAGCTAAAAACTGACCTATTTCCTCCATCACTCTTTCTTTCGTTCGTTCTTTCTTTTCTCTAGTTGTTTATTGCATCTAGAAAAGCAACCGAATAGCAAGACATTTGTATTTTATTCCAATGCAAGTTGAAATAAAAGAGCTTGTTAGCAAATGAGCAGCTTGTATAATTGGTCATATTGCTTTGATCAATAACGGTTTGTACAAACCACAATGGATACTGCCATTAAAACGCTAGAGCGAAGCATCCCAGGGGATCTGTACTGCCTCGTCCTCTAATAGGTTTTAAGATGCATTCTTTAGAAGTGCAACAACACATGCAATATTTATTCTTCTTTGCAAACTACAACACCTCAGTTGTCTGCCATGTGGCTCTGATATGTATTTGTTACTGAAAATTAAAATTAATTCACTTTGTGAAAAGAGTGTAAATAAATACAAGCTTGACATTATTCCTGATAAACAGTCTCCATTACTGATTCTAAAACTGCCAAATAACTTGTGTGGCACATAACTGCACACGAGGCTCAATATCAACTTGATTTACTCGCCCATTGATGTGTTCTTTTGAGGATAATGATTATGTGCCAGGATTAGTGCTAAATCGTATCTGACGAGGCATGGAAAGGTCTCTGTTGGAACAGTTGCAGCAGGGAATCATCACTGTAGATACTGTGCTGTACTTAGCAGTCAATGCATGGTGTTGCGTAACATAAAGCCTCTGGTTACCACTGACTGGGCAGAAATATGTTTCCATTTTGCATAATAAACCATGAAATGTGTCACTGACTGACACTGAGGGCAGATAAATCAGTTGATACTACACAACTGAATGAGGATGTCTTAAGTCTTTCTGGTTGTGCTGAACTGATCTGCAGTCAGATCATCAGTCACACAAAAAGCCTTTCACTTTGCCCAACCTTTGAGATTGTGACTTTGTTCACATCGTTTGCATTCATTCAAACTAGGCTGTACATGCTTTGTCCTGTGTATTTTTAAAGCACTGGACAGTTGTTAAACCATGTAAATTAAGCACTTCAGCTACATAATATAATTCTGTTTAACTTGTATTATAGAATGAAGTTATTTTTACTCTATTAAATATATGCCTGTCAGATGTTTTTATTATATTTTCTTCTGAATATGTGGATTTTTTAAATATACAAATAATGCAATAAAATATACAAAAAGTAGTAGTAAAAAGTCGTAAAATGAGCTAAATCGGCTGCTGGTAAAAAGATGCAGAGCACCTACTTTATTTTGATGTGTGAAACTATTGTTCTTGATATACTTGTGTTTGTTCTGTACATATAGATTATCTTGTAGCAATTGAAATTTTTACATAAAAATATCTGAATTTAATTAAAATAATAAAAGTATTGTCATGTGTAAGTAACAATGGAAAATTTTTTACAGTCTCTCAAACTCAGAGTTCCTAAACTGTACACAATAACGTATTATTTTCGAATAAAATATGTAAACAGTAAAATACTTCATACTGGTTTTGTTTGTTTTTTCATAGAAAAACACGTATAGATGTCAGTGGCAATGATAAAGCAATAAAACAAAAAAAAATCTTAATCCTTCTTTTTGTCCTCTTGGGAGAATTAATATTAAGGAGGAGAAGAGGGAAAAGGATAAGAACGAAGAGTTCCTTAATAGAACATTTCATTTAAATTATTCCAAACACTGCTTTGTTGCCTTGACAGAATGGGGAATTTGCGCCCTTAACTGGCAACAAACAGAACAACACTAGATGGGAACATGGGGAGTTGCTGCCCTTCAGTGTCTGGAACGTGGTACTACAATTTAAAGAGCAAGTCACCCCCAAATAAACTTTTTTTTTGCTGATAAACTAAATAAACGAGTATCTAATCGTGCTGCAGACACGTGTCGTCAATAATTTGGCACTTCAGTGCATCTTAGTTAAAATTTAAATATTCTGCCTAAAACTGGCAGTGCTGTGCCGTTGTCAGGTAAAAACTGCACCGTATTTTAATTTAAATCTGCCACCGCTATTGGCCAAGAGGTATGCTATGATGTAAACTGGTACATTATGATGTCACAATGCTGTCGTGAGCCTGTGTGTGTGTATTTGTTAGCGGCTCCGCCTTCTCGGTCTGCCAGGCAACAGCATTTGTTGCATTTTTCAAACATGAAGTGAGAGTGGAGTTAGACTCTGGTAGGGGTTGACTTGCTCTTTAATTTTAGCTATTTAAAAAAATACTATTTTACCCTCTTTTATCTAAAATATGGAAGTCCAAAGTGTTAAAAATAAAACAAAAAAATTAAAGGTTGATTGTGACACTTATGGATAGAAAGAGGAAATTACATCCCATTTAGGTATAAGTAATTATCCCTCAGTTTGGTCTGCTAGGCTACAAACAGTCACTATCTGGTTTGTTTAATCCGTTCGCTGTCTTCTAGAAATATCAAAATATCCTAATAATTATCTATAAACTTTACTCGTGAAATTTAGTCAGCGGTTCACCGAAAAAGTAGATTTTTTTAGTGCGAACTCTACGACCTGAAAGTCAAGGCGGGGAGAAAAATATTCTCATTTTACCGTTTCTACGTTACCAAGCAACGCTAAAGGAGTTGTTGATTCAAGATGGCGAAAACGCAGTGGTGTTCACAATAAAAGGCAGTTTCTGTGTCCGTTTTTAAAAGAATGTCGGGGAAGATGAAGATTTGTTAGAGTTATATTTGTTATTTTAACGCGACAAAACGCTGTCGCCAAGATGGAGGATGAAGACACCGTACTGGTAAGCTAACCGTAGCTAAAACACGCGTAGCATTAGCATAGTAGCTAGTTAATGTCAAGGGACTCGCTGTAAATTATGAGAACAGTATTAGTAGATGTAAACATTTAGCAATAAAACAAGCTGTTGACCTGTTGACTACAAAAATCGCATGTTAGTTCTTTGACTAGTCGCTGTGAACACTATTACTGTATGTCATTTATTATTGTTGGTTTTACCCTCGTTGTTTTCTCAGTCTTTGATCAAGTACTACTGCTATGAAAAGTACTTTAACCACGCCGTGGACGCTGCCTACTCTGCTCAAAGGAAGTATAGCAACGACCCCGTCTACGTTTTTTTCCATGCATACGGAACTCTTATGCTGGGTTAGTTTTCCGTTCATTGTGTGTGATCATTGTGCCAAATCTCATTCATGCAATAAGGTGATCCTTATCACCTCAGGTCAGATTCAAGAAGCTATAGCTGAGCTGGACACAATTAGAGATGACCGAAACCTGTCTCTCTGTGCGTTAATGGGCATTTCTTATGCTGAGAAAAGAAAAGCAAACCCAGGTAAGTCCGATCAATCCTTGTATTTAATTATTTTTAATCTTTAATCGCTTTAATGGATTGGGCATATTTGTTGCTTGTTGATTTTTATTCACAGATAAAGATGTTATTCAAGAACTTGAAGCAAAAGTCAAAGAGGATCGTAAAAGTGCACCTCCCAAGAGTCTGTACCATGCAGGGACCTTCCTTTGGCTATTAGGGCGAAATGATAAAGCAAGAGAGTACACAGAGAGAATGATCAAACTTTCTAATGGCTCTACAGAAGTGAGTTCTGTATTCACTTTTTTACAAATTTATGTAAAGAAAGTAGGCTTGTAAGTGCTCTTTAATCGACACTGATCTTTGTTGTTCAGGGCACAATTCTGAAAGGCTGGATTGATGTTACTTCGGGGAAGGATGCGTACGCTAGGAAGGCTGGGAAGTACTTTGATGAGGCCCTTAAAGAGAAAACCGATGTTTTTGCTCTAATGGGAAAGGTGACATGAGAAATAAAGATTTCAATGGACCCTTTATTTATTATTATTATTATTTTTTTTCAATTTTAAGTTATTTATTTGTCAAAAATATCCGTCCGATGGTCCTATCTCAGTCAAGACTCCCTGAGGAGAGGTTATTCCCGGGACCTATCCTTGTGAAATAGAGAACTACTAAAACATTTGATGTGTTTTCAAGCAAACCAGCTCATTCTAAATGTTGTGACTTTTTCCTTTTTGCATTCTAGGCACATTACAATGAATATCGCCAGAACTACTCCGTAGCCTTGGAAATTGTTAACCAAGCTATTGTAAGTTTCTCTGAGTTTCCACCGGCTCTCATCAAGAAAATGAAACTACTGCTGAGCCTGCAGGACTGGGACCAAACAATAGATGCAGCACACAGGTAAAAACAAATCTGGTTAATCACTAATATTTTACAAATCATACTTCTTTGCATTGTTATGCTTCCTTTTCTTTAACAACTCGTGAATATTTGGATTTTTTCCAGTAAGATTGGAAGTTCTAGATTTATTTGCATCCTTCTCCATCCACCCAAGATGAAAAGATTGTTGTTTTTTCATAAAAACATACTAAAGTATTGCTTATGTTTGCTTCTAAGTACCACATTGAGTACCAAGAGCAGGAGTCAAAATTTTAGACTCCACTACAGATCTAAGATCAGGATTAACAAAACAACCGGGAGGATGATTTCTTTAATTACATCAGGTTCAGGGCCTCCTTTATGCCTGATGTTGTGATCTAAAATGAGAAACAAGTTGCCAACAGAATTCTATCCATCTTTTAGCCACTTTCTCCTTTCCTTTTAGTTTTAACAGTATTTGTTTGGCAGCTTAACACAGTACAGCAAGAGTATTGAAATCAAAGAAAGCCTAGCCTGTCCGTGTTGGAGATGGACTGTATTCACAGTACCTTGTGTCATGTTTCAGGCTTTTACAGAAAGATAAAAATAACCTGGAGGCTCAGCAGATGCTCGCTCTCCACTCTTTATGCAGAGATGGTGACGTCGCTGAGGTAACTCACACATTTTTTCATACTTTCTCTTTGAGGTTTACAAAACAAGATTAATGTGCATTCATGTTTTTATTTTCTTTTGAATGTCAACAGGCAGGGAAGCAGATCACAAAACTGATCAGCAGCTTAGAGTTTCTGGAGCCACACAACACCTACCTTTTCTACAGAATGTCTCTTGCCTTCACACGTGTTGTAAGACCATTTATTTTTTAGATATTTAAATTTTTTGATATTTCACGAATTCATCTCTTAAGTTTTCCCAATTTTTGATCTTTTTTTTCTGAAAGGTTAAAAATGTATTTTATAAGTTTCCATGAATTGTTCTGCCATCACTTGTTTGGATGAAAATATTATACCGAACATCAAATTTAAAATATATTTTTCAATAAAATAATTTTTTAGAATAAACTAGAATAAATGATTTTCTATTTATACTCATAGCTTTCAGTGAAGTCTACGACAAACTGCTCTGTTATAAATCATTTCTCAAAAGATGCTTGAAATAAAAAGTTAGGATGTACATTTCAATAACTTTTAACACTTGGATCATTTATTTGTTAAGTTTGTGTCATGAATTGAACTCAAATAGATCTCATTTAGATTAAAAATACCTTTTATTTTTTTACATGAAAATACATGTTTTTCTTTTTTTTTATCTATTGTTGCAGTGTGGACGCAGTGAGAAAGTGATCGAGCAAACATTCAAGATGGTGGAACGGGCGTTTTCTATGTCCTCGGGGGACCCAGACTTTGCCACAGAGTTGGGCTACCAGATGGTGCTTCAGGGTAAAATGAAGGATGCTCTGAAGTGGTACAAGATTGCTGTCACCAACAAGGAGAAGACTAATGTGTCAGCTTTTATCGGTAACATGTTTGAGCTCTTTTTCTTCAGTTTTGTGTCCAGAAATCTTCTGCAGATCATTAATTACTGTTTTTTATTTATCCAGGTATAGCCCGTTGCCAATTACACGAGGGACAGCTTGAAGATGCAGAACAACAGTTGGAGTTTCTTGCAGAAATTCAACAGTCTATTGGAAAATCGGGGGTAATGTTTATTTATTAGAAGTTTGACTTGAATCAGCAGATTAGTTGTTTTTCCACAGACACCCTTGATCTCACTTTTTTGTGCGTTTAACTGTTTGTGCTTCACTTATTTATCTGTTTTTCTTCCACACTCCTTTAGGAATTGTTGTACCTCCAGGCAGTGCTGGCAGGAAAAAAGCAGCGACCTCCAACAGAAGTGACCAACCTGCTGAACGACGCGGTGGATACACACTTCTCCTCTCTGCAGGGTCTGCCTCTGGGAGTGGAGTATCTAGAGAAGATGAATCCGGACTTCCTGTTGGAGATTGTGAAGGAGTATCTGGCTCTTTGTCCTGCTAAGGTACAATTAAAGGAACCGTTACTGATAGGATGGCTTGTCAAATTTAGAGAAAACCAAGGATCTTAGTTAATTAGGCATGATTTTTTTATATCTGGATGTGCTTTTCTCTTTCCTTTGTATTGTCATGTACGAATCATTTAAAACGATTCCCATGAATAAAAAAAAACTTTATTAATCTTGGTTTAGCCTCCTCCTCCTGGCCAGCCTCCTGCTCCTCAGCTGCAGCACTGTGCCACACTGTTGGATACTGTGGTTAAAATTGTTCCAGGCCTCCTTCAGGCAGTCTTCCTGCTAGCCAAAGTTAGATTTCAGTCTGGTGAGTTTCACACTTGACATCCATATTAATGTAGGTGGTGTTTTAATCGGCTTGGTGGCTGTGTTCCTTCAGGTGACATAAATGCCGCTCAGAGCAGTCTGACCCACTGCCTGGAACAGTGTCCTTCACACGCAGAGGCTCACCTGTTAATGGCTCAGATCCATTTGCTGCAGGGTAATGTGACGCTGTGCACTCAGTCGCTGGAAGTCTGCCTCAGCCACAATTTTGAGGTAAAAACATGAATGAAACCAGTTTATAAATGTTTGTATCTGCAGCTTTGGGCTAAATTGTGGCTAAAGCCTTTTGTCTGCATGAGCCTAATGCTTGTAAATTTGAACCCTATTTGGGGTTGACCCTCCCGACCCTGTACCAGCTGATCCATTGATGTGATGTTGAAAGAAGACATAAGTTGTAATGTTTCCTAGATTCAAGATCACCCATTGTACCACCTGATTAAAGCTCAAGCTAAGAAGAAAACAGGCGAACTTGTGGAGGCCATTCAGACGTTGCACATGGCCATGAATCGCCCGGGTGTCCGTAGAGCAGGATCCTCATCCAAATCCAAGCACAAGAAAACAGAACTGAGCTCAGCAGACTGTGTCTCTGTGTTCTTGGAGTTAGCCGAGGCCCTGTGGCTCAACGGCGAACAGGTGAAATGAAAGTTGATCAAGAGTTCTCACATGTTTCTGGCTTTGAAACGACGAGTAATTAATCTGATGAATTTCTTTCGTAATTCAGCACGAAGCAGCAAAGGTGATGCAGGATGCCATCAACGAGTTCTCTGGTACACCTGAGGAGCTACGTGTCACTATTGCTAACGCAGACCTAGCCCTGCTGCGTGGGGACGCGGAGCTGGCGCTGAGTATGCTCAGAAACATTACCCCTGAACAGCCTTATTATGTCCAAGCCAAAGAGAAAATGGCAGACATCTATCTGAAACACAGGAGAGAGAAATGGCTGTATGCCAGCTGTTACAGGTGAGCAATCACCAAAAATATACCACTGAAATCCATCAGTTTATTAGACTGCTACTCTGTCTGCTCAAGCCTGCATAAAAATACACAATCTATATTTTACACGGTCATTAAATAATGCCCACGTTTTTCATCTGGTTAAGTTAAGTTAAGCGTTTTCAAACCCGTCCTTTCCCACAGAGAAATGGTGGAGAAGCTGCCCAGCCCTCACACATATCTCCTACTTGGTGATGCCTACATGAACATTCAGGAGGTGGGTGGAAAATATGATTCAACTTTGTCCTCATCTCAAAACATCTTTGTTGTACATTATTATTAAAAAAAACATTATTGCTAAAAACCACAACTTCATTTTTAATCATCTGCACGTTGTTAAACGAGGTACTCTATTCAATAATAGCACCAACACATTCATTTAAAGTAAAGAAATTCTTCTTTTTAATGTCATTTTCATTTTAACATACACTTTAGCCATCCTTCCTGTAATTATCACCACAGCTGGCCAAGCTTAGTGAATACAAAAATTGTTCAAACTCAGATTTTACAGATATTGAGCTCAAATATTATTTTCACAAAACCTTCTTAAAAGTTTTGACTGTTACTCGAGATCTTGTAGCAATATGTGAGAATTCATTCAGCCGGTGCAAGGCTGTTAATGAGCAGGCAGGTATAAGAAATGTACATTTTGGCTTTGTTATTGTTTCATTATGAGAAAACGTGCCGTTTACGTTCCCTGTGAGCTGCACTCGGGGTTTTAGGTGTATGCAGCAGAGTCCCGAATCTGAAATCGGGATGTTTTTTTGGACCTCAAAAAAGCCAAAAGAACAGAAGAATGAAATAAATAGTAAATGAAGAGAGTGGAAACAGACCGCATGCACCTGCAGCTAAGTGACGGACTGTTGCTAAATAGGTTTCAGAGAATTCATTGCATCAAAAGCCAGGACATATTGTCACTGTAATGAGTTTATAGACGGTAACTCAGGCTTCCTTATGTTGACATATTTTGGTTGTGATGATATTTACAACAGCAGTATGAGTCAGCCCTCTTCTGACCATCTGTAATTATATTTTAACAGCTTGAGTGTTAGTCATGCAAGAGCTGAAGAGCTGTTTACCTCATGTTCCCAGCTACTTATAATATTTACAATGACCAAAAAGCTGCAATAAATTTCTGTCGTACTTACCGTCGCTTGTGTTTATCTTCAGCCAGAGAAAGCCATCGAGGTTTACGAGCAGGCCCTGAAGAAAAACCCCAAAGATGGTACTTTAGCCAGCAAAATGGGAAAAGCTCTGGTCAAGACGCACCACTACAACAAGGTACGCCTGTTTTGGAAAGGTTAAACACAACTTACACTCAGATAAACACACGCTGAAGCAAGTGTGTCATTATCAAACAGGCAATTAATTATTATGAAGCAGCTCTGAAGACTGAGCAACAGAAATTCCTGCGCTACGACCTGGCTGAGCTTCTGATGAAGATGAAGCAGTACGACCGCTGTGAGAGAGTCTTGCATGATGCTCTGGCTCACGAACCAGGTATTTAAACCAGTTATGATGTCAGGACTGAGCCTCACAAGTGTTCGAATCGAGGGTTGCAACTCCCAAATGCCAAGCAGGGGCATCATTCAAGGGATACTTGAAACAGTTTTTGGACTAGAGCAAATTTTTGTTTCTGACAGTGAATTTAAGGAACCGCGTGTTTTGTAGCTGTTGAATTCTAGAGTGTTCCTATTATTTCACATATTTACCTTTTATTTAAAAAGGATTTTATTCATTCTTGTCTTAGATCAACCTATTTTTGAGTTTTCAAAAACTATTTTCGTCAGCATTTATTAAAAAGGCCATTGATTTACCAAAGCTATTTAAAACTGCGAGTAAATCAGCCAGATAAGCTGTGAATTAATTATTGTATCTTATTCATACCAAATAACATCATGCTGCTCATACAAAAGGATCCACTAGGGGGAGCTGCAGTATGCACCCTATTTCTAGTAGCTCACAAACTCTCCCCATTTATTGTTGAGTGTGCACCACTGCTTCCAGGGATGTTTGTTTAAATGTATTTACTGTATTTTCCTTCTTTGTTCTGTTAAATCCAGTAAACCAGCTGCCTTCGCTCTCAGATGATTGCCGTTATCTGGTCCTGTTGGCAAAAATCCAAAATAAAGTTGAAAAAAACGAAGAAGCTTTGCTTTCACTACAAAAAGTAAGTTATTCTAGGAGTATATACATTTCAGTTTTCATAGTTTGTTTTTTTTTAATAATTTAATCCAACGGTGGTAATGCTCGCTTTTTCTATTGTTCTCATATTGATGCTGTATCTCTTTCCTGTTAAAGGCCCGGGATGTGCAAGCCAAGGTGCTGAAGCGTGTGCATGTGGAGCAGCCCGATGCTGTCCCCGCGCAGAAGCAACTTGCTGCTGAGATCTGTGCCGAGATCGCCAAGCACTACACAAGTCAGAGGGGCTATGAGAGAGCGGTCAAATTCTACAAAGAAGCTCTTGTGTATTGTGAGACAGACCACAAGGTCAGTGCAGCTGAATCAAACCATCCTGTGTACTAACTCCAGCGGTGCTTGGCAAGCAGTGGTAGTTTTTGTTTTGACCCTGTTTTTTGTTACATTACTTGATGTCAGTTGTTGATGAATTGATTTAATTTTAGAAAGTTGAATTCTGTGACTTTAGCATCATTTAGACAAACGTCTCCTCCCGTTCGTTAGGTGATGCTGGAGTTGGCGCGGCTGTATCTTACTCTGGACAACATTGATAAATGCCAGGAGCAATGCTGGGAAATTTTGAAGAATGATAAGTTTAATGAAGAAGCAACCCTGGTTGGTTTTTTGCTGTATTTCTTTCTTTTCTCTCATCAAAAATCGTTATGATATGTTAAAAATAATTTATTTCTTGCATGTGTTTGTTCTTAGATGATGGCAGACATTAATTTTCAGAAGCAAGAGTATGTCAAAGCATTAACTCATTTTGAACAACTCCTGGGGCGCAAACCAGGTACAGTTGGTTTCTACATTTTCAGTAGCAAAATTAGCTAAATGATTCATTTTGTTTCATGCTTTCGTTCTTTTTTAAACACAGAAACAGTTTTGTTTACCTGTTTGTAGCTACAGTTTCGCCGGCCGGCGAAACTGTAGCTACAAACAGGTAAACAAAACTGTTTCTGTGTTTAAAAAAGAACGAAAGCATGGAATTAGAACCACGACACAGTAAGAACACACCTAAGATATTCATTTTGTTTGTTTGTTTGTTTGTTTGTTTGTTTTTTCAGACAACTACCCAACTTTGGCACGTCTTATAGACTTGTTAAGGAGGGCTGGGGAATTAGAAAAAGTCCCCAAGTTTCTTGAAATGGCTGAGAAGCATTCTTCCAGGACTAGATTGGAGCCTGGCTTTAACTACTGCAAAGGCCTTTATCTTTGGTAAGTCACAGTTCTGTTAATCTGAGATTATGGGCTCTTTTGTTCTCACAAGCTACAGGCCCGTTTCCGCTATCGGACCGGACCTTCACGTTGTGTACATGTGTCCGCGTCACCTGGCCTCCCAAAAGGAACGTTTTCTGGGCCGTTTCAGGAACCGAGTCCCTGAACTGGGGTATGCACTCGGAAATGGCCCAGTGGCGTTGCTGGGCGGGACTTGTGCTTAACTCATGCAATTATATCTGCAGACGTCACCAAGACAACTGATGTTTGTAAAATTGGAACGGTTGCTGGTGAAGCAGAAAGAAGCAAAAAAATAAAACATAATGTCCACGTTACCTTAAAATAGCAGCTTCTAACCGCCCAACGCTGAAAAATGCAGTGGAAATCCCCCCGGCAACACCGTTTTTTTTTTTTTTTTTGCTGATTTAGTGATCTTCTATGGAGCGCTGTTAAAAACTGCAAATCTTCTGGTCATTGAAGGCTTTTTATGTCACACAACCTCCCTCTCAGTTCCTCAAATAGATTAAAAGAAGGTGTACTTTGACAGAATAAAGCGTTTGTTCGTGGATGCCTTTTGGAGCTGATCAGAGATGTCACTCACCGCAGTAACGGTCGCAATCTCGTCTGGACACAACAGCTGAGAGGACCGAGCCATTGTTTTTTTCCTGTAACCTTTCCCCCCCTCCCAGTAAATCCCCAGAACTCCTTTAGTGGAAACACGGCTACATTTGTGCTTCCCCCTCAGGTACACAGGAAACCCCATCGATGCTCTTCGACACTTTAACAAGGCTCGGAAAGACAACGACTGGGGTCAGAACGCTGTCTATAACATGATTGAAATCTACTTAAATCCTGACAATGACACCATCGGTGGAGAAGTGTTTGAGAATTTAGACGGTGAAATCGGGTGAGTGGACCCAACAGAATTAGTCTGAGACGCATACAGACTGTATTCTGATGCTTCCTCTTTGTCTTCCCGCAGCAACTCCACAGAGAAGCAGGAGTCCGAGCAGCTTGCTGTGAGAACAGCCGAGAAGCTGCTCAAGGAGATAAAGCCTCAGACGCCGGGCGGATACATACAGCTTCGCATCCTAGAGAACTACTGCTTGCTTGCAACTAAACAGAAAAACAATATAGAGGCTGCCCTCAGTGTTTTCACAGAGATCGCAAGCAATGATGTAAGTAAACTCCTAAAGTGCCCGCACCAGGAGTTGTGCGTCGTTCCATGCTCTAGCACCGGCTGGTTATATGCTGTTCATTTTCACCTGCTTTTCTTGGTTTCGTTTAGAAAGACCACGTACCCGCGCTGTTGGCCTTGGCAACAGCTCACATGGTAAAAAAGCAAACTCCTCAAGCAAGGAACCAGCTGAAACGCATAGCTAAGATGAACTGGAACATCGCAGATGCCGACGAGTTCGAGAAGAGCTGGCTTCTCCTGGCAGATATTTACATCCAGTCGGGGAAGTACGACATGGCTGGGGAACTCTTAAAGAGATGCCACAATCACAACAAGGTCAGACTTTAAAGCGCCACATCAACACATCTTTTTTGTTTTCTTTAAATCTAATATAAACTGTACTTTTCTTTCAGTCGTGCTGCAAGGCTTATGAATATCAGGGCTACATAATGGAAAAAGAGCAGGCGTTTAGCGATGCCGCTGTCAGCTATGAACTGGCTTGGAAATATGGAAATCAGAATAACCCAACCATCGGTATGAAGATCTGATTCTTGCTTCTTTGTTTTCATTAATAGCATTAAAGGAGTCATATTTCTAACATTCAAATATCTGCTTTTTATTCAGGATACAAGCTGGCGTTTAACTACCTAAAAGCAAAGAGGCACGTTGACGCCATAGATGTGTGTCATAAGGTGAGACGTCTGCAGGTGGATGTTTTTGCTCTAATACCTTCCGTGTGGTTTTCTGTTTAGAGCCGGCTCTGTTGTTGTCCACAGGTTCTGGCTACATATCCAAATTATCCCAAAATGCGAAAGGAGATCCTGGACAAAGCTCGCTCTGCCTTGAGACCTTAACGTTGGACGTGGGTATTTGTGTGTGAGAGCAAAGATTTTATTGTTTGAATATTTGTTCTGTCAAGTTGAAAATGTACAGTCATGCTTTGGGACAAAGCTCAAACACATTACTGCGTAGGTTTTTTTTCTTGTCTTCTGAGCGTATGAAGACTAGGCTGCTGGCAGTCCAAAGAGAAAATCCAGACCTGAGACATGCGGACAAATCTGAGAGCCCATAGACATAAAACAGCTAAGTAAATGTTTTTAGAGGAAATTAAGGAGGGACATGTGGGGAAAATCTTAAGCTTTTTTTTTTTATCATTGTGTTTGTTTACCTTTTTACTTCCTACATGAGGTATTCGTGTGATCTCTGTTAACTATTCATTTGTATTTTAATAAATGTTCAAGTTAAAGATTGTGGTTGTCCTTTTTAACGATATGTTTTAGAAGTAGCAGCACAAGTATTAATGCCCCTTTTCCACAATTTACCTGCGTACTTTTTGTTTCTGTCATTTGTCAGACAGCTAAAGACCAAAAAACATCAAGATGAGCAGCTCAATCAGGAAAAGTGTGTTTTTTTCAACAGATAATGTTCAACTTAGTGTAAATAAGATATAAACGGTTTCTTTCCATTCAAAAGTATGCATGTTTGTCTTCTTTCAGCAAGAGTGCCTCTTATTACCGTTTCTCTCTAATCTTGCAAAGCCCCATAAACCTAAATAGTCTGAGCTCTGAATCTTCTCTTCAAATCTGTAAGCCACTTGTAGTTCATAGGAAACAAAGTAAACATGTTCAAATTGACATGTGACAACTGCATGTGTAGTTTAGGAACTACATGAAAGCGTTGGTTTTCGCATAATGACTGTTCAAGGCTTTTTCATGCTTCGCATCTAAAGCAGAAATCCAGTTTCTTCTTATAGAGCGCCATCTAGAGGCGGAAATTGTGTATTGCACCTTGAGCCCCTCTTCCTACTTGGTTAAGTCTGGAAGCAATGTCTCATTGGTGAAAGCACATCTCTAGTAGACAATAGAGCTAAAACACATTGTTTTACAAATATTCACATTCTCTGCTATTTATTCAGTTATGTATAAATATATATTTATTTTTTCCATAAGAAATGTTGCCAACTGCATCAGTCTAGGTACTTTTGCAAACGCGCGCACACACTGATAGGGAACCTAAGTCTCCCTAAAATAACCTATATAACTTTTGCTGCCATTTGAACTCACGAGTGAGGGAGCGGGAGATCGGCAGATGGATTGAGGCTGCGCCTGCAGTGATGCGGACGTTGAACCGGTCTGTTGTGGTGAAGGAGGAGCTGAGCCGGAAAGTAAGGCTCTCGATTTACCAGTCGAGCTACCGCCCAGGCCTCACCTTTGGTCATGAGCTCTGGATAATGGCAGAAAGAACAACATGGCGGATACAAGCGGCCAAAATGAGTTTTCTCCGCGGGGTTGGCTCAGCCTTAGGGATAGGGTGAGGAGCTTGGACATTCGGGAGAGGCTCGGAGTAGAGCCGCAGCTCCTCCATATCGAGGAGTCAGTTAAAGTGGCTTGGGCATCTTGTTAGGATGCCTCCTGGTCGCCTCCCCAGGGAGGTGTTTCAGGCATGTCCTGCTGGCAGGAGGCCCCCTGGTCGACCCAGGACATGTTGGAGAAAGTTCATCTCCAAACTGGCCCAGGAACGCCTTGGGGTTCAACCGGTGGAGCTGGTGGAGGTGGCCGGGGAGAGAACGGTCTGGAATTCCCTAGTTGGGATGCTGCCCCCGCAACCCGGACCCGGATAGGCGGAATAAGACGAGACGAGAGACACTTTCTTGGCATCAAAATGTGTCTTTAAAATTTATAGACATCATATGTGAACTCCATGGCACATATCAAACGGGATTCGCTTTGTTTGCCCTTTTGACTTGCCTTCATTTTTTCTTAGTTCCGGGGACCCATGATCCAGAAATAGATGGGCGTGACTGAGGCTCACAACCGACATCCATGTCCAACGCTACTGGCTTATGCTGAGTGGCTCTCAATTCAAATTGAGCTTTATGGGATGGGCAGCAGGTTCAGCAAGAAATAAATCAACGTATTTCCTTCATTTCCATGCTTTCGTTCTTTTTAAACACAGAAACAGTTTTGTTTACCTGTTTTGTAGCTACAGTTTCGCCGGCGGCTGCAGGCTTCTTCAGGCTGACGCTGATGGTGGCGCGTCACTTCCTTCTCCGTTTATCTGCAGGCAGCAGAGGATGTTGTCGCCCTCTACTGCCCGCTCTCCCCTCTCCGACGATGCAGTCCCATGCGTGGTCCAGCGTGTAAACTCCGTCGTCCCTGTTCATGGTCCCACATCCACGTCTCCTTATCTCGATTGCTTCCTTGATCCATCTTTTGTATTTTTGTTGTTCAGTGGTTATGATCCGTGTGCTGTCCCAGTCCATTATATGGTTTTCTCTCATGCAGTGATCTGTTACGGCTGACCTTTTTATTGTAATTTCTGCTTCTTCTTTTGCTGCTCTTGTGTGTTTACGATTTGCCTCTTTCTCGCACTCCTTTCTGTGTTCTATTGTCCGTGTATTGAGTTGGCGTCCGGTTTCTCCTATGTATGTTTTATTGCAGAGTTTGCATGGGATTTCGTAAATGACTCCACATTTTTGTCCAGCTGGTATCTTGTCTTTTGGGTACATTAGTCTGTTTCTAACTGTTGTGTATGGTTTTGATGGTGTGTTTATGTTGTGTTTTTTCATTGTTGCTCTTATTTTTTCCGTTATGCCTCTGATGTATGGTAGGGTTATCACTGGTTTTGGTTCTTGTCTTTCTGGGTTTCTGGTTCTTTTTTTGGTTTGTTCTTTGCTTTCTGTTTTTGTTTGTTGTTTTCCTTTGTTTATCGCCCATGTCGGGTATGCGCAGGTCTTTAAAGCGTGTTGTATGTGTTTGTCCTCTTGTTTACGGTCTCTTTCTTCTGTTATTATGTTTGCTCGGTGATATAATGTTCTGATTACTGACATTTTGTGTATGGTGGGGTGTTCTGATGTCCATAACAGATATTGGTCTGTGTGTGTTGGTTTCCTGTATGTGTTTATGTTTAGGGTCCCGTCGGTCTGCCTGGTGATTTTCATATCCATAAATGCTATGCTGCCTTCTGTTTCTGACTCTTATGTGAACTTTATGCTGCCTATGTCCTCAATGTTGTTTAAGTGTTGTGTTAGTGTTTCTGTTTGACCTTTTGGTATGATTTCCAGTATGTCGTCTACGTAGCGTTTCCATAGTTTTATTTTGCAGTTTGGGGGGGCGGTGGCTATGGCTTTTTGTTCCAGGTCTTCCATGAAAAACTCGCACAGGGTGGCTGATAACGGGTTGCCCATGGCGAAGCCTTCCAGTTGTTTGTATATTGTGTTATCGTATGTGAAGTAAGTGGAGTTAGCTACCAGTCCTATCAGTTGTGCTAAGATGTTCAAAGAGAAATACGGACAAGAAGGAACGAAGGACTTCCGCCGTTTGGAGCGATTACACCAGAAACGCGCACGTCTAAGAAACCACCTTCGCTTCTGTTTAAGATGCCGGGACGAAAACATCACACCCACAAGCCTACAGCTGAAAACACCGATCCGGACCAAGACAGCACAAAATATAATAGAAAGAGCACAGAGAGCACTGCTCAAGGAGAGGATAAGGAACGTCATAACCAAACAGAGGCGTGTGGAGGACGAACTGGAAAGAGGACACCTGGACTTGAAAAGGAATTACAAACTTGATAAACAAATGGAGGAACTAATTAAAGGACACATGATGGAAAAACAGGAAAAAGAGTTCATAAAAGTAAAAGAAAGACACATAAAGAAGTTAAACAGACTCATAAACAAGAAAAAGAGGGGAGAAATACAAGGCAACTCCACACCAAACTCATGGGTACGTAACATTTCACAATACAAACTAACAGAAGCAGAAGAAAGCATATTAAAGAAAGGTTTAAACTTTGCAGTTACACCAAAAGAAATACCATATGATGAATTTATTGTAGCAACAGAACTAGCATGTCAACAGATCACAGATGAGGGAAAGAAAGCAGAACTCAGAAATAACATAGTTGGGATATTAAAAAACAGCCAAATTCAACACAGCAATATTACAAAAGAAGAACAATCAGCCATGACAGCTTTATCCAAAAATGAACAGATAATTATTCTACTGGCAGATAAAGGAAGAACCACAGTAGTTATGGACAGAGAAAAATATAAACAACAGATGAACCAGATGCTAGAGGACAAAAATACATATGAAATACTTAAAAAAGATCCAACAGAAAACATTAAGAAAAACATGAAAAAATTACTGAAGCCACTGCACGAAATTACTGAAGCCACTGCACGAAAAAGGCAAAATAACAGAAAAAATGTATAAACACTGGATTCCCACGGCGAATATAACACCAAGAATATATGGAACGCCAAAAATACATAAACAAAACACCCCATTTAGACCAATAGTTGACAGCATAGGTACACCAACATACAACATGGCAAAAGATATCAGCAGAATCATCAGCCCATTATTAGGAAATACAGACCAACACTGCAAAAATAGTATAGAATTGGCAAAAGAACTAAAGAAAATTACAATAGAAGATAACGACATACTCATCTCACATGACGTCACATCTCTGTTCACAAAAACACCAACCCAAAAAACCATAGACATAGTAGTTAACAGAATCAGACAAGACAAAACTTTACACAAAAGAACAAACCTCACAGCAGATGACATAGCACAACTGATAGGACTGGTAGCTAACTCCACTTACTTCACATACGATAACACAATATACAAACAACTGGAAGGCTTCGCCATGGGCAACCCGTTATCAGCCACCCTGTGCGAGTTTTTCATGGAAGACCTGGAACAAAAAGCCATAGCCACCGCCCCCCCCAAACTGCAAAATAAAACGATGGAAACGCTACGTGACATACTGGAAATCATACCAAAAGGTCAAACAGAAACACTAACACAACACTTAAACAACATTGACGACACGGGCAACATAAAATTCACTTATGAGTCAGAAACAGAAGGCAGCATAGCATTTATGGATATGAAAATCACCAGGCAGACCGACGGGACCCTAAACATAAACACATACAGGAAACCAACGCACACAGACCAATATCTGTTATGGACATCAGAACACCCCACCATACACAAAATGTCAGTAATCAGAACATTATATCACAGAGCAAACATAATAACAGAAGAGAGAGACCGTAAACAGGAAGACAAACACATACAACACGCTTTAAAGACCTGCGCATACCCGACATGGGCGATAAACAAAGGAAAACAACAAACAAAAACAGAAAGCAAAGAACAAACCAAAAAAAGAACCAGAAACCCAGAAAGACAAGAACCAAAACCAGTGATAACCCTACCATACATCAGAGGCATAACAGAAAAAATAAGAGCAACAATGAAAAACACAACATAAACACACCATCAAAACCATACACAACAGTTAGAAACAGACTAGTACACCCAAAAGACAAGATACCAGCCGGACAAAAATGTGGAGTCATCTACGAAATCCCATGCAAAATATGCAATAAAACATACATAGGAGAAACCGGACGCCAACTCAATACACGGACAATAGAACACAGAAAGGAGTGCGAGAAGGAGGCAATTGAAAATACACAAGAGCAGCAAAAGAAGAAGCAGAAAGTACAATAAAAAGGTCAGCCGTAACAGATCATTGCTTAAGAGAAAACCATATAATGGACTGGGACAGCACACAGATCTAAACCACTGAACAACAAAAATACAAAAGATGGATCAAGGAAGCAATCGAGATAAGGAGACGTGGATGTGGGACCATGAACAGGGACGACGGAGTTTACACGCTGGACACGCATGGGACTGCATCGTCGGAGAGGGGAGAGCGGGCAGTAGAGGGCGACAACGTCCTCTGCTGCCCGCAGATAAACGGAGAAGGAAGTGACGCGCCACCATCAGCGTCAGCCTGAAGAAGCCGGCAGCCGTCGGCGAAACTGTAGCTACAAAACAGGTAAACAAAACTGTTTCTGTGTTTAAAAAGAACGAAAGCATGGAATTAGAAAGACACAGCAAGAACACACCTAAGATATTTCCTGCATTATTCCACAGAAAATGGTAAGACTACCACTTTTACAGACATGGACGTAATTTATGGGGGGGGGGGGGGGGGGGGGGGGGGGGGGGGGGCATGTCCCCCCACTTTTTCCAAAGTCAAGGTTTGACCCCTGCACTTTTTACCATCCAAAAACAATATTACGCTATATTAAATTGACACTGGTTAAGCACTAGGACCAAGCGGAAAACAACAGTTTGTGTTGAAGCCTGTTCCCCATTAGAGCATACTGTAAAGATCCCCCCCCCCCCCCCCCCCCCCCCACACACACACACACACACACACTTCTAAAGTGATAATTACGTCCATGTTTACAGATTTCTATTCATAAGTCCTGAAAGGGAGAAAGCTCCAGATTGCTGCTTGAAGATGCTTGGTTACCTTAGTGACCATAATCAGTCATTGACAGCAGCTTTAACATTTCTTTTGATTTTCAGTTGCACTTCTTACAGTTTATAGATGCAATATGCATTTTTTTTCTTATAGCCTACATTAACTTTTTATATAGAAACCTCCCAGCTCGTCCTGATTAAGGATGAGCTCACAGCCACGTTACGGGCGCAACTTTGGGGACACAGAGAGCATTTTAATGGCCATAATAAACCGGCCGCCCGCCGCGGAAGCGATGGGGGGACACGGTCCCTACAGATGGAGGAGTCACCGTGCAAGTCAGAGACAGCGAGACGATCGGGCTCCAATAGGCGCACCGCGGGTGGAAGCCGCTTCTGTAAGCTCATTGTGAGCTTCAGCCGAGGACTTTTTCAGGGAAGCCACCGTCGGCGGTGAGTGCAGATCTTTCCACAACTTTCACCATAAAATCGCCCACAAGACGATGACTTGAAATGTAATATTTTCTCAATGCTTAGCCTGTTTTTTTTAAAGGCGCGCGCTCATTAAAGTTAATCTGCGTGAGAGCAGGATGTGCTTCCTCGCGGATCTGATTGGATCAGTGGATACGGCGTTTTAACGCGTTCCTCTGGGTTTTTGTAGCCCAGCAACTGTCCCAGTCAATGACCAGTTGCACAAATCCTGTTAATGACACCGTTACAGCCGCTTCTTCTCCTTAAGCCGAAAATAACTTCTATTTATCGGGGTTTGTCGCGATCATTTGACTGAAGTTTAATGATGAAAAAAAGTCACAACAACAAATTATTTCTAATCTCTAGTGATTTCTGGTTTGTCTTCCAGGTATGACTTGCTTTGGGACGCAGAAGTCCTCAGTGCGCAAGCGCCGCGTTGCGTCACCGCCTTCTACCTGAGAGGAGCACACCTGGGTCCAACAAAACGGAAGTTTAGTGAAGTCAGAGCGAAACTTTCTGTCTCTTCGACCAGCGTTTGATTTTCCTGGAACTGAAGCGGCAAACTAAAAAAAAAAAGCCAAACCAGGATGTCGTTCAGTGGATTTTCAGAAAACTTTTTAAGGGATTGCCAAATGTAATCTTCAACGACTCATGGTACGTTTTTTTCCCCCTTTCTTTAATCTGATGGGATCCAGAGCAGAAGGTGTTTGGATAATGTGCTGTTTTTTTTCTAATGACGCTCATTTTGAGCACATCATGTTCCACGTTTTTCTTAGTATTGCTTTTAAAACCTTATTTTTGTTTCTAAATATGTGTTGCAGCTCAATCTCAGGCCAAATCCTGCCAGGGCTCCTTTAAAAAAGAATGACAGCTCTTCACAGAGTTCTCCGGAGGAAATTACACCCGCTCACATTTTTGGCGGTGGCCCTGGTGTTTGTGACATTTTTGTTTTTCATACAATGGGAAGTTGGGATCCAGAGCCAACAGGATGACCCTTGGCTGAAGGAGATGGCAGTGAAGCGGGACACCGTGTTTGGGATGGTGATGGGAGCTGTCAATAATTTAAGGGATGCAGTGCCAAAGATGCAGATCAAAGCTCCGGTACGGCAGCAGGGCGAAGCAGGCAGGGCCTCCTGTCTGCCGGGTCACTACTCAGCTGCCGAGCTCAGACCGGCTCTGGAGAGGCCGTCCCAGAACCCCTTTTCTCCTGGAGCTGCTGGGAAGCCTTTTCACACGGACTCCCTGAGCCCAGAAGAGAAGAATGAAAAGGACAGGGGGGAAAAGAAGCACTGCTTTAACGTTTACGCAAGCGACCGCATCTCTTTAAGCAGAGACCTGGGGGCAGATACAAGACCACCAGAGTACGTGACCTTAATGCTTTCTAAATCTACATTAATCTGTACTCACACAAACCCATCCAGTTCATTGTTGCACAGAGTACAGAAAAGTTTCTGCGTTGTTGTAATGTAGATAAGGTAATATGACATGACAGCCTAACACAAACAAATTTCTCAGATTTGCTTTTTTGTAACCGAATGAAAAGTCTGTGAGAAACCGCAGAGATGATTATGCTGACTGAGACTTTGTTTCAGCACGCCTGCTGAATCACTGCGCCTAGATTCAGACACAAACGCTGATTTCTGACATCTGAGCACATCAAAACCTGGCATGACTTTTTATTTTAACGAGTTCAATACAATGCCCGTCCACGTTCTGGGCTGAACTGCTAAATCTGCTCTAGTCGCAACATGGCAGGTATTTCAAACGCTGCCACACATGCAGTGTCACAGCTGTAATGGACTCCCCCGCAGACGAGAGCCTGCTGATGTAATAACATGACTAGTACACCTCTGAGAAACCACTCAAGTTAGTCAGAACTTTGTTTGTTGTTTGTTCTTTTCGATGCAGATGCGTCGCGCAAACCTTCAAGAGATGCCCCCCCTTGCCCACCACCAGTGTGATTATTGTGTTTCACAATGAAGCTTGGAGCACTCTGCTTAGGACGGTGTACAGTGTCCTCCACACCTCCCCCGCCATTCTCCTCAAGGAGATCATTCTTGTGGATGATGCCAGCGTGGACGGTAAGAAACGATATCCGATATCGCTGGCCGATGTTGGCTTTAAAACGTAATGTCAGAAATATCTGTATCAGCATTTTTCTCTTTTAATGAGCCAACTTTTACATACTAAGCATCAGAGGTGTGGGCTCGAGTCACATGACTTGGACTCGAGTCATTATTTTAATGACTTCTGACTTGACTTGATAAAATCTATAAAGACTTACAACTTGACTCGGACTTGAACGCCAATAACTTGCGACTTGAATCGACTCGCATCTGTTGACTTGATGATGACTTGAGCATAATTGATATTTTAGCGCAAAAGTAGCACGACAAGGACAAAAATCATAAATCATTCTTGGTTCTGGGTTTGATTTACTGCTAAATGCAGCAGCGCTTTGTTTATCATCCATTTCAGTCGCACTTCCTGCTTGTTTGAGCAAATCAATGAAGCTTTAAGAAGCTTTAATTTTGGAAATTATTTATTATCATTGTCATTAAATAGAAGTTGGACAGATGACTTGAATATGACTTGAAAATTCAAAGTTAAGGACTTGGACTTCCACATCATTGACTTTGGATTTGACTTGGACTTGACTCGAGACTTGACTGGAAAGACTTGTTACTTGCTTGTGACTTGCAAAGCAGTGACTTGGTCGCACCTCTGCTATGCACATATATGAGATACATCAAAGTCTACAACTATTTCTACTCTCACTCAGAATGTCAAAATATGACGGATCTGAGGTTTTGAGATATTTTTGTTTATGTGGCACAACTGGTCGAACTTGCATAGATGTTTAAAGTTTAGGTGTGCATGGTGTTAGTTTCCTAAAACGAGGTCCAAAAAAATGTCCAAAGACTTATCAAGCATCCCTAGACAGAAATCAGTGGGGTCCTTTGAGGGCATTTGGCTTTCTTTTGAGTTTGTTGGGTGGACTCCATCAGTGTTGTCTAAAGTTAATGACCTTGGACCTGCACAGGTTCATGCATGCAGCATTTGGAAGGGAGCAATAAATGCATAAGAAAACTAGGTTTTAGGGAACGCTGTCACTTTAAAATCAGCTATTTGTAAGGAGTGTGTGCCACGAATGAAACCATACACAGTGATGTCTGATTAATGTGTTTTCAGATGTCCTGAAGGATGAGCTGGATGAGTATTTGAAGAGGCTGGGCATTGTCCGAGTGGTCCGCCAGCGAGAAAGGAAAGGCCTCATAACCGCTCGGCTGCTGGGTGCCTCTGTGGCCACCGGTGACACGCTCACATTTCTTGACGCCCATTGTTAGTCCACGCCTCTGACATTACTCACTCATTTAAAATATTTCACACGCCCTCTGATGCACACACCCACATCCTTACTAAATGTTTGCTCTTTTCTAAACGCCTTGACACAATACAAGTTATTAAGGATCCTGTTGTGACGGTGTCCTGTGCCTGTGTGCCAACAGGTGAATGCTTTCATGGATGGTTGGAGCCTCTGTTGGCGAGGATAGCTGAGAACTACACTGCCGTAGTGAGCCCTGATATCACCACCATTGATCTCAACACATTTGAGTTCATAAAACCGTCCCCGTTTGGACAGAATCACAACCGAGGGAACTTTGATTGGGCTCTTTCTTTTGGCTGGGAGAGTTTACCGGATCACGAGAAACAAAGGAGGAAGGATGAAACGTATCCCATTAGGTTTGCATCAGTGTCACTGCAAATAAAGGTTTCACTGAACCTTTAAACTAACCAAATGTGTTGATTTAACAGGACTCCCGCATTTGCTGGCGGCCTGTTTTCCATCTCCAAAGGCTATTTCTACCACATTGGAAGCTACGACGAAGAAATGGAAATCTGGGGTGGTGAAAATATTGAAATGTCATTCCGGGTAAGATGCCACAGAGTTGCCAAACCTTTTCTCTTTTCGTTTTAATGGGTGTGGTGTAAGGCATGTCTTCCTCTATTGGCTTTAACCCAGCTTTTCTTTTCAACCCGCAGGTGTGGCAGTGTGGCGGACAGCTGGAGATCATCCCTTGCTCCATTGTCGGCCACGTTTTCCGCACCAAAAGCCCCCACACCTTCCCCAAAGGCACTCAGGTGATCGCTCGAAACCAGGTACGACTGGCCGAGGTCTGGATGGATGAGTACAAGGAGCTCTTTTACCGACGTAACCAGCAAGCTGCACAGATCGCCAAAGATGTAAGCACTTGTTTCAGCTCTAATTAGTTTCTCAAACTGAATTAGCTGAATTTACTTATTCTGAAGGAGCAGAGAATTGCTTCAGGGCATGGTCTTTCATTTACTCACGGCTGTAAATAAGTGTTTTGAAGGCTACTTGTTATCCTGTCTTTAGACAAGCTTGAACAAATCCAACCCCTGTCCCTGAATTGCACACAACAAGCATTAGGTCTGATTATAAGTTACTTAACATGCTCTGCAGGGAGACGCACACGTGCTCCAGGAGAACTATTTACCATTCTCCACATATCTCAGCAGGAATTAAACACATCCTTCAAAACCAGGAGACCTAGATCAGCTATCAAAGGCCTGAACGCTATTAACTGACAAAGAAAAGCTCTAAAGGGGGTCAGCTTTGGTACGTGACAGCCTCTCGGCGTTTGCCAACGTGCGGTCTCATAAGGGTCATAAACATTCCCCTCATGGCTGAGCTTCTCAGATGAAGCCAGCCCCTGTCCTGCTATTTCAGACAGACACGCTGCCATCCACAGATTCTGCTGTCAGGGCCGTCGGTGCTCATTGGTGTTAGCAGAATTTCTCCTCATTATAGTAATTAAGGGCTCTCGGGAGCATAAGGTGGCTCCAGATCATTTAAAATGTGCTTTTGCACTTCAGCTTTAAAAGAATCGGTGATCAAAGTCTTGTGTAGTCAGTTACACAAATGAGTCATTGTAGCGCTGGAACAGAGAGCGGTACCCGGAGAAACAGTTGACAACTCTGCTCGTTTTAAAACTAAAAGTTAATTATTTTCCCTCTGTGTTTGCTTCTTTTATTTCTCTGTGATGAAATGGCACCGGCGCGACGGTGGCACAGGAGTTAAGTGCTCGCCCCGTGGTCGGAAGGTTGCAGCTTCGAGCCCCGCTCAGTCTGTTGCTGTCGTTGTGTCCTTGGGCAAGACACTCAACCCCTTGCCTGCTGGTGGTGGTCGGAGGGGCCGGTGGTGCCTGTGTGCGGCAGACTTGCCTCTGTCAGTGTGCCCCGGGGCAGCTGTGGCTACAGTGTAGCTCATCACCAGCAGGGTGTGAATGTGTGTGTGAATGGGTGAATGACTGATTGTGTTGTACAGCGCCTTGGGGGGTTCCAGGACTCTAGAAGGAGCTAAATCAAGTACAGGCCATTTAATGTCCACTTGTTAAAAATGTGGCTTAAATAAAACAGTATTTTTTTTTATTAGATTAAGAATTAAAAAATGAATGACATGTCCCAAAAAAGCCTAACTTATTTGTTGCATCATCTCAGTTTCTATCTTAATGTCTTTTGGGAATAATTCTCCAAAAATGTTTTGGTTGAATAGAAACTCCATTAACAACTGTGTTGAACTTTATGGGTTAGTTTAACGCTTTTGTAGCCTGGCAAGCCATCCTATATGTGTAAATATATAGTCCCACCATGACCCATAGACAGAGCTCAGTTGAAATCTACCGTTGTTTTTCAAACGGTCTCTGCACACAGCACTAGGACCAATCGGAGAACGAAAAATGTAGAGATGGAAATCAGTCAATGGGGTAGTCCTCTATACACTGTCAAAGAGTATGGCATTCATCCCTTTTCAAAATAAAAGACTTAGGAAATGGCCAAGTGTATTTTGTCCAAAGTTGATGCCAGGACTGTTTCAGACAAGCGCCGTTCCTGAATCGACTCCATCTTTGTTGTTTTGGTTGGTCACAGCTCTGATGTGATGGTGCTAAGCCAGCTCAACATCTCTCTACAAACAGAGCTCCGTGATTGGCCCGGTCTCAGGCCCTGTCCACACGTAGCCGGGGATCTGCCAAAACGTAGATATTTTTTTACGTTTTGGCCTGTCATCCACACGAAAACGGAGTTTTTTCACACGAAAACAGGTCTTTTAAAAACTCCGGCCAAAGTGAAGATCTGCGTTTTCTCCGTTTCGGGTGTCTGCGTGTGGACAGACAAAACCGGAGTTTTAAGGTCCACAACGTCACTTTCCGTGACAAAAAAATGCTGACATCACGTGTGCGACCTGTGTTTACACTAGTCGACAGCATGGATGCCCTCAGAGCTGCGCTCGCTTTATCAATTGTCCAAGCGCTTTTTGCTTGTTTGTTTTTGCAAGCGGAACTACTGCTCCTTGCGGAAGACCACAGACGAAGGATGAGGTTAAGAACGGGGGAAGTACTGCCGCCTACAGGTCTGGCATGTCCTTAACAACGTATTTATCCGGGTACGTGTGGACAGAGTTTTTTCTTTTAAAACGAGGTGGTGTGGATGCAAGTTTTTGGAGGGGCGGATATTCGTTTTAAAAAAAAACCCCGGCTACATGTGGACTAGGCCTAAGACTACGCCGAGCCAATGGCAGACCTGCTGAGGCTACAATGGAGCACGGCTAGACCAACCTGCCGAAAAAACCATTGGCTACGGTTTGTCTAGATTTCTAGGCCAACATTTTGTTGAACACGTGTTTTACTCAACAAAGTCAACACATGAGCACTTGTTGAAAACCTTGTTTGTGAGATCTTAAATTTTCTAAAATATGCTTTTCCATTTTTTGAGGACATACATTTTGGAGTTTTAATTAACTGTAGAAGTTTAGAACACAAATATTTTCATATCGAGTATCATTTTTCACCGTGTAACCAACACATTAGTGCTAACGTGGATGGTCTTGCTCTTTCCAGGGAGCTTTTGGTGACATCTCCAAACGCACAGACCTCCGAGAGCGGCTGCAGTGCAAAAACTTCTCGTGGTATTTGAATAACGTTTATCCAGAAGTCTTCATGCCTGATCTCAACCCAGTCCACTTTGGCTCGGTAAGATCATACGCGTACCAACATCCCTCCTCTTTCCAAACCCCTCAGCTCTGTCTAGTCGCCGCGGGTTTCCACTTGGGACCTCCTGAGGGTGCAAGGCTGTTCCAATTTAACACCACTGAAAGCACTTCAGGGGCTCAAGTTGTTTGAACAGCTTGGGCTGGATGTTAGTTTTTCATTTTGTTTCCTCTTACCACTCTCTGCTTCCCTTCTCTCTCTCTCTCTCTGTAGGTTAAAAATGTGGGCAGAGACTCATGCCTGGATGCTGGCGAGAGCAACGAGGGTGGGAAACCGCTGATTATGTACCCATGTCATGGACTAGGAGGAAATCAGGTCAGCCTATCGCCTTTGACAAAACCCCTTGGTTTACTTTCACCTCATCATTTGATTCCATTTGTAATGTTTCCAATCCTTCAGTATTTTGAGTACTCCACACGTCACGAGATTAGACACAACATTCAGAAGGAGCTGTGTTTGCACGGCTCGGACGCGGCTGTGAGCTTGGAGGACTGCCAGTATAAAGGCAGGAATACGTTCGTAGGTGCAGAACAGAAATGGGGATTGAAGGATGTGAGTTATTTTCCCATTTCCTGTGAGCTAATTTTATGATTTCAGATGCCTAGATTATCAATATTTTCATTTTGTTTACTTCTTTTCCTTCCAGAACCAGTTACTTCATTTGATAGGATGGAACTTGTGTCTGAGTGCTCGCCATGAGCACCCCTCTTTGACTCACTGCAACCCCTCCGACAAATACCAGCACTGGACCTTCATCTGAGTGTGCGAAGCACGTCTTCACGAAAATCTACTTTGTATACACGAGCGTACGAGGACATGCGTATTCCAATATGCATGCAGGGGTTTTTTAGATTAATAACCACATAGATTTTTTTATTTATTTTTATACGTAACTACTGCTGCTTGGAAACCGGTCTTTGGAAGAAACCGTCGTGTGCCCCTGCTGCAAGGAAGCACACAGTTCTTGTAGAAATTAAGATGCACATCAAAACAAGTGCCTCTTTTTTGTTTTAGATGTCTTCTTTCCTTTGAGTCAAAAAATAATGCAGTATCAGTTATTTCAAACCCATTTAATGAGAATTTGATATGAATTTTATGGAAAATGCCAAAAGAACAAGAGACGCACCAAAAACACAAATATTAGGATACGTGTGCTTTTTTTTTCTTTGTCAGTATAACATGTTTTATTTGGGACCATCCAGTGTTTAGGATGTTTTATTTATGGTTTGGGGAATGGACGTGGCAGAGGTTGGGTGATTTCAGATTTCGGATCAAACTGTTCAAATACATTAATTTTTAGGTTATTTTAAAAAGTCTCGGGAGAACAGAATGGATCGTTTTTGTCGGTTTGGATTAAAATGTTGAGGTGCTGGTGTCTAACCCAAATTTAATAAGAAAATAAGAAAAAGAACTCAACATCTTTAAGTATAATTGAAACCTCTACCTTTCTGTGTTTAGATAATAAAAAAATAATACTTTTAAAGTTTATTCCATCCAAGTATCTCATCAAACACCTCAAACTCTCTCTGTGTGCATCTTGGCACGAGTCAACAAATGAATTTCTGGTGCAGGCACTAGTGATTAGATGGCTGTGAAATGTTCTTTGTGTGTATTCTTTATGACTGGCTGGAGATCAGATTCAATGAATGTGTTTGCTTTTCTCAATGGAAACCATTTTGTTAGAATGCCATGATTCTGAGATGCTGAGTCCAATAAATTCTCTTGAGTTTCATCTTTGTCTTACATTTACTCCTGTGACCTGCAGATGGCGCTCTGCACTTAAAAGTGACCACTTGGAGACCCTCACTGACTCAACTGTGATGGAGCTCATGGTATGAAAATGCTCCATAAATGGACAAACCTCACAAAAAAAGAAAAAAAAACAGGTTTATAAAATTTATTTTGAAAATCATGTCCGTTCTATTTACAGCTGAAACACATCGGAGGGGGAAAAAAGTGTGTGCAAATCTTCTGCATTTCACTAAATATGAAACAGAACTACATAATCAGGCACATGAAGCGTTACAACTCACAAGCATGAAACAAAAGACCATCTTAAGATAGTGAAGCGATTTACTCATTACAGACTTCCACAGTAAATACACATTTCAATAATTCATTCATAATAAACACTTGTAAATGAATCTTAACTCGAAATTCCAATTGGATGCTCTTATGTCATCGAGTAGCCTCCATACTGCACCTTTTGGCACAAATAACATCTATTATAGGTCGTGTTTATGCCGTTGGGCACTTGAAAGTGGTTCCTTTTTATGTGAAAATATGATATAATAAATGAACATAAAGAATGACGAAAACTTGAGCAGTCACCTCGTCATGGTAGTTATTGCATGCTTGAAAAAGGCAAATGTTTGCTTTCATGCAGGAGCAATAAGGGAAAATTTCCAATTTTTGTAAGATTAGAGCATTTCACTGATTATTGGAGATTTCTTGTCACTCCAACTCTGTCTTTAACGCCTGACACGACTCGGCAGTTTTATATGTTTAAAAAAAGAGCTTTGATTGTCAAGATTGAACATTTGACAGTTAAGTCTTTAAATCACCAATCTTTGTTAAAAACAGCAAAAGAAAAACTGCAGTTCTTTAGATAAAAACTTCAGTACTGTAAAAAGAAGAAATATATAATATCTGTTGTACATCAGTGGGATGAATAATAAACCCACGTGAATAACCCTGTTAGATTTTAGTGGAATGCATCTCAAATTAAAACATTTATCGTAATTATAGGATTTTGTGAACATTTTCATTCTCTGCTCTACCGTGGAGCTGCATCTCTTCCGTTATCACTTTCACAAAAAGCCTGAAAGAATCACTTTTACTCATCATGACGTGTCTGTAAATGTTAAAGGGGAAGGTTGGAAACGAGTATTAAAACCAAATGCATGCTACAGAACCCCTATAGTTGCAAAATGTAAACCAACTGATATCCGTGTTGGATTCAAAAGTATTCAGGCTTTTTGTACTCGAATTCACAAAAAAAACATTAAATTATGACGACTAATGCAGGAAAACTACTTTTTCATATTCATATATATACATATATATTAAAAAAAAATTTTATTTCACAAATATCACAAATGTCTAAATCAGCATGCACTTTTTATCAAAACCTTTTCCACTTTAATTCAGCTACAATAAATAAACTGACATTAAACTTTGTTTTGCACATTTGACACATAGCAGACATAGAAAAGTTCAATCTACAGTACAACATCTGCTTTAAACTAGAACTTTACATCCCAAAAAATACAGAATATGCTGCACAGCACGACGTCAGTTTGATGTTTATTCTTCTAATCGGTGGCATTTTGGCATTAAAGCCCAAACCTGTTGCAGCTTTGTAGCTACAGATGGAAATGCGGCGCCTCTTTGTAAGTTGCTTTGCACTTTTCAAGGTTAGATAATGGAACAAAAAGGCAACGATCGTTTTTCAGAGAGGTGCCACTTGCTCAAGTGAAGACATAATCATGAAAGAACACTTAATGAGGAAGGTGGCGTCCGTCAAATGGCTGCCACCTCAGGGCAATGGTCTGGTAAAGGAAGGGTCTTGGTGTTAGCTAGTGAGGTTAAGTCGGAGTGTCCATTAGCACTCGCCTCCTCTGGAGGCTGATCAGCTGTCGTGCATGCACTGTGATTGCTGCAGGAGCTCTGACTGTTATTGTTCAGAAAGTCCTGAAACGGAGTCTGGCTCTTGGATTGCTCCACAAAGGCGGCCTTGGACCGGACCTTGTTCTGATCCGGTGTGTAGCAGCTCAAAGAGGATGGAGGAGCGCCACCATTCAGAGTGAAAGGGTGACCGGCTGTGTACTGTTCCTCTCCCTGACCAGAGTAGCTGGTGTATGGCTCGGCAGCCATGCTGAACGGTCCCTGCGTCGCGTTTTCGTTACTGACCAGATCTTGGAATGGTAAGGCTTCTCCGTAGGATTCGTTGGGTTGACTGGTTTGACCATTTGAGTCGGCGCTGGAGCCCCCCAGCTGATAGTAATCAGCCGAGGTAGAGTTCATCAAGTAAGGGTTTCCGTTGATGTGGTTGTCGTTGTAACACATCGCCGAGGACAACGGGACCACTTCGGTGTGAGAAACCGCTAGAGGAATGATGTCGTCCTCAAAACTCTCACTCTTCCCTGCACCCTCCTCCTCCTCCTCCTCTTCCTCAGAGTCACTGTTAGCCAAACTCTGTGTGCTGGAGTCAGATAACCCACTGCAAACACTGCTACTATCCTCCTCATCCTCTTCATCTTCCTCCTCCTCATCCTCCTCCTCCTCATCATCCAGTGGCTCCTCCATCTCATCTGAGGCATGCAAGTGCACACCGGTCGTCTGAGGGACCGTGTCAGACAGGGAGTACTCCAAACGGTGCTGTGACGGAGCAAAAAGGTTCCCACTTCCTGGGTCGTTAGCCTCACCACAGTAACCATTGGCCGAGGATGTCTGCTGCTGCTCACGGCTTTTCTCCAGCTCCAGCTTCATGATGGTGTGAAGGAAATGGGTCCGAACACGGATTGGATTAAACTCCACTCTTCCAGTTGAATTGCTGCAACCTTCTTTGGTGCAGCCACACGGAAATGACATCCGATCCACCTAAAAAAACACGATATTCATCATGTAATGCATGTTTATTTTAAATGAATTCCCACTTTACTTTTCCAGTGCACAAAAAAGAACCAACCCTGAAGATTTATGCATTTACCTGACACTTGATCCCTGCAATGCTGCATGCACAAGTTTCTGGGTCGCAGAAAACCCTACAGTCGCAGCCGCAGTCCTCCCTGGACACGCGGATGGCTCTGAGTTCGTGTTTCTCCTCCACTTCGATCTTCTTCACCCCAGAGGAGCGCAGCAGTGCTCGCCGCTTTTTAGTGGTCAGAGGCTGCAGGAAGAAGTACTCGTCCACCTCAGTGTTGTCCAGATCAATGTCATCATCGGAGATGTCCTCAGCCGTGAGCGTGTCGGCCTCCTCGGACTCCACTGTCCCGTTCTTAGTCAGCTGAAAAACAAGACGGGAGATGCGTACCTGTATGTTAAAATTAAATACAAATCTGAAGAACAAGCACTGAAATAAGAGTTATTAGGGATATTTAGAGAAAGGAAAACAGTTTAAAGTCTCTTTTTAGCCTCAGGTTATGAGCATCCGCTTCAGCGTGGAGGTAATCTCAGCTTTTGTATTAATCATTTTAATCGTTTTCTTTTCCATTTACCTTGACTTTGATTGAGTTGAGTTTCTCCTCCTTCAAGTGATCTCTGAGCATATCTCTGTGGATCCTCTGCTGCTCCAGGGCAAATTCACCCAGGGAGTACTGCCTGACCCAGGTGTGCGTGTTGGACATGCCCAGTGTGCTGCCCCCCTGGCTGGGCACGCTGGTGAAGCCTTGCCGCCGGCAGAAGTAGTACACCGTCACGTTCTCAAAATGCACCCTCCTCGCCCGCAGGCGCTTCTCCCGCTTCAGTACTGAGTCGGCTGCAAACAAAGATGGGACAGGGCATGGGATTCCTGATTTAGGTCCTATAATTTATGACACGCAATTAAACGCAAGTGGAAAAATAAAAGCTACAGCAGGGGAAAAGCTAAAAGTTCCACTTTTACAGAAAGTTTTTACGTAGATTTTCAGGCCTTCTGCTTGCCAGGAGAGTCCCCAGTGACTTTTTAAGGAGAACTCTACGGGGGGAGGTGCAAAGAGAAGGGCAACGCTGGAGCATAAATAATCCCCTGCCTGGCAGGAGAGGAAAAGCACCGGTTCACACAGTGTTCCCAGTCTCACACACTCCCAGACAGGGAGGACAAATAGAAACCATCTGGTTATCAGCTCTCTACCCAGGGCAGTAAAAACGACCACGTTCATCAGTGATGTCGAGCTGTTGTATTGATTTAAAATTTTGGATATTTTTAGACCCTAACACAGCATAGAGCATGTACACACACTGGCCACTTTATTGGGCACACCTTGCTAGAACAGGGTTGGACCCCCCTTTAGCCTTCAGAACTGCCTTAATCCTTTCGGCATTGATTCAACAAGGTACGGGAAACATTCTTTAGAGATGCTGGTCCATATTAACATGATAGCATCACGCAGTTGCTGCTGATTTGTCAGCTGCACATCCGCGGTAAGAATCCCCCATTCCACCACATCCCAAAGGTGCTCGTTTGGATTGAGATCTGGTGACTTTGGAGAACATGTGAGTACAGTGAACTCATTGTCATGTTGAAGAGACCAGTCTGAGATTATTCAAGCTTTATGACATGGTGCATTATCCTGCTGGAAGTAGCCAGAAGATGGGTACGCTATGGTCATGAAGGGATGGACATGGTCAGCAAACAAACTTAGGTCGGCTGTGGCGTTGCAACGATGATCAATTGGCACTAAGGGGCCCATATACATATATGTGTGTGTGTGTGTGTGTGTTAGGGGTTGCAATCTAATGTTTTTATTATGATTAATTCATTAGAAAAAAGTAACACATTAAAAAAAGCACTTGAGCCCGAGTGCCCCCAATAGAGGGGTGAAGAAGTTTAGCCCCATTAATAAATATAACCAAACTGCACCTTTACAAAACTGCATAGCCTGAGCTACAAGACCATATGGACCTTGTCTGGCAAGCTCCAAACACAATACAACTACAATTATATTAATTATGACAAATCATTCTTCAAGAAGAAAAGAAAGAAAGAAAAAACGTTTTTTTAACTGTTATGTTTTGTAGTTGGTAGAAAGCAGGCAGGAAGTAACTTTTTCCATATGAATTTTAGTACAGCAGGAGGGACAAGCACACAGCTTTCATCTTGTAACCCTCAGCAGAACTTTCCCTGAACTCTACACTACACCTTTATATATTAGATTTGCTCTGCTGCCACCTAGTGTTCAGTTCAGTACACAACATTTACAATGGTCCATGTTCATTTACACTTCATCAGCAACACATATACTAATATTTAGACCTCCCAACAAAATTCTACAATGCTTAACTTTATAATGAGACCAAATTTATAAAATAGACCTTGTGGTTAATTAAATTTACTCATTTAAGTGTGGGTATGTCATCTGTGTAATAATTAACATTATTTTTAATTAAAAAAATAGCTTAGAGGAATTTTTTCTTGAATAATTAAAATGTGACTAATCAAGATTAATTAGTTACAAAGCCTCTGATTATTTTTTTATCAAGTCCCAAACCCTAGATCGATCGACTGTTCTTAGAGAGCAGTGTGTATCTACAAGATGTGTACA